GGGGCGTTGGGTGGGGGAGCGATTAGAGGCGGTTAGCGAGCTCCTATTGCAGCCCTGCAGCCACTAACGCCGTCCCCATTCGTGTCAACAGAATCAGACTGGACGTCTCCATCCAGGGCCAGGTTAAGACGTGGGGGGCTTTAGGGGGCTGCAACACAGGGGCCTCAGCCAGCTGGAGGGCCTCCAGAGATGAAGCGAAAAGTTATTTCGTTTGTGAATGCCGAATGTTATTTGTTGTTAGCCTTGTAAAAAAATCAATTGTATTTTTCGTTAACATTGTTTTCCTTTTGAAAATAATAGTGGGGGGAGGGGGGGGGGCTCACAGTACCTGTAGCCCAGGGGCCTTACAAAATCTTAAGCCGGCCCTGGCTCCATCCCTACCGCAGCCATTCCAGTTTAAAACCAGCAGCCTTTCGCGACCAATATTATTCATAATAAAAGTCCTTGGGTTACAGAGCCTAAGTATACATGTCGTTTCGTGACCCTCCACCACCCAACGCTGTCCTCTGGACAGTTTGGTCCCTTCACCTGATGAAGGCCACTTGTGTTGTGGCCGAAACGTCGTGATTTTTTATTTTTATATTTTATTTTCATTGTTATTTTTTGTTGTTTTTATTTTTTTTACCTACGTGACAATCAGTAAGAAATTTGTGACGTAAGCAAAATGCAAATCGCCCGATGATGCTGGATGTAATTACCGGCGAAACGTCGTACTCAGATTGTAAATGTTGTGGATTCACTCTTCAACACTCCGGTGGGCTGAAGCAGTAACCATTTGGCGTTTAAATCTAGATTTGAAGTGCTCGTGACTGCAGGGATCCATACTGTTTGGTTCTTTCGGGTAAAGTCACGTAGTAGGTATAAATAAAATAAATTAACTCACGACGTTTCGGGCGCAACACAAGCAGCCGTCCTCAGGTGAAGAAACAGAACTGTCCGAAAGACAGCGCTCCAATGTCTTTCCGACAGTTCTGTTTCTTCACCTGAGGACGGCTGCTTGTGTTGTGGCCGAAACGTCGTGAGAATTTTATTGTATTGTTATTTTATTATTTCCCTTCTACGTGACTTTACCGAAAGAACCAAGAAGATGAATCCCTGCAGTCACGAAAGCTTTAAATCGAAACTTCAGCAATTGTTTCTTGCTGTGGTTGTCCCACCTGATGACGGACGCTTGTGTTGCGCCCGAAACGTCGTGACTAAATTTATTTTATTTTTTATACCTACGTTACTTTGCCGAAAGAACCGAAGAGTATTTGGCGTTTTGCTTACGTGACAAATCCCTTACTGATTGGCCGTGTCGGGTGGTGGAGGCTTTCCACACATTCATACTTACGCGATCGAACCCAAAAACCTTTATTATGAACGGAGCCATTCCCTCCGCATCACCGCCCGGAGTCGGTGCGGTATTTGTTTTTGTACACATCCCATCAGCTGCCACACTTCCTCCTGCGGAGTGTGCACCATCCCATCAGCTGCCACACGGCATATTCCTCCTGCGGAGTGTGCACCATCCCATCAGCATTGGTTCGACAGAAGGAAAAGTCTGGGCCGGTTTCCACTTTCAGTGTCTCATCAGCAGAGTCGGGCTCTGCTTGAGCCGTTGCTGGTGAACTGCCCAGATGTTTAAAGACTAGGACCGGTTTCTGGTTTCCACTTTCAGTGTCTCATCAGCAGAGTCGGGCTCTGCTTGAGCCAATGCTGGTGAACTGCCCAGATGTTTAAAGACTAGGACCGGTTTCTGGTTTCCACTTTCAGTGTCTCATCAGCAGAGTCGGGCGCTGCTTGAGCCAATGCTGGTGAACTGCCCAGATGTTTAAAGACTAGGACCGGTTTCTGGTTTCCACTTTCAGTGTCTCATCAGCAGAGTCGGGCTCTGCTTGAGCCAATGCTGGTGAACTGCCCAGATGTTTAAAGACTAGGACCGGTTTCTGGTTTCCACTTTCAGTGTCTCATCAGCAGAGTCGGGCGCTGCTTGAGCCAATGCTGGTGAACTTCCCAGATGTTTAAAGACAAGGACCGGTTTCTACATTCAGTGTCTCATCAGCAGATCCAAGCTCTGCTTGAGCCAAATGGATTGACAAGAATGACTTGCGCCTGGGTGTGCATGAGGCGCCGTGATAAAGTGCAGCAAGGATGTTGATGATGAGGTGGGGTGATGGATGAGGTGGACTGGGTGATGAGGTGCCGTGATGAAGTTCAGCGAGGATGTTGATGATGAGGTGGGGTGATGGATGAGGTGGACTGGGTGATGAGGTGCCGTGATGAAGTGGAGTGAGGATGTTGATGATGAGATGGGGTGATGGATGAGGTGGACTGGGTGATGAGGTGCCGTGATGAAGTGCAGCGAGGATGTTGATGATGAGGTGGGGTGATGGATGAGGTGGACTGGGTGATGAGGTGCCGTGATGAAGTGGAATGAGGATGTTGATGATGAGATGGGGTGATGGATAAGGTGGACTGGGTGATGAGGTGGCGTGAAGTTCAGCGAGGATGTTGATGATTAGGTGGGGTGATGGATGAGGTGGACTGGGTGATGAGGTGCCGTGATGAAGTGGAATGAGGATGTTGATGATGAGATGGGGTGATGGATGAGGTGGACTGGGTGATGAGGTGGCATGAAGTTCAGCGAGGATGTTGATGATGAGGTGGTGGAGTGATCGATGAGGTGGAGCAAAGATAACAAGGTGGGTAATGGGGCAGAGTTGGAATGAGAGAAACGATGAGGTGGGAGTGATGTTTTGTAATGAAGAGGTGGAGCGAGGATGATGATGATGATGAGGTGGTGTCAGGAGTTGTTGCTGAGGTGCAGTGGGTGAAGAGGTGGTTGGTGTTGTGATTGTGTGGGGAGCGGTCGTGTAGTTACGCTTAGGGGCCGTCCATAAATGACGTCACGCACCTAAAGGGGGGGGGTCAGACATTTGTGACGATGTGTGACGAGGGGGGGGGGGTTGAGAAATGTGACGTCACATCAAAATGCACAACTCTGAATAAATATAGACAACACGTTCTACTTAATTAAATTGACTTTTTAATAAATGTTTTCTCCTACAACATCAGAGTGCAGCGCCACATTAAATACGCACTACAATGACAATAGTTTTAAGCGATTTGAAGCGTGTTTTATTTTGGGGGGGGGGGGCAAAGCTTTGTGACGTCATATTTGAGGGGGGTCTGACTTTTTTGTGACGCCGTGTGACGAAGGGGGCGGGGGGGTGACGTCATTTATGGACGGTCCCTGAGCGCTACGCTACGCTTCTAAACCCGGCGGCCCGAGTTCAATGCCTGGGCCTCCCCTAGGTCGACTCAGCCTCAAATTGAGTATATGGTGCGGTGTGTAGTTAAACATCGCTACTGGGGAGACAAAGGCGGCCGGGCGTGGTGTTTGACCATCCACTCCCTCGCGTGCCGTGCCGGCCTTGCATACCGTGTCAACCCATACGGGTTAGGGGCCGCCCATAAATGACGTCACACGATATGGACGATTTTTTATCTCCCCTTCGTCACACGGCGTCACAAAAAGTCAGACCCCCCATCAAATATGACGTCACAAAGCTCTTGCCCCCCTCCTCCCCAAAATAAAACATACTTCAAATCGCTTTAAACTATTGTCATTGTAGTGCGTGTTTAATGTAGCGCTGCACTCTGATGTTGTAGGAGTGTTGTTATAACAATTCTATAATTATTTAAAGTTGCGCATTTTGGTGTGACGTCACATTTCTCACCCCCCCCCCTCGTCACACATCGTCACAAATGTCTGACCTCCCCCCCTAGGTGCGTGACGTCATTTATGGACGGCCCCTTACCGCGTATTGTTTTACAGGGAAAATTAGTTTTCAGGTTCATACGGAGTACAGTCGTTTCAATACGGGCAAATTTTAGTGTGTTTTTTTTAATTGTCTAGTTGTTTGTGTTTCTCCCTTGTGGATGGGACTTTGTTGAGATTTATACAAGCACAGGGTGACCAATCAGCTCTGAAATGGTCTGTAATAAGGTAAGGCACTGATTATGGGTTGACAGGTATGGGGCCGTCCATAAATGACGTCACGCACCTAGGGGTGGGGGGGGGAGTCAGACATTTGTGACGATGTGTGACGAGGGGGGGGGGGTTTGAGAAATGTGACGTCACATCAAAATGCGCAACTTTAAATAAATATAGACAACATATATTCTTGGTTATTTCGGTAAAGTCACGTAGAAGGGAAACAATAAAATAATAAAAATATAAAACAATAAAATTCTCACGACGTCTCTTGCTGTGGTTTTCACACCTGACGATGATTGCTTGTGTTGCAGTCGAAACGTCGTGAGAATTTTATTATGTTTTATATTTTTTTATTATTTTATTGTTTCCCTTCTACGTGGTGACTTTACCGAAAGAACCAAGAATATTAATCACTGCAGTCACGAAAGCTTTAAATCAAAATTTAGACAACACGTTCTACTTAATTAAATAGACTTTTTAATAAATCTTTTCTCCTACAACATCAGAGTGCAGCGCCACATTAAATACGCACTACAATAACAATAGTTTAAAGCGATTTGAAACATGTATTATATATTTTTGGGGGGGGGGGGCAGAGCTTTGTGACGTCATATTTGAGGAGGGGGGTCTGACTTTTTGTCCAAAATCGCGTGACGTCATTTATGGACGGCCCCCATGCACTTGCCCCAACAGTCTGTTCAGGCGAGGGGGGTGAGTGCGGGGGTGGGGTTGAGGGGGGTGAGGGGGGAGTGAGGGGGTGGTGGGGGGCGGGGTGGGCGGGGTGGACTCGCCCTCCTCTCAATGCGCGTGAGGCCCTGCCGGCCATCTTGGTAGGGGGCAGGAGCAGCGGCGGGTAGCAGCAGAGCCCCGCTCGGACGCGTCGCTCACCCCCCACGAGCCGCCCCCAACAACCGCGGTGACGTTCCCCTCCCCCCCCCTACCTAAGATGGCTACCCGAGGGGGTGGGGGTAGCGCTGGTCACATTACGGAGATTTCGCGCGCGTTTCCGTGACGTGATTGGGGGTGGGGGTGTGGTAGACGGTGCGGGTGGGGGGCTGCTCGAGCGCGCCGCGAAAGTTTTCGCGCGAAAAATTCCCGCGGGGAAAATGGCGCCGCGCGGTCCACCGTGAAGAGGGAACCGCGTCACCTCATCATCGTTTTATCGTCGTTCCTCCCTCCTGCATCGTCAGTTGTCATCGTTTGGCATCTTGCCCTTTAGTCAGTCATTGTCACGGCGCTGCGCGGCGGCGGCGGCTTCTCTCGTGGATTACGGGCGACTCGGGGTGGGGATGGTGGTGCTGGGGGTGACACCTGGAGGTAACATGTTTTATTCGCTCGACAACAGCAGCACAGCGTTGTTGAAATCGCGAGGTGAATCATCACCGCTGAGGTTAACGGAGAACCCTTGGCGGTGACATCCACATGGGCGACAGAGAGAGATTGAGAGGGATGTAGATCCCTGATCAAGAGCGACGGCTGAGGTACAAATGTTGAGGTGTGATTCGAGAGCTGTAACGTCGGAGGGTAACCTCAGGTTGAAGCCCTCTGAGGAAAACTGGTGGTATAACACTGACGGCGATGCCTCGGTAAATCTTGAGGTATTTTCTGAGGTGATTCTTAAGGTAATGTCTCGTTTAAAACCGGAGGTAAAAGCAATGGTTAAAAAGAATGCTGAGGTAAATTCTCAGGTGAAGTAGACTCAGGTCAAACCTTGCCCATGTAAACATGTCCTGATGGTAAAGAACTGATGGTAAAACTCCGCGGAAATGCCGAGGTAATTTTTGACATATTTAGGTGATTACTGAGGTGACATTTGTAAAAATTGAGGTAAACAAAATCCTGAGGTAAATCGTCGGGTAAAACTTTGCCCATGTTAACATGGTAAAAGTAAACACTAATTAGTACTGTACAACACTGCCAGTGATCTTGAGGTGATATCTGTTGTAAAACATTAGGTAAATCCCGAGGCAAATGCGCATGTAAACTCGCTGAAACCTGAGGTAAATAGACATTGAGGTAAAAAAAGTGGTAAAGCTCTTTTGACGGTGAAATCTGCGGTAAATATTGAGCTCAAACTCTTGACAGTGAAATGTTGAGGTAAATATTTAGGTCAAACTATTGAACGGTGAAATATGCGGTAAATATTGACGTAAAAATTCTTGACAGTGAAATCTGAGGTAAAACTCTTCGACAGTGAAATTTAAGGCGAAATCGTGAGATTTAAAACAAATCCGAGGTTCATCGTGAGGTGAACAATGAGAAACGGTGCGAGGTAAAAATCCGAGCCGAAGTCGTGAGGAATGTTGCGCGAACCACAGCGATCCCCACTCCTAACGATGCCGCCCGCGAAGCTCGCAATAACACGGCGCCCTTGCAATAAAAACAACAGCGGGCAGCAATAGCAGCAATTGACGCTGCTGCGTTGAGTGTCCACCTGTTTACAGGGCGGCCGTGGTGACCTGCGGTTTTGGCCATGGCCAAATGGTACGGACATCTATGGGTATAGGGGCCGTGGGGGTTGAGTCACAATGATAGGGGCGTCGGACAGAGGGTTAGGGATAGATGTTATTTATGGTTTAGTGATAACATGGGTTAGGGATAGGGGCATGGGGTCGGGATAGAGGCACTATTGGATTATGATAGGGGCATGGGTTAGGGATAGAGATAATGGGAAAGTGAGATAGGAGCATGGGCTGGACTGTGGAAGGTCCGTGAGAAGATTTGAGGTGAAGCAGCCGGTTGCATCTCGAATTAAGAGAATCGAGCTAGATAGCACTGCGTGTGCACGGGCACCGTCAGCACGGGACTTGGTGATGGGAGTCAGGGGCAAGGTTATTGCTGGGGGCTGGACGCCACAATTTTCAAAAGGCACGGTTGTGGCTTGCTACGAGCTCCGGCTGGGTGAAGAGGCAGGCTGATTTATTGGCTTGGCTGCACTCGGAGCGGCAGGCCGGGACTTGAGCCGGTTTCCGGCCCGTCCCGCGCCGCTTGACGGAGCCGGCCGTGTGTGTGGTGGTTAACCGCGGCGCTCGCATACCGGGAAATGGCAACGACTCTCGTGTTTGTGTGTGTGTGCGTGTCTCGCTTTTGCGCTGTGTGCGGGCTGCTGCTGGTGGTGGTGGTGGTTGCCCTCCCAGGCAAGAGTCAGAGTGTGGAGTTGTTAAAATTTTCGAGAACACTCGCTAGGCGATGCGAGAGTGCAAAACACGCACATTTGCGGTGTCAATGCTTGAGGAGGTGTATGGCTCTTGATGGTAAAATTCGATATCTCGGTTTTGTAAACCTTAACCTTGCTTTCCCGGTTTGTTCGGCGCTCGGCAGTGTAAAGTGCAAGCTTCGGCTATAAAAGTCGATCGTTCTTTTTGCCGAGTCCTTAAGCACTGTGAAGAATTGCCATTGCCTGAAACGTCAGCTTTGTGTAAATGTTTATGTTAATAGGTAGTGTGAATGATCTATAATTGATTAATGTGGTGCTCATAATTGAATTGTGCCTAAGAGCCACTGCCAGCGCAGTACTGCAATGTTTTTATTCATTTACATATATTTTTATGAATTTACTGTACTTGAATACAGTACAGTGAAATTGTATTTCTGTGGCGTGAGGTTGCGATCCCATGCTTTGGAGGCACGCAGGAGTGAATCACGATACAGTACAGTTCTTTCTGAAACTCCAAACCCCCACCGATTGGCAGTGTCACCAGAAGATGGCAGTACAATGGTGTATTCAAGAACCATGTGTGAAGCTCTGCATGTTATCCCGTGTGTGGTGGGTTCTTGTGCTTGGCGAAGGCAGCTGCGGAGGATGAGAGGTGACGGCCGTCTCGTGTGACATGGCGAGCTTCCCCGGCGTGCGCGCCACCTCCACGCCGCGGCCCCACAACGGCGCCCTCGTCGCTGGCGACCACGGGGATACGTGGTCGTGTGACGACCTCCTGGGCGACAGCGGCACCGTGGGCTCCGCATGGCTCGATCGCAGCACCGACCTCGGCCTGCCCAGCTTTGGGCAGCGCTTGCACGAGCGGGCGACGCCGATGGGCCCCTACGCGGGCCCCCTCCCTGTGACGGCGCGCTCGCTACCCATGGGGCGGGTCCCCGGCTCCCCCGAGCGGGACCCGGGCCGGCCCCGTTTTGCCCGTGCAGTCTCCGAGTCGGACAGCGAAGAGGAGGAAGAGGAGGAGGAGGAGGAAGAGGAGGAAGAGGACTACCTGAGTCCCCTCAAGCGGCATGCAAGGAGCGGCGCCGAGCGATACTCACGGGCCCGCGCCGATGCTGGAGATGAGACAGTGACGGATGGCGTGGAGTGGCGGGAGAGCACCGGTGCGGCTACTCTGACGAGCGTGGGGGGAGAGGAGCGAGCTGCAGGAGCGAGGGCGGCACCCGAGAGGCCGGAGCCCGACGCAGACAGAAAGGGAGGGCCCACTCGGGCCCCCGTGTGCCGGCATGCGCTGGGCCACGAGGTTTTGGCGCGCTGGTCCGACGGACTCTTCTACCTGGGCACCATCAAGAAGGTGGCACCGCTAGCGTGTACAGCTCTCTGTGAGCCACTTACAGGATGACAGCGGAGAGTTGTGTGTGTGTAGTCACCTCACCTATGATGTGTGCGATCACCTCACCCTTGCTGTGTCTGCGGTCACCTCCACAGCCCGCACAATCTGACCTCGCGTCTTGTGCTGCCACCCTGGGCAGGTGGACAGGAAGAAGGGGAGCTGCTACATCACGTTTGAGGATCGCTCCGAGTTCTGGGTCCTGTGGAAGGACATCCAAGCACGTAAGTCATGGAGGTGTGAGTTTGGGGTGTGTAGGTCTATGTTGGGGTTGTCAAACAGATACTGCTTACTCTTTGGTTCTATTGGGTAAAGTCACGTAGGTGAAAATAAAATAACAAAAAAATCACGACGTTTCGGCCACAACACAAGCGGCCTTCATCAGGTGAAGGGACGAGACTGTCTGGAGGACAGCACTGGAGTAAGATTACTCCAGCTTTACCCAATAGAACCAAAGAGTATGGATCCTAGCAGTCACGAAAGCTTTAAATCTAGATACTGCTTAACCTGTCACTGACCTCACAGTTGAGGAACCGGTATCATAAGTCAGGAGCCGCTACCGGATTCCAGTCGAATGTCAGGAGTAAACGGTCCATTTGGCACGCACGATCATACGAACCGCACGACGGCAGCCCAAAATCACCACGTGGAACATTTTCCCTCGTAACTCGGTTAAAAAGGTAAAGATGCAGCCCTGCAATTGCTTTCTGCTCAAGTCACTGCTGATGGAAGGGCCTCCACGAGAGCGACCTTTAGAGGTTATTTGGTCTACTCTTCCACCCTGACCAAACATCGTGGGAGAGGTGGGTGTACTATGTATGTTGAACTTCTTCCGCACTGTACGTAGCCAACCGTGGTATTCGGAGGTGCGATTAGCACGGTACTAACACTATATGGTACTAACCCTATGCGACCTGATGGTGCACCCATTTATGCTGCTGTTGGGTAGACAGGTGGCAGGAGGGGGATTTATCAATCTGCCCCCATTGTTTCAACTGCCACACCCGCAGGTGGAATCGATCCGTCGATCTCTGGATTCCAAGTCCATACTCACCCTTACACTACAAAAGCTTCCTGGTGTGTGTGCGTAGGTGTTTTAATTTGAGGCTGTGCAACAGGCATTTCAAGACTGTGCTGACCTCGCGCTGCAATACAATTTAGATATAAAAAGATAGAAAGAGCGCATAACAGTTAAAAGCTGTTGTGGGGCTAAGTTGTGGGCAGCAGAGGGCAATGCAGCAAAATCCAATGTATTTAAATATTTTCCCACGTCTGTGCTCCCCACCTCCACCGACCCACACTGACTAGTGTGGCGAAGTTTTGTCGGATAACCCCCATGTACCGCACTGTGTGGAGAAGCCCCTTCATCCAGCAGTGGATTGACAAAAAATTGGCCGTCTGTGTGGCCTGACCATCCTTGTTGACATGTGGCTTGGCGCCGTCCAAATCAACGCGCGCATGTGTGCGTGCGTGCGCTCCGTGCAGTGGGGAGCCCCCCGAGCGGAGAGATGGTATGCACCATATGCCAGGAGGGGTCGTCCGACTCTCCCAACGAGATCGTCATCTGCGACAAGTGTGGGCAGGGTAAGGGAGCCTCGTTCATGCGCGCCGCCCCGCAGCCAGTGCCCCTACGGTCCCACTACCCCACACACCCCGCGCAGCCGATGCAGCGCGTGCCGCGGCATTGGCTTAGTAGGAGACTCGCGTACAGTCGGGTAAAGGGGCAGCCCTACATGTCCGTGGTCATGCCACTGAAAGCAGAAAGGCCCTCCGCTAGATCAGTGCTTCTCAACCTTTTTTTATTCCACGGCACATTTTCGAGCTTGTTCGATCCTCGCGGCACATTCTTTGTCCAATTGCGCGACTGAGGGAGTTGAGAGGATTGGCCACTCAACGGCATTGAGGAGAAGTTCGTCAGTCCCAGCTTGCGAACGGTGAACTTCTTGACTATAATTCCGAAAATACCGGTAGCACACCTGGAACTTTGCCGGTTTGCGAAGCACTGCACGAGATGGAGCTCTATAGTTCCCTCTAGATATCCCTCTCGTAGATTTCGTATTAAAATTAGTTTTTTTTTTCTGCTTGGATCAGCCATCTCCTATGTGCTGCCCTGTTCTGTCTTCCATTCATAAAATATGAACATAATTAGAATAAATATGTAAATTACTGATTCCTACATGCAAAATTCCATACATTATTCCTTCGGGGGCAAGAACAGATTTGAATTGACAATTATTTACAAGCCCATTTATATGTCATAATAAGTAGTGCTGTGACATGACAACTACAAATTATGTGAAATACAACAGAGAGCCATACTAAATCTCTTGACGGTTTTCATTGTTAATTGCTGTGGTTCACAGTCTGACTAAGGCACCTTTGAGGATTGCTATGGCTCAGTGTTATTATGCCGGAGCAGCATGCCTGTGGACAACTGTTTAGTCAATCGTAATAATGAGACAACTGGTGATGAGGAGGGTGTCCCCGTGGATTCGCGTGCGTTCCCTGAACGACGCTGCGTGCCCCCCCCCCCCAGGATACCACCAGCGGTGCCACATCCCCAACATCGACTCGGAGCTCATCGCGTGCGAGGCCTCCTGGCAGTGCCGCCAGTGCATCTTTGTCACCACTACCAAGGTGCTCCGGTTTCCTCACCACATCAATGGAGTTGGCTAAACATCCCAATATGGGACCACAAAGCTTGGGCATTTGTTGGCTCCGGTTCATGCTTTTTCTGTTGCCCCGCTACAAATTCTACAGCGTTTTGAGATGCGATTTGCTACTTACAAAATAAAAAAATAAAAATTACATTATATGTGTGTGGTCCCCAGCGTGGCGGTGCGCTGAAGAAGGGTCCCCAGGCACGTGCGCTGCAGACGGTGAAGCTGACACGGCCGTACAGCCTAGAGGAGCTGGAGTGGGATGCTCAGCACCGCACCAACATGCAGCAGGTTTACTGCTACTGCGGGGGGCCCGGAGAGTGAGTAGGCGGCATGGTGGACACACGCGGGGAGATACGCGTTCACACATATCAAGATAACACACAGATGCACAGAATGACACGTAGATACAACAACAGTGGCCTCCATTCACCGCTCAATGACATCACCAAGCCACCTGTTAATATTGTTCTCATGACGCTTATGTACCCAGGAAAATATCGTGCAGGAGGGTCCTGCCACTTCTTCTCAGTCAGGGTGATGTTGCTATGTGTAAGCCCAATTGAATAAATTTCAGGTGATTTTTCAGCATTGTGATCTTTGACCAATGTCAGTTAGTCTGTGTGTGTGTTTGGCAATGGGAGAAGCCGAAAAAAACTCAGAGGAATCCCATGCAGAACAGGGAGCAAACATTCAAACTCCAACAAAACAACTGCCATTCGCTACTAAGAAGCGGTGATGTCACCACAGCGCTTGTGCAAGGCGATGTGCACTTGGAAGCCACGTGAAGTGTCAAAGGCTCCGTGACAGAACAGACCCAGATGCAATGGGTTAACTGTTTGAGATGACTGACAGATGCACCACCTGTGCCTCCACTGTGAAAACTTGTGTTTTAGGCGCCTGGTGCTCCGCTTGTAGTTGTTAGCATGACTCCTCTGCCCTCGGTTGTTATCGGAAGGTGACTTCATTCAACTGCCCAGTTGCGCCCTTCAAGAACCTCCTCCACAGGCCGATCTTGACACCTCGTGTACCAGTTATTGGCAAGTCCACTCATCGCCACATTTTCCTGTGCCACATCACCCAATCTCTTGTGTAGCCCGTGCTGCGGCCCATTTAGCCCCCTTTATCCAGCCAACTCAGAAGCTACTTGGGCGTACCGTGGCTGGACATGCAGCCTGCGTAACCCAACCAACGCAGCCTTGCCTACAGGAAAAGTTAACTGAATCAGACGGTCTCCAGATCACTCAATCCAGTCTTGTTAAATCCAAGATGGATCATAGGCAAGCCAGTCTGAATTTTTAAAACCGGCGCAGATGTTCCTTTAGAGGGGTCCACATTTCGCAAGTGTAGAAAAAGTACGTAACTGGCCGAGGAAAACCCAAAGCTTTATATGGATCGACAGGCCTGGCAACTTCCACAGTGTTGTGAAGCTGATGAAAATATTCCACTCGGCTGATTCAGAGCGAGACCTCTACTGTCAAGCACGGGGCCTTGCTGGGTGAAGCTGGTTACAGTGGTGGTGGTGGTGTCTGTCCCAGGTGGTACCTGAAGATGCTGCAGTGCTGTAGCTGTCGGCAATGGTTCCACGAGGCGTGTACGCAGTGCCTGGAGCGACCCATGCACTTCGGAGACCGGTGCTCACCTCACCTCTCTCACCTAGCTCACTCGCCTACCTCACTCACCCCGCTCACCAAGCACAGTCGCTATACCTCACTTAGACACCTAAGTCACCGAACTCACCCGCCACACTGCGCTCAATCTTGGTCACCACACCTAGCTTCACCACAGCGCACTCACCTAGTTCACCTCACGTCACCTTGCTTACCGCTGTCGTTCTTCTTACAGTGCCTTGCTCAATCATGCTACTCTTACGTTCACCTTAGTCTTCTTGATAATTAACCCCGCGTCTCCCCCGCAGGTTCTACCTGTTCGTGTGCTCCGTGTGCAACGCAGGACCAGAGTACATCAAGCGCCTCCCCCTGCGCTGGTGAGGGCTCCGAGCCTTCTACGGTGCTAGGCTGGCCCAGAGGCAGGCTCGATGAGTAAGGTCAGGGAGGGAGTGAGAGTCGGTGAACAAGGTAAGGGAGTGAGGTCAGAGTGAGGGTTGAAGAGTAAAGCTATGGAGGGCGTGAGAGTCAGAGAGAGAGAGAGATATAGTCAGTGAGTGAGGTTGAGGAATGAAGGTCCAAACATGAGCGAGGTATGGGAGGAGGTGAGCTCAGGGAGTGAGAGTTTACGAGCAGGGTTGGGTTCTTGGGGTTGGCGAGTGAGGTCCAGAGTGAAGTGAGGCGAGAGAAGAGATGGTGGGTGTTGGATGGAGCGGTGTGGTGGTGTTGGGGTCGGGGTTTGTTGAGCCCCGATCTCCGTGTCCCTTGCTCTGACGTTGCCGCGTGTGCCGCCTTGCAGGGTGGACATCACGCAGCTGTGCATGTACAACCTTACAGTGGTGCACAAGAAGAAGTACTTTGACTTTGAGAAGGAGGTGATGCCATTCGTGCATGACAACTGGGACAGCCTGCAGCTCGGCGAGGTATGTGTGCATGCTTACGATGGGTATCGAGCAGTATCATGGCGGTGAGCACACTACGCTGCAAACCCAGTGACCTAAGTTTGAATCACGACCATGGCTAACATTAGTGTTGATTATCGGAACTGACCTTGGGCCTCTCCTTCGTCGACGCGGCTTGAATTGAGTTACTCGTACAACTTATAATCATCGGCGCTGATGAGACAAAGGTGGCAGGGCGTGGCGCTGGCCAGACCAACCCCTCATGCGCCGTGCCAGCCTTCATAGGCATCCGCCAACAGGCTTTGCCCCAACAGCCTGTTAAGACTATTTTACAAGAATCAATGAAAACGTCGACCCTTCTGCGTGCAAGTGGAACCTTTCTCGTGCTGAAGGACAAAGAGAGATACAGGACGAGTCTCACGGAGTTTTCACACTTATGGCAATTCGGTTATCTGTCACGATTGGGGTGGCCACGATTCAAGAATCAAATTTTTCCATTGTCTCGTTCTATAAAGTTTTTGATTGCTTATGTTATGGTTAGGTAGTCACGTAGTTACAATGTCGATGTTTTAACTACAACGCTGCATCAACCAGTAACAAAACCAATTAAATATAGTTGTCATGTCATGGACAGATGTGAACATTTATTTTGTTTTTCAGCAAACTGCTGGAATGTAGAAAATTCCAAGCAGAATTTTTGGCAATTGTGTACAAAACTAACACTTTCGCTGGAGATTACATCCAGCATCATCAGTGTGTTCACACAAGCTCAGCTCTCCTCACGTGAAAGAGATTCCTGATCCAGGTCCTTACGTAGGTGCTATGATATAACCAGGAACAGCCATAATGCATGTGAAGGTTTAATAATTAGAGTTCATTGGTTGTGATTGACAGGTGCAATTCACAATACACCTTATGTACATTGAATGTGTATTGCGTTACACTAGTTATAAAGCTTGAGTTTAATGCAATATTAAAAAACGACATCTCAAGAATGATATTGGGCATAAAAGCCTTATAAAATCTGTGGGGACAGCCAGGAAGGGAAAGAGAAGGTTGGGTTTTTTTGGGTGCTGCGGTGGCGAGATGTTAACTAGGTCGCCTGGTATGCAGGAGCTCGTGGGTTTGATCTTGACCCTTATGCTCATATATTTGAAGTTTTGGTGTCTCTCCGTGGTCCCGCAGATTTTTCTCCAGGTCCTCCGGTTTTTCCCTCCACATTTGAAATCAACGTGCGTGCGTTTTAGAGTATTTGGCTGCTATAAATGCACGTAATAATCCACTTCGTTGAAGTGTAATTTGTGGCCAGGTCCCTTCTAAAAAATAGCTATATAGCTAATTGGGCCTTACCTGGTAAAATTAAAATACAGGTAGTCCTCTACTTACGATGCATTACGACGACCCCATCGTAAGTCAAAAATATCGTAAGTCGAAGATGGCCTAGCCTACCCAGGAGTCTTAAAGAATGGTGATAATTTATCAAAACAGCAATTTACAGTACCGTACTGTATAAACTATATACTGTATGCATTTGTTAACTACAATACTGTATTGCACAGTAAAATGTAAAGTAAAAAAAAATCAAGGTAAATTCTTAGCCTACCTATATGAACTGCAATTTAATAGAAAGTTTTTTCAGGAAACAATCCTATCTGCTATATAAAAAAAAACACCGTCCAGTATCGTACCTCGTACGCTGCTGCATTTGCCTGCCGCGCGAAATACAGGTAGTCGGGGACTACCTGTATTTACCTTCAAAATAAAATCTGGCCACGTCTCGCACCCCCAAGGGGTGCGTGCACCCCAGGTGTAGGACCACTAACCTGAGGACTTCTTTTACATGTTCTCTGCAATATTGACGCTTTTGTTGTGTCGCTGTGCTCAAGTACCGGGATCATCCGTAAGTGTAGTCTATTAGTGACATCAAAAATAGCAAGCAGGGGGAGGTTGTCCACCGGCTTGCAAGTCTGTTGCGTGGCCACGCTGTCCACGGGGCGACCGCCTATTTTTACTATTTTATTTATCGGTTAAAACCCCGGAGCTATTAGCCCGTTTTCAGAGGCGACACATTGACGGTTGGGCATTTAGTGTAACCAAATAATCTAAACCAGTACTCTTTGGTTCTTTCGGTAAAGTCACGTAGGTATAAAATACATTAAATCACGACGTTTCGGGCGCAACACAAGCGTCCGTCATCAGGTGGGACAACCACAGCAAGAAACAACTGAAGTTGTCGTGATTTAACTTATTTTATTTTATACCTACGTGACTTTACCGAAAGAACCAAAGAGTATGGAAAATATTTTACAATTTTGTCGTATCGCCATCGTAAGATCTAAATATCGTAAGTCGGACCGTCGTAACTCGGGGACTATCTGTAGTTTTGTTTTTTTATTGTCCTGTTTCTCCTGTTAAACGCAAATTCTGCCGGTTTGCCCGGCTGTGTTTGCAGCAGATGGCCGACACTACTCGGCAGAAGCGCTACCAGTGTGTGATGCACGCGCTCATCAGCAACAAGAGCAAGTGAGAGATGCCTCTTCTTACCATCTATTCAGCCGCTCACACATGATCGTGGTCAGAGTTGGTGGGACAGTCTGTGTGTAAGTGAGTCAGTATATGAATGTATGAACAAGTTAGTGTGTCGATGAGCGAGTGAGTCGGTGAATGAGTTGGGTGGATGGGTGAACGTATAAGTGATGGAGCTAATGGGCAGTTAAGTGAATGAGTCGGTGAGTGAGTGCTTAAAGGTGAGCAATTAAGCAAGTGGGTAGGTGCGTTAATGGTTTTGTACGCAGAGGGGTTGCGTCTGTGGGTGAGTGAACAGTGAGAAAGTAGGTCATTAGGTGGCTATTTTATTGGGTGAGTGAGTGAATGAGAAAGTATGTGAGTAAATCGTAGTGAATTAATGAAGGTGTGGATCATTTTGGGTGATTTTTGTGAATGAAAGAGTATATCAATTAACTTATGGGTTGAAGTCCAAAACATCCAAGAATAGAACCAGAGAGCTTGGCAATTGTTGGCTGTGGCTATCCGTGCCCCAGCGCGAAAATCTCAGGCGGCGGCGTCACAGATTCTACAGCAGCGTTTAGATCTGCGATTTGCACGAATGATGCTGTATATAGATAAAACTTTATTTGTAATCATAATTTCAATTTATTAAGCGCCCTTAAACAATTGTTCTCAGGGCACTACAATCGTACTCAGGGCGCTACGTGAGTAGTACGGTAGGTGTGCGGGTGAATGTGCGCTGGAGTGTGTCCGCTGCCCGATACCCGCATTGAATTGCGTGTGTTACAGCGTGTGCGGCCAGTGGAGAGCGGTAGTGTAGCAGTTAGCGTGCTGCACCACGAACTCGGCGACCCGGGGTTTGATTCCCGCTCACAGCCAACACCTTTGATGATTATCTGAACCAGTCCTGGGCCTCCCCTAGGTCGACTCGGCCTCAAATTAGTACCTGCTGCGGTGTGTGAACATTAGCAACGGGGAGACAAAGGCAGCCCGGCGTGGTGCTGGCCACCCACCCTCATATGCCGTGCCGGCCTTCATATGTGCTACTCGCTAACAGCACTTGCCCCAACAGTCCACTAAAGGTTACACGGGGGACCTTTGTCTTTGGCGCCACGTGTGTGCAGGTTCGTGTGCGGGCGCGAGATCAAGAAGAAGCAGCACCTGTACGGCCTGCGCATGCGTGTGCCCCCCACTCCACCCTCCATGTCCCTTCCGGCCGCCCTGGGGTTCGCTGAGGGAGACGGCCCCCTCGGCCTCGCTAACATCTCCTACCCGTCCCCTCCTCGCCCCACGCGACGGTGAGACCCCCCCCCCCCCACCTTGTCTCATCCCTGCCAAGACACCGTCGCGGGGAGGGGGCCACTTGGGCCCAAGCTAGGGTTGCCACATGTCCTGCTATTTTCCGGGATTCCTCCCGTGTTGAAACAGCTGCCCTGGAAAATCTGTTAACTTTTCCCAGGACAAGCCCTACACCGTGTTGAGTCACCACACTGCAGGTCAACGCTTCTGTTTCTGCTTCTTCCCTCGCACTGCTCCACTTTGGAATTCCCCCCCATCATCATTGTCTCTTTTTCCCCCCAAGCTCTTACAATAATGACCTTGCTCAGTTCAAGACACGTGTTACACTCTTCATCCATTACAACTCCTGACGCTTGCCATGCAGGCGCCGCCTGTCCGGGCGTCCTCGCCGACCCGTGGCCAGAGCAGGGTCATCCTCACTCACCGGACCAGCTGCCCTCACAGCCTTCCCCAGGTGCCCAGCACGGGGCACCCTGCACTCAGTCACACACAAAGCACGAGGCACCCCCGCACACCAGTGCACCAAGCACGAGAGACACACCCCACACTCGACACACGCTTGACTCCCCGCATGTTTGCCGTTCTCCCCCCCCCCCCCCCCCCCTCTTCTCCACCAGGACCGCCTTCGGCCTCGACTCCGTCAACCGGGCTCCGTCCCGGCTCAAGCGGGGACTCGGCGGGACCACGCCCCTGCGCCGCTCCCCGCGCGTCCCGGGAGGCGGTTACCGTGGAGACGAGGGCCCCGGGGTCCCGGGCGGTGGGCTGGCAGGGGATGGGGACGCGGTGGGCCCGGGCCTGGGCGGGTTGCAGGCCTGCCTGTCCCGCCTGGCCCCCTCCCCCGGCCCCGCGTGCCTGGCGGGAGGCGGCGCCGAGGGCCGTGCGGCGTGCGGGGAGGCGTTCCGTGTGCTCGGCCGAAGGGTGGGCCCTGACGGGCGCGTGCAGTACCTGGTAGAATGGGCGGGCACCACACCCGGCTAGTGGGGGGAAGGGGCGAGAGCGGAACCGGCCCTCATTATAGCCGTGGGCCCCGGGCCCTGCTGGGCCGGGGGGCGAGAGGGCCCGGCTCGTTCGTGGCGAGCTGCGCCGGTTTTAATTTAATCCTGAGCGGAAATGAGAGGAGAGGAACCGGCGGGTAACGTCCAAACGAGCTTTAATGCTGAGGAGCTAGTGTTTGATTGCCAATGATAAGAGGTGCGCGGACGGGAGTCTCACGTTGCAGACGGTATCGGGTTGGTCTGCGGCTGGGGGAGCGCTACCCCCTCACACACCGTTGCGTGCCCCCTATGCGTTGCGTGCTACCGCTAGACATGTAGTGATCCACCCTCAGCCGCCCCCCCCCCCCTCGCGTGCTATTCATTTTATTGGCGCGATCAGAGATCTCTCTTCCACTTCGATAGGCCCGCCCGGCAGCGAGTTTGCCATTTGCAGAGATTCGCGGTTCGAATCCTGCAGGCCGTACTGATTAATGCTGGCGTGCGTGTATCAATCGTAAAAATACGCACCGCCAACTGCTTTGCAGTGGACGTTAAAAGATTGCTCACGTCATTTGAAGACGGGCAGGCCACTGCGGGTCCATATTTGAAAAATCGCACGGCAAATCACTTCAATGGGAAACGGTGAAGCTGCTGGCAATACTGCCGAATGAAAGTGTCAAGAGGCTTCCCTGGGTAAACAGACATCGTAATCGTAAATAATAACATAAAACTTAATGCATGTTGCTGCTATTGTACTTTCCGTGCTTTCTGCGCACAACTCTTATGCGAATCTGTTCTCGCACGTCGCGTGATGCCGCGTACATCGTGAGCTTGATAATCGGAATTTGACCACAGCTGGATCGTTACACGCCTGCCGACTGCGGCCTGCGTGGACGGAGTCGCGAGGCCGTGGTCTCGCGACACAGAGTCGCGCGCGGGGGGCATATAGAGAGCGGACCGTCTATCCGCGCGTTGTGCAGCGTGGCTCAGCGGAATGAATGTACCCTTCGGATACTAAAATATACTGAGATAGTTTATATACAGGAGAGTTCTATATGTACGCCCCGCAAAGCCGAAGGCGCTCTTTTTTTTTATTAGATCCTGCATTTATTTGAGTTGAATCAACTAGGGGGTTCCTCGCCGTGCCTTGTTGTTGGTTGCTACGTGCGGTGTGAAAGAAGTTTAACGTACGTAAGCCGTGGCCTCGTTTCACCGCGCACACTTTGACCAAAAGCGTTTGACCCGGTGACCCTGACGACCCTGTTCCTGTGTCAGGCCTCGTCTAATCCGTGCCCCATCCAGGCCACGGTTACCAGGATTGGCAGCGAGGAGCTTGGCCAGGTCTCTGTTATTGCTGCTATTGAACTTCCAGCGCACAACCTCCACCCACCCCCTCCTCAACCGCGTGCCAGCTCCCGTCGCTGCCGCGCTGCCACAGACGAAGAAAGTAAAACGCTACTCAAAAATGTTAAAACAGCTCTTAGGCTGCGCATCTCACAATGTTTAAACACGAGCACTGCCCCGCGCACTTGCCCGGGATGTAACCTCACCCTCGCCTTTGCGCGCGCGCGCGCGCGCACACGTTATGGTAGGCGTTCGGCTTCAAGTGCGATGGTGTCGTCGCATCATCCTTCACCCCTAGAGGGCGACATCACCAAGGCAAAAAGCCGAAAGGCTGTGGCTTAAGGGATGATTATGACATCATGACGGCGTCACACAGCCCCCCCCCGAAGGGTGACGTCGCTGCGGGGAAGCCATAGGCGTGGGTTACGGGACGATGGTGTCGTGCCCAAACATAGGGTTTAAATGTAAATCAATGGGAAAGGCACGTTTTTGGCTGCCATTAGTTTGTATTTGATGTTGTTTTTTTTTAATTTGGTAGGGGGGGGGGTTAAATGTAAATTGGGAGAGGTGACAATTTTGCGGCAATGTCCTCGCCATGAGAAGCATTCGGCTTTAAATTAGTTTTTATGTCCGATACACCGTACGCGAGGAAGCACTTAAGAAAGAGGCGGTGTTGGGCAATTGTCACCTGTGTGTGACGCCAGCCGTAACGACCTGGCCCTCCCCGATGCACTTAACCAGGAAGTATGGGGGAGAGCGACGAGTGGCACTGTGAGGGGAGTTGCCGGGGCCGGGCGATTGTCAGGCATGGGGGGGGGGGAGGGGGCACGAAGCCGTGGCTTCGTCTGCAGCCTTGTTACTGAAAAACCTGGTTTCCACGTCTCCCCATTTAGCCGCGAATGATGTACGCATCACTCGCTATCATGGCACGGTAAATGCATTTGCGGCTCCCGGTCCCTTGTTCCCATCACGTTGACTCCTCAAAAAGTCTTGGCATGCTGACAAATCGGTTGGAGCTCGCGTCAAGGGGTCTCAAATTGCATGTGATCGACCACAATCGCGAGGTGAAACTGCGCTCGGCGTTACAGCCGGTATCTGGCTGTGACACCGGCGTCAGTTTCGTCCTCTTTGAGTGAGCCTCACCATGATTTGGGCAGCGCGGTTTTGACTTTTGAGAGGCCAGGGAAAAATGGGCTCCTTGCAGCTTTATAATTGAGGACTTTGTACCAGAGCAGAATCTGTGGATAATGAGGATTTGCATGTTTTTAAAATAATTCTTATGCTATTTATCGGCTTTTTAACGTTCTAAACTTCATATTTACCCGTTTTGTATCATTTATTTTGCGCGTTTCGGGAAGTCCCATATTCATCTTCAACGCATCGTGTGGGTTTGGGTCCTTGGCCTCGTGTGCAGGTCATCGCCGCTGTGGCGTTAGCCCTGTGTGAGCACGGAGAGAGAGAGCGGTTTCCCTGGGTGGGGACTGCCCTGTCTGCCGGTCTGCAGGGGGCCCCATACATCCTACATTCCAGCCAGTTCATGGACCCGGTTCGCATGTTATTATTTCACTTGTATTGCCACCTGAGGTGACCAAACGTTCGTTTTATAATAAAGCAATTTATAATGCGTACATTTTCACGAAAAGGCAAATTCTCAGTCGTGATGCGAAGGCTCCACGTAGCCAGGCTCAGTTACTCATACGCTCCACGAAACAGATACAAGGCCTTCATCTGTCTTTTAAAAGTGTCGAATTTGATGATGCTGCGTTTAAAGTTTAATTTTCAAGTTTAATTTTCAAGTTTCATTTATTAGGTATAGCCCTGTGAGCCATGCGGCTCTTAAAGTCGGGTGCAACCGCAACAGACAAAATTTGAACGCAGAACATCTTAAAGCGACGTGTAACAGAAACATCCTGGAATAAACCAGCATATTTTCCACACAAAAAACGTATTAAAACGCTGTGTGCAAAAATCAATGTGTTGCAATCCAACAACAACAACCATAAGACAATTTAGATTAACCATATGTTTGATGTGCTTGCGGAAAAACGGCGATCTGCCAGAACAGTCGTGGGTCGGCGGTAGGGGGTGGCGATCGAATTGAGGGATGAGGTCCTTCGTAGTGCCTTGGGGTTGACTGACGGCCCTCTAAAACAAAATCTAATGATTATTTTAGATAGCGTCGTTCATGGAAATTGTATCTCACAATCGCCGAGGAGCCACGGACCAAGCTGAAAGGCTACCGGGTGTTGAGCCAGCGCCAACAGTTCTGCAGTCCTCTGTATATTAAGATGTTTTCAGCAAATTAGTGTTCATACATGTGGGAGGAAACCAGAGCACACGGAGAAAACCCACGCATGCGAGGGGGCAGCACTATCCTAATCAGAATGGACGGATAATGTTAGTCCACACTTTACTGAATTGCAATCTGCATGGCAAGCTCGGGTATTGACTCGATGCCCGTGAGAAGGGGAGTTTGGCAACATTTGTCCGATCCACCAAACCTCGTTTCCACAGTGTTGGATTAAGGGTTGACGTGCATCGCCATCACCGCCTGGCATGGGTTTTAAGGACTGCCAGATAATTGTGGACGACTGTGGAGTAATTATTAAGTCACCACGTATTCTGCCGAATCCATACCGGTAGAACCAAACCCCCATCTCAAAGCCACGCGGACTATGTTGCTATTGTGCTCACACGATGCAATTATTTGAATTTGTTTGTATTTATTGTTATGAACAGTGGTGGAAATGTGCCTGTATATGACCGTGTTTGCCAACCGGCACTTTTCAGAACCACACCAGCACGACTCCGTACACCAAACAGGCCAGGCCGGCACAGTTCCTATTCCTCCGCAGAGGGGAGGCTGTAATGAAAATGTGACTACGGGACAAATGGGTTTCATACCGGGACTTTCCACCACTGCTTATAACCAATAGGTATGGTGTGTGAGCACCACACCTCTTGTAAATGTGTACAACTTGGGTGCCATAGTCCCCCTGGAACGAGATGGTATATAGGGGTGACGGAGGCGCAGTGGTAACATTCACGTCTCGCAACAAGAGGGCCCTCGGTTTGATTCCAGATTCGGGCGCATTTATGTGTATGGAGTTTGTGTGTTCTTTCCCCCTGTTCCAAACGGGTTTCCTCCCACATAAATAATGTAACTGATATTGGCCAAACATCCCAATGCTGCATGATTACCTGCAAGCTTGGCAGGACCCTCTTTAAAAAAAAAAAAAATGTTGAGACGTAATAAATACGTGGCCAGGGACGTGTCGGGGATTAAATTAGTCTTATCTGTCAGGACGAAAGTGGGCTTGGGCAGAACACACCATGCTATAAGAAGAGATGATGGACAAGACTGATGATGGAATGGCAGCCGAATGATAGGACGACCACTGTGGAAATTTGAGAAACGAGAGCGGCCCATGTGCAGGGGATAGCCTTAAATCAGCAGTTTATAAACCGCGAGTGGTGGTGAACGTTCGTCGGCTGCCCGTGTGGTGGTATTAAGGCGCGTCCCTGCCTCGCGGACTAAGCAGCTGCTGACAACGCTAGAGCCATTGCATGGTTTAGCTGCTGCTGTTGAAGCAATGTTACATCTCCTGCACAATGAGCGGAATAAATATCTGCATTTTAATAGCGGTGGTGTGTGTGTGTGCGTGTTTACTTTGAGCGTGTACCTTATGAACACGTATCTTAATCCTTCACACTCCGCGGTGGCGAGATGTTATTTCGCCACCGCGTTCCGATTAGCACGGTTGGCTATGTACGGTGCGAAAGAAGTTATACATACATTTCCTTCGCCTGGTACTCGGGATAATGTGAGTTCGATCTCGACCCTGACGCCTGTATTTCTGGAGTTCGCAAGTTCTCCCCTCTGTGATCGCGTGGATTTCGTTTTTGCCCCCAACGTTAAGAAACACTGGTTTAGATTATTTGGCTACACTAAATGCCCAAAACGAGCTAATAGCTCTGGGTTTTTAACCGATAAATAAAATAGTAAAAATAGGCGGTTGCACCGTGGACAGCGTGGCCTCACAACAGACTTGCAAGCCGGTGGATAACCTTTTCCTGTTTGCTATTTTTGATGTCACTAATAGACTACACTTACGGATGATCCCGGTACTTGAGCACAGCGACACAACAAAAGCGTCAATATTGCAGAGAACATGTAAGGGAAGTCCTCAGGTTAGTGGTCCTCGGGGGTGCGAGACGTGGCCAGATTTTATTTTGAAGGTAAATACAGGTAGTCTCCGACTTACGATATTTAGATCTTACGATAGCGATATGACAAAATTGTAAAATATTTTTAATTTCGCGCGGCAGGCAAACGCAGCAACGTACGAGGTACGATACTGTAACTTTATCATCGCCATCCTCTTCCGACAACTAAGTTAATGTAGCCATCAACAACCTAACATCGTTCAAGTATCCAGACGACGGACATAATCTTGGTGAGTACAGTAGAATATACGATACGTTCAATGCATGTATGATACATAGCTTTAGCGATTTCATTTTAGGATTACCACGATACGATACATACGTTCATTGCATGTTAAAAGTTTTTTTTTTATATAGCAGATAGGATTGTCTCCTGAAAAAAATCTTTCTATGAAATTGCAGTTCATATAGGTAGGCTAAGAATTTACCTTTTTTTTACTTTAAAATGTATTGTGCAATACAGTATTGTAATTAATAAGTACATACAGTATATAGTTTATACAGTACGGTACTGTAAATCGCTCTGTCGCTGAATTATCACCAATCTTTAAGACTCCTGGGTAGGCTAGGCCATCTTCGACTTACGATGCCGTCGTAACGCATCTCCATCGTAAGTCGGGGACTACCTGTAATTAAAAACAAATTAACACGGGCACGTAAGTTGTAATTTACTTGTTTTCATAAAACCTTATGTATGTTCATATTTTTAGCTCTTTCGGTAAAGTCACGTTGAAGGGAAACAACATATATATAAAACAATATAAATTCATCATCAGATGACCGTTTGTGTTATGGTCGAAACGTGAGAATTTATATTTTTTTATATATTTTTTAATTATTTTATTGTTTCCCTTCAACGTGACTTTACCGAAAGAACTGTCACGAAAGTTTTCAATCAAAATTTTACTTTATGTATGTATTAACAATGTACTTTTTTAACGATCGAGAATCAAAGGAGGGGGGGTGGGTGCAAGGCTGCGGTACAGGTGAATAACCAACTGACTTCTGCAAATATATTCCACAACTCCCACGAGGATTTTTCGATTTAAAGCTTTCGTGACTGCAAGGATTCATCTTCTTTGTTTTTTTCGGTAAAGTCACGTAGAATGAGAATAAAATAATAAAATAAAATAACAATCAAATTCTCACGACGTTTCGGCCACAACACAAGTGGCCTTCTTCAGGTGAAAGGAACAGACCCTCTGTTCCTTTCACCCTCTGTTCCTTTCACTTGAAGAAGGCCACTCGTGTTGTGGCCGAAACGTCGTGAGAATTTTATTGTGTTATTTTATTAATTTATTATTTTATTCTCGAGAATTTGATTGTGTTATTTTATTAATTTATTATTTTATTCTCATTCTACGTGACTTTACCGAAAGAACCAAAGAAGGTGAATCCCACGAGGATGTTTTGACAATCGCAGGACGAAGCACGCGAGTCGCACCGCAGTGCGCGCGACAGGAAAACGTTCAGTACAGGTGCGGCTAAGCGCTTTGGGGCCGTCCATAAATGACGTCACGCACCTCGGGGGTGGGGGTCAGACATTTGTGACGAGGGGGGGGGTGAGAAATGTGACGTCACATCAAAATGCGCAACTTTAAATAAATATAGAATTGTTATAACAAAGAGTCTGTGTCGTTGGTTTAGCGGGGGAGGGAAATGAAGGGAGAGAGCCGAGCAATGGCTCATAAACTTTTTTTTAAGCCAAACAAGGGCCATAAATTATAATCTGACGTTTTCGGAAATGACACTTCTTCATAGCACAAATAAGGGGCATTGCCCGAAACGTCGCCAACTATATTTGTTTAAGGCCACACACATCGTGTGTTCACGAGCGAGCAGGGCCCCCCGTTGATTATTTCATTCAAACGTTCGTCCAAAAGGAAGCGTGTCGAGAGAGAGAGAGAGACGATAGTGAGAGAGAGATGCATCCTTGGAAATCCCCCCTGAGCGACAGAAAGAGGAACAGTTTAACACGCAGGAGGCTTTCGCGACCAATTATTATCGCCATACATATAAGGCAAAGTTGTGAATGTTTCTGTTCAAAATGTTTAGCGTACTTCCCGACATGCAACAAACTGCAAATTTGCCATGTGGGTACTTTCCAGATTGTACACCATGCACAAATTATAAAAATACACTTTTTTTGGGGGGGGGGTGGGAGCTCAATAATGTATAATTTTTTTGCACGGCAAGTGAGCTGTGACGTCAAATCTGTCACGTGACCCGCGCACGTGGAAGCGTCACGCATTGTGGTGTAGCGGTTAGCGCGCCGCGCTACGAACCCGGCGACCCGAGTTCGATTCCCGCTCACTGCCACCACCGGTGACGATTATTTTAACCGGTCCTGGGCCTCCCCTAGGTCGACTCAGCCTCAAACGAGTAACTGCTGTGGTGTGAACATCGCCACTGGGGAGACAAAGGCGGCCGGGCGTGGTGCTGTCACCCACCCCCTCGTCCATAATATAAGGAGGGGGGGGGGGGGTTAGATCGCGCACATTGCGGGGGTTGTTTTGCGGTTAGATCGGTCAATTTTACCCAAAATACCCCGTTATTACGCAATGCGGAATGTTTAAACACGTACCAGGATTATTCTTCGAGTCTTTCGGTAAAGTCACGTAGATAGATTTCGTTTCAAAGCTTTCGTGACTGCAGGGATTCATATTCTTGGTTCTTTCGGTAAAGTCACCACGTAGAAGGGAAATAACAAAATTGCTTGCTGTGGTTTTTTTGCACACCTGATAATGATTGCTTGTGTTGCAATCGAAACGTCGTGAGAATTTTGTTTTATTTTATTATTTCCCTTCTACGTGACTTTACCGAAAGAACCGAGAATATGAATCGCGCAAATAGGTTCAAATAAAATTAAAAATAACAAAAAAACCTACGACGTTTCGATCGCAACACAAGCGGTCGTAGTTATTTTCTTTGAACCTACGTGACTTTACCGAAAGACCCAAAGAATATTCATTCCTGCAGTCAGGAACGCTTTAAGTGAAAGACGTCGTCGGCTTTCGCGATATAACTCCCCCAAACAACCAATATTATGCAATGCGGAATTTTACTGTTTTTTATGTTATTATTATTTTATTGTTTCCCTTCTACGTGGTGGTGACTTTACCGAAAGAACCAAGAATACGAATCCCTGCAATCATGAAAGCTTTAAATCAAAATTCAATGCGGACCAATCAGTTTCAAGGACAATGCATATATTATCATAGTATGTTTTTTGTTTGCATTTTGACTGCAGGTATTGTGGCTAATGCAGACATGGATCATTGTAAAAAGGTTTCAGTTTTGTTGCCAGAAAAAAGGGGAAAAACCCTATTATATCAATGCGGAATGTTTTGGTTCCGGCCGGAACAATTTCCTCCCGGAACCATTTCTCGCGTGACTTCACCCTCACCGCCTCCCTACTGCTCATCCTCTTCCCCCAGCCACTCCGAGCCACCTCCCCATTGGCCCGCTGCGCGACACGTGCCCCGCGCGGACCAATGGGAGACCTCGGCGTGGGTCCCTCACAGCCCTCCTCCCCCGCCGCCACAGTGGGGCAAGGCGGTCCCGTGGCATCGCATCCTGGACCAGGGCCGTGGTGGTGGCCGTGGCTGCGCTGCTGTTGACGCCTCCACCACCTCCTCCTCCACCACCTCCTCTTTCTTCATGGCGTCGGGCCGCGAGGGGAGCGGCCTCGGCGCGGCTGACGAGGTGCGAGGAGGAGGAGGCGCTGCTGCTCCCACGTTAGCCAGCACGCCCCAGGCGCGATCCTTACTCCCCGCTCCTCCTTTGCCCACTGCCGCCCGTAGCGCAGAGCGGTCCCGGTACCTTGGGGGTTGTCGCGTCGGCGGGCGCCAGGTGCCTCTGTGAGCACGACTGCGGTGGTGGCGCGGTGCAAGTCACTTGTGGTGGTGGTGGTGGTGGTGCAGTCTAGCGTAGTTGCCACCACCACACCGATGACTGATCCTATGCCTGCTGTTGTCACGACAATTTCTGGACAGGTGGCAACCGGAGGTGGTGGGGGGGGGGTGTGAGCTGGTGAGTGGTATGGTTAAGTGGGCGAGTGAGTGAATTGTTTGAGAGGGTGAGTTTGGCGAGTGAATGAGTTCGCGGTTGGGTGAGCGAGTGAGTAGGTGAGTGAGTGAATGGTTGAGTTAGAGGGTGAGGGAATAGGTGAGTGCTTTTATGAGCGAGTGAATAGGTGAGTGAGTGGATGGTTGAGTTAGAGGGTGAGTGAATAGGTAAGTGCTGTTATGAGCGAGTGAATAGGTGAGTGAGTGGATGAGTGAATGGTTGAGTTAGTGAGTGGATGGGTGAATAGGTGAGTGAGTGGTAAGGCTACCACCTTCCCCACAGCAAGACCTAACGCGGATACGTTTCCTCGTTCAGCACCACTACCGTGAGAACTGTGTTGCAGCTTACTGGACTGCGATAAAGCTCAGCGCAGACGATGCCAACCCCCTTCATCTGTGTACAAATCAACTCCTGCAGCCACCCGCCCACACAGATGATGCCAATTCCCGCACTATACGGTGTCAACCCGGGACGGGTGGCAACCCTCCACTTCACTCTCGTGTGCGTGATCACGGGGGGCGCCTGGAAATTAAACCGCGTGCGTGTTATGTGTGTGTTCTGTGTTGTGTTCTGTGTTGTGTTATGTGTGTGTTGTGTGTTCTGTGTGTGCGTGTTGTGTGTTTGTTCTGTGTTGTGTGTGCTGTGTGTGCGTGTTGTGTGTTCTGTGTTGTTTGTGTTGTGTGTTTGTTCTGTGTGTGTGTGTGTTTGTTCTGTGTTGTGTGTTTGTTCTGTGTGTGCGTGTTGTGTGTTCTGTGTTGTGTGTTTGTTCTGTGTTGTGTGTTCTGTGTGTTCTGTGTTGTGTGTTTGTTCTGTGTTGTGTTGTGTGTTCTGTGTTGTGTTGTGTGTTCTGTGTGTGCGTGTTTGTGCTGTGTGTTCTGTGTTGTGTGTTTGTTCTGTATGTGCGTGTTGTGTGTTCTGTGTGTGCGTGTTGTGTGTTCTGTGTTGTGTGTTTGTTCTGCGTGTTGGTGTTGTGTGTTTGTTATGTGTGTGCGTGTTTGTGTTGTGTGTTCTGTGTGTGCGTGTTGTGTGTTTGTTCTGTGTGTTGTGTGTTTGTTCTGTGTGCGTGTTTGTTCTGTGTTGTGTGTTCTGTGTTAATGTGTGTGTGGTGTGTGTTGTGTGTTCTGTGTTAATGTGTGTGTGTGGTGGTCCGGCAAAACAACCCCTACCTCCTCGCGGTGCCGGACGGGCAACTCTGTCGTGGACAGTGCTGTGGGGGGAGTTCCAATTTTGATTGGCTCCTCCCCTCATGGCATATGTGTCCACCACAGGGGCTAAACGGGGGCTCTGGACGGGTGCGAGGGGCTGGTAACCCCTCCACCTTCAATTAATTACCACAAAACCACGAATTAAAGTTGTAACAACTAAGCTTGTGCCGGAGGCCCCGGGGGGCCAGGCGTCTATGACGTCTCCTGGCCAAACCCCAATTGGCGGAGCCAGGAGATTGAATACCTACCCTCGGGGCTACTCCAGAAACAACGAAAAGCCTCTACGGGTGGCCACGTGGAATGTTCGAACGCTCACTGCAGAGGAGAGGCTGCCACTCCTCTGTCGGGAGCTGGACCGGTACCGCCTGGATCTATGCGGCATTCAGGAGGTCCGGTGGACCGGCTCTGGCTCCTGCCACCATGAGGGGTGGACAGTCCTCTACTCGGGGCAGCAGACTGCCAAACAACAGGGTGTGGGTCTTCTTTTGAACAAAAGAATGAAGGGGGCGTGGGAGCGTGGCGGTGAGGTGTGGGAAGCTGTAAGCCCCAGGCTACTTTGGGCTCGCCTTCCCATCAACCGGAGGCGAGGAATGGTGGTCGTGGTTACTTATGCCCCCACCGAAGATGAACATCCGTGGAGGGATGCAGGCAAAGCCGATGAGTCAGATGCCTTCTATGACCTCCTGTCACAGGTGCTGGCTAAAGTGGCCCCTCGGGATAGAGTCATCATGTTGGGTGACTTCAATGCCCGAGTTGGTCATGATACTGGCACCTGGTCTGGAGTGATTGGAGGGCATGGGCCAGATCAGCTCAATAACAATGGTAGGAGGCTGCTAGATTTTTGTGCAGCCCATGGGCTTGTAATTACCAACACGCTGTTCCGGCATCGGCGCATCCACACAACATCATGGATGCATGCCGGGTCCAAGCAAGAACATCTGCTGGACTACATAGTGACGGACCAGCGAATGCGAGCCCATGTCCTTGACACCAGGACCTACCGTGGAGCTGATCTGCCCTCTGACCATCGACTAGTCATCTGTAAGATGCGCCTGCCATTCTTCCACTCCGGTGGTGGGTGTACACCCAGGACCCCATTCCAACCTAAAGTGGCCTGGTCTCAGTTATCTGATGAAAGTTGCAAGCGAGAATTTCATCATCGCTTGCGGCTGGGATTGGCATCGTCCCCGACTCCTCCTGATGTCGAGGGTAAATGGGCGAGGTTTAGGACTGTGACTCATGCAGCTGCAATGGCTGCTTTGGGTACGCGGTCCAGACCTCCCCAGACACCCTGGATGACAGAGGAGTTGTTCAGGATGGTTGAGAAAAAGCGACAGGCCCACTGTCATCGGCTACAGAATCCCACGTCAGAGAATGAGGAGGCTTACCGCAGCCTTCGCTCGGAGGTTCGGAGAGCCGTGAGGCGCTGCAAGGATGGGTGGTGGTCGCGGGTTGCTGAGGAGATGGAGTCTGCCTCAGTGGCCCGTGATCACAAATCGCTATTTAACTCCATCAAAAAAGTAACCTGCAGCGCCACACCTATTACCATCATTAGGGGAAAAAAACGGTGATCCAATTTCCGACCCCCAGGAACAGGTTCGCAGATTTGCTGAGCATTTCTGTGAGGTCCTGGGGGAGGGAAAATCCCACAGCCAGGAAAACATCGTGGCACAAAGTGAGGATGACCCTGCTGAGGCTGCGGTGCCTCAAATATTGGATGAAGTCATCCCCTGTGAGTGGCTGGCTGAGGTGCCATCTGCTGAGGAAGTATTGAAGGCGATCCGGAGTCTGAGACCAGGAAAGGCAGCGGGCAGAGATGATCTCCCAAGCGAAATGCTGAGGGAGGGTGGCGTTTGTGCACAGACTGCCCTATATGACATCATAACAACAGTCTGGACCACTGGACGGGTTCCGCAGGATTGGAAGGATGCCCTGGTGGTCCCCCTTTTTAAGAAGGGGGACCGCACAGACTGTAACAACTACAGGGGCATCTCACTCCTCAGTGTGCCGGGAAAGGTCCTGGCAAGGATTATTCAGCATCGCCTTGCCAGGCACGCTGAGGAGAGGCTTGCGGAGCCCCAATGCGGTTTCAGGAAAGGGCGGTCCTGCACAGATGCCATATTTTCTGTCCGTCTGCTACAGCAGAGGTGTAGGGAATTCCAACAAGACCTACATCTCTGCTTTATTGACCTGGTCAAGGCCTATGATACCATCAGTAGGCCTGGGCTCTGGGTCGTTCTTCGTGCTTTTGGAGTACCTGACCCTCTGCTCACGATCATTAAGGACCTTCATGATGGTGAGCGGGCCCGGGTAAAACTACGTGGCCGGGAGTCAGAGCCATTCCCTGTACACCTTGGGGTGCGACAGGGATGTCCTCTGGCTCCCACATTATTTAACATCTATTTTGACCACGTAGTTCGTGAAGCCTTCAATAGCTGTACCGGGGGAATCTCCATATGGTACAGATATAATGGGAGGCTAATCGATGCCCGGGTGCGGTCAAGGGATGGCTCCCTATTGCTCAACCACGTTATGTATGCTGATGACTTGGTAATAGCTGCTCAGTCAGAGGAGGAGTTGGAGACGCTGCTGCTGAGACTGGAGCGTGCCACTAAGAGGTGGGGCCTTACCATCAGCCCCACCAAAACTAAGCACCTGCCTGGGTATTTTGTACCATCGGACACTCCACCCCCACAACTCCCAATCGGTGATGGGGCAGTTGTGGAGAGAGTGGAGAGTTTCCCATACCTGGGCAGTGTGCTTATGACTGGCTCCAGTTTAACAGCAGAGGTCTCACTCCGAATCAGTCGAGCGGCAATATCTTTTCATCGGTTGCGTAACGCTGTGTGGAAGCTACCTGGTCTGTCGCTCCGCACTAAGCTTCAGGTCTTCTCGGCCACGGTCATTCCCTCCCTTCTCTACGCTTGCGAAATGTGGACCCCCCTAATGGAACATCTTCGCCGGTTAGAAACATTTAGGCTGGCCTGCCTACGATCCATCCTGGGTTTAACCAGACTGGATTGTGTGAGGAGCTCACAAATCCTTGAAAGATCTGGGCAGGGTCCCATCGGTGAGCTCCTCCGGCAGGCAAGGCTGCGATGGCTGGGTCATGTAGCCCGCATGCCCAGCCACCGCATGCCGAAACAGCTTTTGTTTGGCCGGATTGAGGGGGCTAAGCGGGGCGCGGCACGGGCTAGAGAAGAGATGGAGTGATGTGGTACAGGAGGACGTGGAGCTGAGTGGACTTGCCGATGACTGGTACCAGCGGTGTCAAGATCGGCCTCTGTGGAGGAGGCTCGTGAAGGATGCTACTGGGCAGTTGGAGGCAGTCGCCCTCCAACAACAACGGAGGGCGGAGGAGCGACGCTCACAACAGCGAGCGGAGCGCCGGGTGGCTAAAGCACAGCAGGTTGGCACAGTAGGGGGCACAGGTGGTGCATCAGCCAGTCATCTCAGTCAGTCGACCCGTGGCACCTGGGTCTGCCCCGTGACCTCCTGCCAGCGGGCGTTCGACACTTCACGTGGCCTCACGGTGCACATAGCCTGGCACAAGCGTCGTGGTGACGTCACCGCCACTTAGTGGCGAATGGCGGTTGTTGTTGTTGTTGTTGTGTGGTGCGTGTTGTGTGTTTGACCTGTGTGTGTATTGTGTGTTGTGTGTATTGTGTGTTGTGTGTTTCACCTGTGTGTGTATTGTGTGTTGTGCGTGTGTTCTGTGCGTGATGCCGCGTTGACAATTAGTACACAGGCGCATGTAATAGGTCGACGATCCGGGCAATGGCCGTTTTTAATGACGGAAGGGGGCGGTGGTGGGGCCTTGGCGACGTTTCAGGCAATGACCCTTCTGTAATAGCTATAGAACGAAAAAGGCCGATTGAAACCGTCGGCTGCTTAACGGCAATGCGTCGTCTTGGGGCTGCATCGCTGTTGGCGAATGCGTCGATTGTTCCTAGTGCCTGGACCTCTCTGCGTGGGGTCACGACCCCGGTGCACCTGTGGGGTGGGATCGTGACCCCGGCGGGGTCGTGACCCCTTAACATTGGGGTCGTGACCCTCTCCGCTCTACCCCACAGGGCATCCACGTGGAGACGGAGCTGGAGCTGCTACCGCTGGGAGATTTGGATCTGACATCGGACGAGTGCATCCTGGACGAAGTGGACAGTGAGCCACCCGGTCCCCCTTCCTGCAGGGTCATGCCCCTCCAGGGTCACTCCCCCCCCCTCCCCCAGGGTCACTCCCCTCCCCCCAGGGTCACTCCCCCCGCCCAGGGTCACTCCCCTCCCCCCAGGGTCACTCTCCCACCCCAGGGTCACTTCCCCCCCACAGGGCCACACCCCCCTCGGGTCACTCCCCCCCCCACAGGGTCACGCCCCCCCAGGGTCACTCCCCCCCAGGGTCACTCCCCAACAGGGTCAACTCATTTACCCACGACTGACGCCAGTCTCATCTGAGCTGACCTAGATGCAGCCCACATCCCGGATTCTGAAAGGCCGCGCTGGTGGCTGCGTTGGCTGGTGAAGGTTGCTTCCAAATGCATTGCTCATCACGGTTGCTCGTGACGGTTGCTCGTGACGGTTGCTGGTGACGGTTGCTCATCACGGTTGCTCGTGACGGTTGCTGGTGACGGTTGCTGGTGACGGTTGCTCGTGACGGTTGCTGGTGACGGTGGCTGGTGACGGTTGCTCGTGACGGTTGCTCGTGACGGTTGCTCGTGACGGTTGCTCGTGACGGTTACTGGTGACGGTTGCTGGTGACGGTTGCTCATGACGGTTGCTCGTGACGGTTGCTCATCACGGGTTGCTCATCACGGTTGCTGGTGACGGTTGCTGGTGACGGTTGCTCGTGACGGTTGCTGGTGACGGTGGCTGGTGACGGATGCTCGTGACGGTTGCTGGTGACGGTTGCTGGTGACGGTGGCTGGTGACGGATGCTCGTGACGGTTGCTCGTGACGGTTGCTCGTGACGGTTGCTGGTGACGGTTGCTCGTGACGGTTGCTCGTGACGGTTGCTCGTGACGGTTGCTCGTGACGGTTGCTGGTGACGGTTGCTGGTGACGGTTGCTCGTGACGGTTGCTGGTGACGGTTGCTGGTGACGGTTGCTCGTGACGGTTGCTGGTGACGGTTGCTGGTGACGGTTGCTCGTGACAGTTGCTCGTGACGGTTGCTCGTGACGGTTGCTCGTGACGGTTGCTGGTGACGGTTGCTCGTGACGGTTGCTCGTGACGGTTGCTGGTGACGGTTGCTGGTGACGGTTGCTGGTGACGGTTGCTCGTGACGGTTGCTCGTGACGGTTGCTCGTGACGGTTGCTGGTGACGGTTGCTGGTGACGGTTGCTGGTGACGGTTGCTGGTGACGGTTGCTAGTGACGGTTGCTGGTGACGGTTGCTGGTGACGGATGCTGGTGACGGTTGCTCGTGACGGTTGCTGGTGACGGTTGCTGGTGACGGTTGCTGGTGACGGTTGCTCGTGACGGTTACTCGTGACGGTGGCTGGTGACGGATGCTCGTCACGGTTGCTGGTGACGGTTGCTCGTGACGGTTGCTCGTGACGGTTGCTCGTGACGGTTGCTCGTGACGGTTGCTGGTGACGGTTGCTGGTGACGGTTGCTGGTGACGGTTGCTCGTGACGGTTGCTGGTGACGGTTGCTGGTGACGGATGCTCATCACGGTTGCTCGTGACGGTTGCTCGTGACGGTTGCTCGTGACGGTTGCTCGTGACGGTTGCTCGTGACGGTTGCTGGTGACGGTTGCTCGTGACGGTGGCTGGTGACGGTTGCTCATGACGGTGGCTGGTGACGGATGCTCGTGATGGATGCTCGTGACGTTTGCTGGTGACGGTTGCTCGTGACGGTTGCTGGTGACGGTTGCTGGTGACGGTTGCTCGTGACGGTTGCTGGTGACGGTTGCTCGTGACGGTTGCTCGTGACGGTTGCTGGTGACGGTTGCTCGTGACGGTTGCTCGTGACGGTTGCTCATGACGTTTGCTCGTGACGGTTGCTGGTGACGGTTGCTGGTGACGGTTGCTCGTGACGGTTGCTCGTGACGGTTGCTCGTGACGGTTGCTCGTGACGGTTGCTCGTGACGGTTGCTCGTGACGGTTGCTGGTGACGGTTGCTGGTGACGGTTGTTTGCGAATGCGTTGCCGTCCCTCGCGAATGCGTTTGTGTCTCCGTGTGGAGCCCGTGACGTCTCCGTGTGTCTCCGTGTGTCTCGGTGTCTCTGTGCCGCAGCTCACATCCAGGCGAACCTGGAGGATGAGCTGGTGAAGGAGGCGCTCCGCACGGTGAGGCGAGGAGGCCCCGGGCCCCGCGCGTGCCTCTCTGTGTGTGTCACCGCGTGTCTGTCCGTGTGTCTGTCCGTGTATCTCCGTGTGTCCCTGTATGAACCCGGGTCTCACTGTCTCACCATGTCTGACCGTGTCTCCCTGCGTCTCACCATTCCTCCCTGTGTCTCGCTGTGTCTGCCTGTAATGTCACTGTGTCTCACCATGTCTGACCGTGTGTCCCTCCGCGTCTCACCATTTCTCATGTCTCACCAGTTCTCCCTGCGTCTCACCGTATATCCCTGTGTCTCACTGTGTCTCCCCACGTCTCCCCGCGTCTCATCGTTTATCCCTGTATGCCACCGTGTCTCCCCCGTGTCTCACCGCGTCTCCCCCGCTTCTCACCGCTTCTCACCGCGTGTCCCCGTGTCTCCCCGCGTCTCATCGTTTATCCCTGTATGCCACCGTGTCTCCCCCGTGTCTCACCGCGTCTCCCCCGCTTCTCACCGCTTCTCACCGCGTGTCCCCGCGTCTCCCCGCGTCTCCCCGCGTCTCATCGTTTATCCCTGTATGCCACCGTGTCTCCCCCGTGTCTCACCGCGTCTCTCACCGCTTCTCACCGCTTCGTGTCCCCGCGTCTCCCCCGTGCCGTGTCAGGGCATGGACCTGAGGCATTACTCGAAGCACGTGGAGAAAGAGCTGCAGGAGATTGAGAATACGTCCATCAGGGACTGTATCCTCCACACCCCACCTCCTCCACCCCCTCGCGTGCTGGTGCTCGAGAGTGCCAGTGCGGTGCCGTGTGGTGCCGACCTCGGGGGAGGTTCTGATTCTCCCCTAGGTCGACTCGGCCTCAAATGAGTACCTGGTGCAGTGTGCACACATCGCCACCGGGGAGACAAAGGCGGCCGGGCGTGGCGCCCGGCTACCCAGACACTCGTGTGCCGTGCCGGCCTTCATAGGCGCTGCTACTCGCTAACAGCACTTGCCCCAACAGTCTGTTGAGGCTACACCGGGGGGATCTTTGCACGGGTGTGGTGCTCTCAAGTACCGGCAAAGTGAGTGTGTGGCGCTGTGAGTGGCGGTGCGGTGAGCGAGTTTTGGTGTGGTGAGTGGTGGTGTGGTGAGCGAGTGGCAGTGCGGTGAGCGAGTTTTGGTGTGGTGAGTGGTGGTGTGGTGAGTGAGTGGCAGTGCGGTGAGCGAGTGGTGGTGTGGTGAGTGGCGGTGCGGTGAGCGAGTTGCGGTACGGTAAGCGAGTGTCGGTGCGGTGAGCAAGTTTTGGTGCGGTGAGCGAGTTTTGGTGTGGTGAGTGGCGGTGCGGTTAGCGAGTGTCGGTGCGGTGAGCGAGTTTTGGTGTGGTGAGTGGCGGTGCGGTGAGCGAGTTGCGGTGCGGTGAGAAAGTGGCGGTGTTCATCCGTAACGGAGCGTAGACATCAAGGAGAGTGAGAACATCGCAAGCCTGCACGGCCAGATCACCTCGTGCGACTCCATCCTGCAGGTGCCACAACCACAACGTCAACAACCACCACCGCAACAACCACCACCACCACAACATCAACAACAACCACCACCACAACATCAACAACAACCACAACATCAACAACAACCACCACCACTACAACATCAACAACAACCACTACAACATCAACAACAACCACCACAACATCAACAACAACCACCACAACATCAACAACAACCACCACAACATCAACAACAACCACCACCACCACAACATCAACAACAACCACCACAACATCAACAACAACCACCGCCACAACATCAACAGCAACCACCGCCACATCAACCACCACCACAGCCGCCACCACCACAGCTGCAACAACCACCACAACAACCGCACCCACCACAACAACCACCACCCCCACATGTCAACCACCACAACCGCCAGCACCACAACTGCAACATCCACCACAACAACCGCACCCACCACCACCACCACATCAGAACCCATGAGTTCTCACTTTGCAACTGAATTTGGTGGTCACGTGACCCGGCAGCAGCGCGTGCGCCATTCACGGCCACCACCGGGCCTCCCCTAGGTCGACTCGGCCTCAAATGAGTACCTGGCGCGGTGTGTACAACATGAGCACTGGGGAGACAAAGGCGGCCGGGCGCGGTGCTGGCGGCCTTACGCCCATCGTGCAGCCGTGCCGGCCTTCATAGGCGCTGCAACTCGCTAACAGCACTTGCCCCGACAGTCTATTAAGGCTACTCGAGAGGTGTATCTTTGTCTTTTCTTTAATGCGTGTGTGTGTCTGTGCTTGTGTCTGTGCATCTGTGTCTGTGTGTGTGTGTCTGTGCATGTGTGTGTGTGTCTGTGCGTGTCTGTGCGTGTGTGTGTGTGTCTGTGTGCGTGTGTCTGTGCGTGTGTGTCTGTGTGTGTGCGTGTGTCTGTGCGTGTGTGTGTCTGTGCGTGTGTGTGTGTCTGTGTGTGTGTGTCTGTGCGTGTGTGTCTGTGCGTGTGTGTCTGTGCGTGTGTGTCTGTGCGTGCGTGTGTGTGTGTCTGTGTGTGTGTGTTTCTGTGCGTGTGTGTGTGTCTGTGCGTGTGTGTGTGTGTGTGTCTGTGCGTGTGTGTGTGTCTGTGCGTGTGTGTGTGTGTCTGTGCGTGTGTCTGTGCGTGTGTGTCTGTGCGTGTGTGTGTCTGTGTGTGTGTCTGTGCGTGTGTGTCTGTGTGTGTGTGTGTGCGTGTCTGTGCGTGCGTGTGTGTGTCTGTGCGTGCGTGTGTGTGTCTGTGCGTGTGTGTCTGTGCGTGTGTGTGCGTGCGTGTCTGTATGTGTGTGTCTGTGCGTGTGTGTGTCTGTGTGTGTGTGTGTCTGTGCGTGTGTGTGTCTGGGCGCGTGTCAGCGCATGGAGGAGATGCTGTCGTCGTTCCAGACGGACCTGAGCAGCATCAGCTCGGAGATCCAGACGCTGCAGGAGCAGTCGGTGGCCATGAACGTGAAGCTGCGCAACCGCCAGGCGGTGCGCGGGGAGCTGAGCCAGCTCGTGGACGAGCTGGTGGTGCCCGACACCATGATCACGTGCGCCACCACCACCACCACCACCGTCGTCACCACCACAACCATTGCTGCCACAGGCACCGCCGTCACCACCGCAACCAACACCACCGACACCGCCACGACCATGACGACCGCAGCCACCACCGCCACCACCAACACCACCAACACCGTTACTACTACAGCCACCATCACCAACATCACAACCATCACTACCACAAAGACAAACATCCCCCCCGCATAGCCTGTGGCAGACTGTTGGGGCAAGTGCTGTCAGGGACTAGCAGCTATGAAGGCCGGCACGGCACACGAGGAGGTGGGTGGCCAACTGCTTTTGAAACCCCAGTGGCGATGTTTACTCCACACCGCACCAGGTACTTAATTGAGGCTGAGTCGACCTAGGGGAGGCCCAGGACCGGTTCAGATATTCGTCACTGGTGTTGGCCGTGAGCGGGAATCGAACTCGGGATGCCGGATTTGTGGCGCAGCGTAGCGCTAACCGCGGCACCACAGCTCCCCGCTAACGACCACAGCCACCACAATCACCACAACCCACCCCCCACCGCTGCCACCAACACCACCGCAGCCACCACCATGACCACCACCAACACCACCGACACAACCATTACATACCACAGCTACCACCATCACCACAAAGATGCCTTGGATAGCCTTCACACACTGTTGGTGGCATGCGCTGTGAACGAGCACCGCTGGCACTACTGCCACCATCGCCGCCGCCACTATCATTACCACCACCACCGTTACCACCACCGCCACCACCGTTACCACCGTTACCACCACCGTCACCACCATTACCACCACCGCCACCACCGTTACCACCACCGTCACCACCATTACCACCACTCTCACCACCATTACCACCACCGTCACCACCATTACCACCACCGTCACCACCATTACCGCCACCACCACCGTCATCACCATTACCGCCACCATTGCCACCGTCACCACCATTACCACCACCGCCACCGTCACCACCATTACCACCACCGCCACCACCATTACCACCACCGCCACCACCATTACCACCACTGACAACGCCACAAATGGTGGGCCCAGACCCCTTGGCCGCGGAGCGAAGCGAGCGTCGCGTCTTGGGGCGCCACCCAGTAACGCGTCACCCGCGTGCATCGCCCCCCAACCCCGCCCCCCCCCCGGGCCCCCCCCCCCCCCCGTGCCCGCCTCCTCCCCCGCAGGGCGATCCTGGAGCTGCCTGTGACGGAGCGTGACTTTCTGGAGCAGCTGCAGGAGCTCAACAACAAAATCAACTATGCCAAGGAGCAGGCGTTCCGTGAGACGCTCGCCTGCCAGGACACGCACGACGTGCTGGCCAAGCTCAAGGCCAAGGTGCTGCCATCGCCACCGCCGTCATCACCACTACCGCCATTATCACAATCACCATCGCCACCGTCATCACCACCGTCATCACCACTGTCATCATCACCACCACCGCCACCATCACCACTACCGCCATCACAATCACCATCGCCACCATCATCACCACCGTCATCACCACCATCACTGTCATCATCATCATCACCACCGCCATCGCCACCACCACCGCCACCATCACCACTACGGCCATCATCACAATCATCGCCACCATCATCACCACCATCATCATCACCACCACCACTGTCATCACCACCGCCACCGCCGCCACCATCGACACCAGGACACACACGACATGCTGGCCAAGCTCAAGGTCTAAGTGGTGCCACAACCACCGCCATTACCACCACCAACATCACCACAACCATCATTACCACCATCAGCATCACCATCACAACCACCACCAACATCACCACTGCCAGGACACGCACGACGCGCTGATCAACCACATCGTCAGAACCAGTCCTGGGCTTCCCCTAGGTCGACTCGGTCTCAAATGAGTACCTGGTGCGATTTATAAACATCGCCACTGGGGAGACAAAGGAGACAGGTAGAGCGTGGTGCTGGCCACCCACCCGTGCCGGGCTTCATAGGTGCTACTCGCTGTAACAGCACTTGCCCCAACGGCCTGTTGGAGGCTACACGGGTGGGGCACCTTTGTCCGTGTGTGTGTGCGTGTGTCTGTGCATATGCGTGTGTGCGTATGCGTGTGTCTTTGTGCGTGCGTGTGTGTGTATGCGTGTGTGTGTAGGTATGCGTGTGTGTATGCGTGTGTGCGTATGCGTGTGTGTGTATGCGTGTGTGTGGGGAGCGGGAGTGGAGTGGTTAGCGCGCCGCGCTATGAATCCAGCGACCCGGGTTCGATTCCCACTCACTGCCACCACCGATGATGATTATCTGAACCGGTCCTGGGCCTCCCCTATGTCGACTCAGCCTCAAATGAGTACCTGGTGTAGTGGTGTGTAAACATCGCCGCTAGGGAGACAAAGGCGGCCGGGCATGGTGCTGGCCACCCACCCCTTGTGTACCGTGCCGGCCTTCATAGGTGCTCGCTAACAGCACTTGCCCCTACAGTTTGTTAAGGCTACATGGGGGATCTTTATCTTTGTGTGTGTCTGCGTGTGTGTCTGTGCGTGTGTATGTGTCTGTGCGTGTGTGTGTGTCTGTGCGTGTGTGTGTGTCTGTGCGTGTGTGTGTATGTGTGTGTATGCATGTATGTGTGTGTGTGTATGCGTGTATGCCTCTGTGTGTGTATGCATGTATGCGCGTGTGTGTGTATGCGTGTGTGTGTGTATGCGTGTGTGTATGCGTGTTTGCGTGTGCGTGTATGCGTGTATGTGTGTGTGTGTGTATGCGTGTGTGTATGCGTGTGTGTGTGTATGTGTGTATGCGTGTGTGTGTATGCGTGTGTGCGCAGGCCATCGCCAAGGTCCGTGAGTTCATCCTGCAGAAGATTTACGCCTTCCGCAAGCCCATGACCAACTACCAGATGGCACAGAACACGCTGCTCAAGTTCCGGTGAGCGGCACTCACGCACACACACAGACAACAAAGACAAAGATCCCCCTTATAGCCTTTGCAGGCTGTTGGGGCAAGCGCTGTTGGCGAGCAATTACAAAAGGCCGGCACGGCGCACAAGGGCGTGGGTGGCCAACACCACGCCCGGCCGCCTTTGTCTCCCCAGTGGCGGTGTTCTTACACGCCGCCGTGAACCCCGGCGACCCGGGTTCGATTCCCGCCCAAGGCCAACACCCACAGTGACGACGATCTGAACCCGGTCCTGGGCCTCCCCTAGGTCGACTCGGCCTCAAACCAGTACCTCTGCGGGTTGTGCGAATAAATTGTCAGCCCCCGGGGGAGGGGGGAAGGCCTGTGTCGGACGCACTTGCCTCCTGGGCCCACGCGAGCTACGTGGGGGACCTTTGCCCGTGCGTCGCCGCAGGTTCTTCTCGGAGTTCCTGCTGGCGAACGAGCGGCACGTGGCCAAGGAGGTGCGCGACGAGTACGTGGACACGATGGCGCGCATCTACTACTCGTACTTCAAGGCCTACACCGGCCGCCTCATGAAGCTGCAGGTGCCGCCACTGTGGGGCGGGAGGGGTGCGGGGTGGGGGGAGTGGTGGTGACGATGGGGATGGCGATGGTGAGGATGGTGGTGATGATGACGGTGGTGTTGGCGATGATGATGGTGACAGTGGCGATGACGACGATGATGACGATGATGGCCGTGGTGATGGTGATAGCGATGGTGATGACGGTGGTGATGGCGATGGTGATGACGGTGGTGATGGTGATGATGATGGTGACAGTGGCGATGACGATCATGACGATGATGGCCATGGTGATGGTGATAGCGATGGTGATGACGGTTGGTGATGGTGATGATGATGGTGACGGTGACGATGGTGACGATGGTGATGGTGGTGACTTTGATGGTGATGACGATGGTGATGGTGATAGCGATGGTGATGACGGTGGTGATGATGACGGTGGTGATGACGATGATGGCGATGATGGTGATGATGGTGGTGGTGACGATGGTGATGGTAATAATGATGGTGACGGTGGTGATGATGACGGTGGTGATGGCGATGATGGTGGTGGTGACGATGGTGATGGTAATAATGATGGTGACGGTGGTGATGACGATGATGACGGTGGTGGTGGCGATGGTGGTGACGGCGGTGCTGTCCACCTTCACTCACCGCGGTAGTGTTGAGGTGCCAGCGACCCCTGATGCCCCCACTCCCACTCCCCCCGTGTCCCCGCAGTACGAGGAGGTGGCCGACAAAGACGACCTCATGGGCGTGGAGGACACGGCCAAGAAAGATATCCTCCCTTGCTCTCACCTCGTTCATCACCCACCTCATCACCCATCCTGTCGCCATCACCCACCTCATCACCCAACTCATCACCCAACTCATCACCCACCTCGTCACTATCAGATTTTTTTTTCTGCAGAGAGCGAATGCGTGAGTGTGGTGTGTGAGTGAGTAAATGAGTGTGTGTGATGGGGCAGTTGTGGAGAGAGTGGAGAGTTTCCCATACCTGGGCAGTGTACTTATGACCAGCTCCAGTTTAACAGCAGAGGTCTCACTCCGAATCAGTCTAGCGGCAATATCTTTTCATCGGTTGCGTAACGCTGTATGGAAGCTACCTGGTCTTCTCGGCCATGGTCATTCCCTCCCTTCTCTACGCTTGCGAAACGTGGACCCCCTTAATGGAACATCTTCGCCGGTTGGAAACATTTAGGCTGGCCTGCCTACGATCCATCCTGGGTTTAACCAGGCTGGATTGTGTGAGGAGCTCACAAATCCTTGAAAGATCTGGGCAAGGTCCCATCGGTGAACTCCTCCGGCGGGCAAGGCTGCGTTGGCTGGGTCATGTAGCCCGCATGCCCAGCCACCGCATGCCGAAACAGCTTTTGTTCGGCCGGATCGAGGGGGCTAAACGGGCGCGGCACGGGCTAGAGAAGAGATGGAGTGATGTGGTACAGGAGGACGTGGAGCTGAGTGGACTTGCCGATGACTGGTACCAGCGGTGTCAAGATCGGCCTCTGTGGAGGAGGCTCGTGAAGGACGCCACTGGGCAGTTGGAGGTAGTCGCCCTCCCATAACAACGGAGGGCGGAGGAGCGACGCTCACAACAACGAGCGGAACGCCGGGTGGCTAAAGCACAGCAGGTTGGCAGAGTAGGGGGCACAGGTGGTGCATCAGCCAGTCATCTCAGTCAGTCAACTCGTGGCACCTGGGTCTGCCCCGTGACCTCCTGCCCGCGGGCGTTCGACACTTCACGTGGCCTCAAGGTGCACATAGCCTGGCACAAGCATCGTCGTGGTGACGTCACCGCGAATGGCGGTTGTTGTTGTTGTGTGTGTGTCTGTCTGGACTGACTGTGTGAGTGCGTGGAGTTCTCTCACCCTGTTCTGCACGGGTTTCCCCCGGGCTCTCCGCTTCCCCCCCACCCCCATAGCTAAACCCACACCGACAGTAGAACTGCTATCGGCCACACCCTGGGGCCGATCAAGCGGACATCGTAACAATAATAAATCTGGGGAGGGGGGCAGGGGGGGGGTGGGTTGGGGAGAGGGGCGGGTGGGGGGGGAGGGGCGGGTGGGGGGAGGGGCGGGTGGGGGGAAGGGCGGGTGGGGGGAGCGGCGGGTGGGGCGAGGGGCGGGTGGGGCGAGGGGCGAGTGGGGGGGGAGGGGCGAGTGGGGGGGAGGGGTGAGTGGGGGACGGGGTGGGTGGGGGGAGGGGCGAGTGGGGGGGAGGGGCGAGTGGGGGGAGGGAGGAGTGGGGGAAGGGCGAGTGGGGGGAGGGTGAGTGGGGGAGGGGGCAAGTGGGGTGAAGGGGATGGTGGGGGAAGGGGCGGGTGGGGGACGGGGTGAGTGGGGGGAGGGGCGGGTGGGGGGAGGGGCGAGTGGGGGGAGGGGCGGGTGGGGGGAGGGGCGAGTGGGGGGAGGGGCGAGTGGGGGGGACGGGGCGGGTGGGGGACGGGGCGAGTTGGGGGAGGGGCGAGTGGGGGGACGGGGCGAGTGGGGGGACGGGGCGAGTGGGGGGAGGGGCGGGTGGGGGAGGGGCGGGTGGGGGGAGGGGGGTGGTCTCCGCTAGAGCCCTTCCCCTTGACGAGCTGTACGCTTCTTCTCGAAGCCGTCGCTGAGGAACCCGCAACACGACGTCACGCTGGGCAACCGCGGCGCCGTCATCTCCGGCGAGCAGCTGGAGGCGCCCATCCTGGTGCCGCACGCCGCACAGAAGCAGGACACCCGGGTGGGCGACGCGCGGGAGCTGGGCGCGCGTCACACTCTCGCGTCACACACACTCACGTCACACACTCGCGTCACACACACGTCACACACACTCACGTCACACACACTCGCGTCTCACACACACTCACGTCACACACTCGTCACACACTCGTCACACACTCGCGTCACACACTCGCGTCACACACTCGCGTCACACACTCGCGTCACACACTCTCGTCACACACTCACGTCACACTCTCGCGTCACACACTCTCTTCACACACACGTGTCACACTCTCGCGTCGTGCGTCACTCTCGCGTCACACTCTCGCGTCACACACACTCGTGTCACACACTCGCGTCACACACTCGCGTCACACACTCACGTCACACACTCGCGTCACACACTCTCGCGTCACACACTCTCTCGTCACACACTCTCGTCACACACTCTCGCGTCACACACTCGCGTCACACTCTCGCGTCACACACTCGCGTCACACACTCGCGTCACACACTCTCGCGTCACACACTCGCGTCACACACTCGCGTCACGCGTCACACACTCGCGTCACACACTCGCGTCACACTCTCGCGTCACACACTCGCGTCACACACTCGCGTCACACACTCGCGTCACACACTCGCGTCACACTCTCGCGTCACACACTCGCGTCACACTCTCGCGTCACACTCTCGCGTCACACACTCTCGCGTCACACACTCGCGTCACACACTCGCGTCACACACTCGCGTCACACACTCTCGCGTCACACACTCTCTCGTCATACACTCACGTCACACACTCACATCACACACACTCGTCACACACTCTCGTCACACACTCGCGTCACACACTCGCGTCACACACTCGCGTCACACACTCGCGTCACACACTCTCGCGTCACACACTCGCGTCACACACTCTCGCGTCACACACTTGCGTCACACACTCGCGTCACACACTCTCGCGTCACACACTCTCGCGTCACACACTCTCGCGTCACACACTCGCGTCACACACACTCGCGTCACACACACTCGCGTCACACACTCTCGTGTCGTGCGTCACACACTCTCGTCACACACTCTCGCGTCGTGCGTCACACACTCTCGTCACGCGTCACACACTCTCGTCACACACTCGCGTCACACACTCGCGTCACACACACTCGCGTCACACACTCTCGTCACACACTCGCGTCACACACTCGCGGTCACACACTCGCGTCACACACTCCGGTCACACACTCTCGCGTCACACACTCGCGTCACACACTCGCGTCACACACTCGCGTCCACACACTCTCGCGTCACACACTCGCGTCACACACTCTCGTCACACACTCGCGTCACACACTCTCGTCACACACACTCGCGTCACACACACTCGCGTCACACACACTCGCGTCACACACTCGCGTCACACTCTCGCGTCACACACACTTGCGTCACACACACTCGCGTCCACACACTCGCGTCACCACACACTCGTGTCACACACTCGCGTCACACACTCGCGTCACACACTCGCGTCACACACTCGCGTCGTGCGTCCACCACACTCGCGTCACACACTCGCGTCACACACTCTCGTCACACACACTCGCGTCACACACACTCGCGTCACCACACTCTCGCGTCACACTTCTCGCGTCACACACTCTCGTCACACACTCTCCGCGTCACACACTCTCGTCCACACACTCGCGTCACACACACTCGCGTCACACACACTCGCGTCACACACACTCGCGTCACACACACTCACGTCACACACTCACGTCACACACACTCGTCACACACTCACGTCACACACTCACGTCACACACTCACGTCACACACACTCGTCACACACTCTCGTCACACACTCACGTCACACACTCACGTCACACACTCACGTCACACACTCACGTCACACACTCTCGCGTCACACACTCGCGTCACACACTCTCGCGTCACACACTCGCGTCACACACACTCGCGTCACACACACTCGCGTCACACACTCTCGCGTCGTGCGTCACACACTCGCGTCACACACTCTCGTCACACACTCGCGTCACACACTCGCGTCACACAAACTCGCGTCACACACTCGCGTCACACACTCGCGTCACACACTCGCGTCACACACTCTCGCGTCACACACTCTCGCGTCACACACTCTCGCGTCACACACTCGCGTCACACACTCGCGTCACCACACTCGCGTCACACACTCGCGTCACACACTCTCGCGTCACACACTCGCGTTCACACACTCTCGTCACACACTCGCGTCCACACACTCGCGTCACACACTCTCGTCACACACACTCACGTCACACACACTCGCGTCACACACTCGCGTCACACTCTCGCGTCACACACACACTCGCGTCACACACTCGCGTCACACACACTCGTGTCACACACTCGCGTCACACACTCGCGTCACACACTCGCGTCACACACTCGCGTCGTGCGTCACACACTCGCGTCACACACTCGCGTCACACACTCTCGTTCACACACACTCGCGTCACACACACACTCGCGTCACACACTCTCGCGTCACACTTCTCGCGTCACACACTCTCGTCACACACTCTCGCGTCACACACTCTCGTCACACACTCGCGTCACACACACTCGCGTCACACACACTCGCGTCACACACACTCGCGTCACACACACTCACGTCACACACTCACGTCACACACACTCGTCACACACTCACGTCACACACTCACGTCACACACTCACGTCACACACACTCGTCACACACTCTCGTCACACACTCACGTCACACACTCACGTCACACACTCACGTCACACACTCTCGCGTCACACACTCGCGTCACACACTCTCGCGTCACACACTCGCGTCACACACACTCGCGTCACACACACTCGCGTCACACACTCTCGCGTCGTGCGTCACACACTCGCGTCACACACTCGCGTCACACACTCTCGTCACACACTCGCGTCACACACTCGCGTCACACACTCGCGTCACACACTCGCGTCACACACTCGCGTCACACACTCGCGTCACACACTCTCGCGTCACACACTCTCGCGTCACACACTCGCGTCACACACTTGCGTCACACACTCGCATCACACACTCGCGTCACACACTCTCGCGTCACACACTCGCGTCACACACTCTCGTCACACACTCGCGTCACACACTCGCGTCACACACTCTCGTCACACACACTCACGTCACACACACTCGCGTCACACACTCGCGTCACACTCTCGCGTCACACACACTTGCGTCACACACACTCGCGTCACACACTCGCGTCACACACACTCGTGTCACACACTCGCGTCACACACTCGCGTCACACACTCGCGTCACACACTCGCGTCGTGCGTCACACACTCGCGTCACACACTCGCGTCACACACTCTCGTCACACACACTCGCGTCACACACACTCGCGTCACACACTCTCGCGTCACACTTCTCGCGTCACACACTCTCGTCACACACTCTCGCGTCACACACTCTCGTCACACACTCTCGTCACACACACTCGCGTCACACACACTCGCGTCACACACACTCGCGTCACACACACTCACGTCACACACACTCACGTCACACACACTCGCGTCACACACACTCGCGTCACACACTCGCGTTACACACTCGCGTCACACACTCTCGCGTCACACACTCGCGTCACACACTCGCGTCACACACTCGCGTCACACTCTCGCGTCACACACTCGCGTCACACACTCTCGCGTCACACACTCGCGTCACACACTCGCGTCGCACACTCGCGACGCGCGGGAGCTGGGCGCGCGTCACACACTCACGTCACACACTCGCGTCACACACTCGCGTCACACACTCGCGTCACACACTCGCGTCACACACTCTCGCGTCACACACTCGCGTCACACACTCACGTCACACACTCTCGCGTCACACCACTCTCGCGTCACACACTCTCGTCACACACTCGCGTCACACACTCGCGTCACACTCTCGCGTCACACACTCGCGTCACACACTCTCGCGTCACACACTCGCGTCACACACTCGCGTCACACACTCGCGTCACACACTCGCGACGCGCGGGAGCTGGGCGCGCGGTCACACACTCACGTCACACACTCGCGTCACACACTCTCGCGTCACACACTGCTCGGTCACACACTCGCGTCACACACTCGCGACGCGCGGGAGCTGGGCGCGCGTCACACACTCACGTCACACACTCGCGTCACACACTCCGCGTCACACACTCTCCGCGTCACACCACTCGCGTCACACACTCGCGTCACACACTCGCGTTCACACACTCGCGTCACACACTCCTCGCGTCACACACTCGCATCACGCGTCACACACTCGCGTCACGCGTCACACACTCGCGTCACACACCTCTGCGTCACGCGTCACACACTCGCGTCACACACTCGCGTCACACACTCGCGTCACACACTACTCGCGTCACACACTCGCGTCACACACTGCGCATCACGCGTCACACACTCGCGTCCTACACACTCGCGTCACACATCGCGGTCACACACGTCGCGTCACACACTCCGGCGTCCACACTCGCATCACGCGTCCACACACTCGCGTCACACACTCGCGTCCACACACTCGCATCACGCGTCCCACACTCGCGTCACACACTCGCGTCACACACTCGCGTCACACACTCGCGTCACACACTCTCGCGTCACACAGCACTCGCGCTCACACACTCGCATCACGCGTCACACACTCGCGTCACGCGTCACACACTCGCGTCACACACTCGCGTCACGCGTTCACACACTCGCGTCACCACACTCGCGTCACACACTCGCGTCACACACTCGCGTCACACCACTCGCGTCACACACTCGCATCACGCGTCACACACTCGCGTCCTACACACTCGCGTCACACACTCGCGTCACACACTCGCGTCACACACTCGCGTCACCACCACTCGCGTCACACACTCGCATCACGCGTCACACACTCGCGTCACACACTCGCGTCACACACTCGCATCACGCGTCACACACTCGCGTCACACACTCGCGTCACACACTCGCGTCACACACTCGCGTCACACACTCGCGTCACACACTCGCGTCGTGCGTCACACACTCGCGTCACACACTCGCGTCACACACTCTCGTCACACACACTCGCGTCACACACACTCGCGTCACACACTCTCGCGTCACACTTCTCGCGTCACACACTCTCGTCACACACTCTCGCGTCACACACTCTCGTCACACACTCACGTCACACACACTCGCGTCACACACACTCGCGTCACACACACTCGCGTCACACACACTCGCGTCACACACTCACGTCACACACACTCGTCACACACTCACGTCACACACTCACGTCACACACTCACGTCACACACACTCGTCACACACTCTCGTCACACACTCACGTCACACACTCACGTCACACACTCACGTCACACACTCACGTCACACACTCTCGCGTCACACACTCGCGTCACACACTCTCGCGTCACACACTCGCGTCACACACACTCGCGTCACACACACTCGCGTCACACACTCTCGCGTCGTGCGTCACACACTCGCGTCACACACTCTCGTCACACACTCGCGTCACACACTCGCGTCACACACACTCGCGTCACACACTCGCGTCACACACTCGCGTCACACACTCGCGTCACACACTCGCGTCACACACTCGCGTCACACACTCTCGCGTCACACACTCGCGTCACACACTTGCGTCACACACTCGCGTCACACACTCGCGTCACACACTCTCGCGTCACACACTCGCGTCACACACTCTCGTCACACACTCGCGTCACACACTCGCGTCACACACTCTCGTCATCACCACACTCACGTCACACACACTCGCGTCACACACTCGCGTCACACTCTCGCGTCACACACACTTGCGTCACACACACTCGCGTCACACACTCGCGTCACACACACTCGTGTCACACACTCGCGTCACCACACTCGCGTCACACACTCGCGTCACACACTCGCGTCGTGCGTCACACACTCGCGTCACACACTCGCGTCACACACTCTCGTCACACACACTCGCGTCACACACACTCGCGTCACACACTCTCGCGTCACACTTCTCGCGTCACACACTCTCGTCACACACTCTCGCGTCACACACTCTCGTCACACACTCGCGTCACACACACTCGCGTCACACACACTCGCGTCACACACACTCGCGTCACACACACTCACGTCACACACACTCACGTCACACACACTCACGTCACACACACTCGCGTCACACACTCGCGTTACACACTCGCGTCACACACTCTCGCGTCACACACTCGCGTCACACACTCGCGTCACACTCTCGCGTCACACACTCTCGCGTCACACACTCTCGCGTCACACACTCGCGTCGCACACTCGCGACGCGCGGGAGCTGGGCGCGCGTCACACACTCACGTCACACACTCGCGTCACACACTCGCGTCACACACTCTCGCGTCACACACTCGCGTCACACACTCGCGTCACACACTCTCGCGTCACACACTCTCGCGTCACACACTCGCGTCACACACTCGCGTCACACACTCGCGTCACACTCTCGCGTCACACACTCGCGTCACACACTCTCGCGTCACACACTCGCGTCACACACTCGCGTCACACACTCGCGACGCGCGGGAGCTGGGCGCGCGTCACACACTCACGTCACACACTCGCGTCACACACTCGCGTCACACACTCTCGCGTCACACACTCGCGTCACACACTCGCGTCACACACTCGCGACGCGCGGGAGCTGGGCGCGCGTCACACACTCACGTCACACACTCGCGTCACACACTTGCGTCACACACTCGCGTCACACACTCGCGTCACACACTCGCGTCACACACTCGCGTCACACGCTCTCGCGTCACACACTCGCGTCACACACTCGCATCACGCGTCACACACTCGCGTCCTACACACTCGCGTCACACACTCGCGTCACGCGTCACACACTCGCGTCACACACTCGCGTCACACACTCGCGTCACACACTCGCGTCACACACTCGCATCACGCGTCACACACTCGCGTCCTACACACTCGCGTCACACACTCGCGTCACACACTCGTGTCACACACTCGCGTCACACACTCGCGTCACACACTCGCGTCACGCGTCACACACTCGCGTCACACACTCGCGTCACGCCGGCGCCGGTGCATGCGGCCGGTCGCCTCGGTCAGTCGGCCCGTGGCACCTGCTGGGTCTGGTTTGTGACCTCCTGCCGGCGGGCGTTCGACACTTCACGTGGCCGTGGAGTGCACCTGGCCTGGCGCAGGCGCCGTGGTGGTGAACGGCGGCGGCTGTTGCTCGTTTGAGAGTCTGCTCCTTAGCCAGCACTGTGCACTGTGTGTTTATCTCTGTGTGAGAGTGAGTATCTCTGTGTGTGTATCTCTGTGTGTGTCTGTGTGTGTGAGTATCACTGTGTGTGTGTATCTCTGTGTGTTTGAGTATCTGTGTGTGTGTGTGAGAGTGAGTATCTCTGTGTGTGTGAGTACCTCTGTGTGTGTATCTCTGTGTGTGTGAGAGTGAGTATCTCTGTGTGTGTGAGTATCTGTGTGCGTGCGAGTATATCTGTGTGTGAGTATCTTTGTGTGTGTATCTCTGTGTGTGTGAATATCTCTGTGTGTGTGAGTATCTGTGTGTGTGTATTTATCTATGTGTGTGTATCTCTGCGTGTGTGAGTATCTCTGTGTGTGAGTATCTCTGTGTGTGAGAGTGAGTATCTCTGTGTGTGTGAGTATCTCTGTGTGTGTATTTATCTCTGTGTGTCTCTGTGTGTGTGAGCATCTCTGTGTGTGTGAGTATCTCTGTGTGTGTGTGAGTATCTCTGTGTATCTCTGTGTGTGTGTGTGAGTATCTCTCTGTGTGTGTGAGTATCTCTGTGTGTGAGTATCTCTGTGTGTTTGAGTATATCTGTGTTTGAGTATCTCTGTGTGTATTTATCTCTGTGTGTGTATTTCTCTTTGTGTGTGTGAGTATCTCTGTGTGTGTGAGAGTGAGTATCTCTGTGTGTGAGAGTGAGTATCTCTGTGTGTGTGAGTATCTCTGTGTGTGTGAGTATCTCTGTGTGTGTGAGTATCTCTGCGTGTGTTTATCTCTGTGTGTTTGAGTATCTCTGCGTGTGTCTGTGTGTGTGTTTATCTCTGCGTGTGTCTGTGTATATCTGTGTGTGTGTCTGTGTGTGTGTTTATCTCTGTGTGTCTCTGTGTGTGTGAGTATCTCTGTGTGTGTGTTTATCTCTGTGTGTCTCTGTGTGTGAGTATCTCTATGTGTCTCTGTGTGTGTGTTTATCTCTGTGTGTGTGAGTATCTCTGCGTGTGTTTATCTCTGTGTGTTTGAGGATCTCTGTATGTGTCTGTGTGTGTGAGTATCTCTGTGTGTGTGTTTATCTCTGTGTGTGTCTGTGTGTGTGTTTATCTCTGTGTGTGTGTGTGTTTATCTCTGTGTGTGTCTGTGTGTGTGTATATCTCTGTGTGTGTCTGTGTGTGTGTTTATCTCTGTGTGTCTCTGTGTGTGTGAGTATCTCTGTGTGTGTGTTTATCTCTGTGTGTCTCTGTGTGCGTGAGTGCAGTACTCGTTTGAAAGTCTGTTCCGTAGCCAGCACTACGCGCTGCTGGACAACTGCTGCCGCGAGTTCCTCTTCCTCTGCGACTTCTTCATGGTGAGCGGCGCCTCCGCCCACGAGCTCTTCACCAGCGTCATGGGCCGCTCCCTCTCCATGTTCATGGTGAGCGCGCGCACCGCCGCCACGCGGAGGCACGCCAACTCGCTTGCCTGCATGCTCGGCCAATCACTCGGCCACTCGCAGGCTCGGCCACTCAGCCACGAAGCCACTCGCTCAGCCACTCGCTCACTCACTCGCTCAGCCACTCACTCAGCCAGTCACTCAGCCACTCGGCCACTCGCAGGCTCGGCCACTCAGCCACGAAGCCACTTGCTCAGCCACTCGCTCGCTCACTCGCTCGCTCACTCGCTCAGCCAGACACTCAGCCAGTCACTCAGTCAGTCACTCAGCCTCTTGCTCGCTCGGCCACTCAGCCACTCGGCCACTCGCAGGTTCGGCCACTCAGCCACAAAAACCACTCGCTCAGTCACTCGCTCAGCCAGTCACTCATCCAGTCACTCAGCCACCCGGCCACTTGCTCGCTCGGCCACTCACTCACTCAGCCAGTCACTTGGCCACTTGCTCGCTCGGTGACTCACTCAATCACTCACCCACACACTCACCTACCCACTTACACACTCAGCCACTCGATCGCCCACTCACTCACCCACCCACTTACCCGCTCATTCACCCAACCACTCAACTAATCACTCACCCACCCCATCACCCACTCAGCCACTCATTCACCCACCTACTCAACTACTCACCGGCTCAACAACGACAACAGCAGCCGCAATTCACCGCTTGCGCGAGCCCAGCCACAGATATTGCACACAGCAAACCCGTGTTCACCTCCTCCCTCCTCCTCCTCCTCGTCCTGCTCCTCCTCGTCCGTTGGGGTCCTCGTCAGAAACACATGGATGCGTACGTGGCCGACTGCTACGACAGCATCGCCGTGTTCCTGTGCATCCACATCATCCTGCGCTTCAAGGCCATCATGGCCAAGCGCGGCGTGCCGGCGCTCGACAAGTGAGGAGCAGCGCAGGGCACACGCATGGCACATGTAGGGTACACGTAGGGTACACGTAGGGTACACGTAGAGCACACGTAGAGCACACGTAGAGCACACACAGGGTACACGTAGAGCACACACAGGGTACACACAGGGTACACGTTGAGTACACACAGGGTACACGTAGAGCACACGCAGGGCACACGTAGAGCACACGTAGAGCACACACAGGGTACACGTAGAGTACACACAGGGTACACGTAGAGCACACACAGGGTACACGTAGAGTACACGTAGGGCACACGCAGGGCACACACAGGGTACACGTAGAGTACACACAGGGTACACGTAGGGCACACACAGGGTACACACAGGGTACACGTAGAGCACACATAGAGCACACACAGGGCACACACAGGGCACACACAGGGCACACGTAGAGCACACACAGGGTACACGTAGAGCACACACAGGGTACACGTAGAGTACACGTAGGGCACACGCAGGGCACACGTAGGGCACACACAGGGCACACACAGGGTACACACAGGGCACACACAGGGCACACGTAGAGCACACACAGGGTACACACAGGGTACACGTAGAGTACACACAGGGTACACGTAGAGCACACACAGGGTACACACAGGGCACCCGTAGAGCACACATAGGGTACACACAGGGTACACGTAGAGCACACACAGGGTACACACAGGGCACACGTAGAGCACACACAGGGTACACACAGGGCACACACAGGGTACACACAGGGTACACGTAGAGTACACACAGGGTACACGTAGGGCACACACAGGGTACACGTAGAGCACACATAGAGCACACACAGGGCACACACAGGGCACACACAGGGTACACACAGGGTACACGTAGAGTACACACAGGGCACACGTAGAGCACACACAGGGTACATGTAGAGCACACACAGGGCACACGTAGAGCACACACAGAGCACACGCAGGGTACACGTAGAGCACACACAGGGTACACGTAGAGCACACACAGGGTACACGTAGGGTACACGTAGAGCACACACAGGGCACACACAGAGCACACACAGGGTACACACAGGGTACACGTAGAGCACACACAGGGTACACGTAGAGCACACGTAGAGCACACACAGGGCACACGTAGAGCACACACAGAGCACACGCAGGGTACACGTAGAGCACACACAGGGTACACACAGGGCACACGTAGAGCACACACAGGGTACACACAGGGCACACACAGGGCACACGTAGAGTACACACAGGGCACACGTAGGGCACACACAGGGCACACACAAGGCACACTTAGAGCACAAACAGGGCACACGTAGGGCACACACAGGGTACACGTAGAGCACACGCAGGGTACACGTAGAGCACACACAGGGCACACGTAGAGTACACACAGGGCACACGTAGGGTACACACAGGGTACACGTAGAGCACACACAGGGTACACGTAGAGCACACACAGGGTACACGTAGAGCACACACAGGGTACACGTAGAGCACACACAGGGTACACACAGGGTACACGTAGAGCACACACAGGGTACACACAGGGTACACGTAGAGCACACGTAGAGCACACGCAGGGTACACGTAGAGCACACGTAGAGCACACGCAGGGTACACGTAGAGCACACGTAGAGCACAGAGCACACACAGGGTACACGTAGAGCACACGTAGAGGACCTGCAGAGCACATGCACACTCTCAACGGGTGATGTGGCCCATTCGTGATCATCTCCATCATCATCATCTCAATAATTTCTCAATAATCATCATCCATCATTATCATCATCTCAATCATCTCCGTCATCATCGCCATCTCAATCATCTCCGTCATCATCTCCGTCATCATCATCGTTATCTCAATCATCTCCGTCATCATCTCCGTCATCATCATCGTCATCTCAATCATTATCGTCTCAATCATCATCTCCATCACAGCAGCAGTAATCATCACCCCCTACTGGCAGCAGACAAATACAGAGCGGACAGCTGCCACTGGGGGTGCCCCTAGGCTTTGACCACACAGCAGCAGCAGCATCGCCCACGCCTAGAAGACTAATACAGAAGGGACAGCTGCCACTGGGGGTGGCCCCTAAGCTTTGACCACACAGCAGCAGCATCGCCCATGCCTAGAAGACTAATACAGAAGGGATAGCTGCCACTGGGGGTGCCCCTTAGGCTTTGGCCACGCAGCAGCAGCAGTGCGGTGTGGCGTGTAGGGCGGTGCAGAGTGGTGCGTCGTGCGGTGCGGAGTGCAGAGTGGTGCGTCGTGCGGTGCGGTGCACAGGTACTGGGATGCGCTGCTGGAGCTGCTGTGGCCGCGCTTCGAGCTCATCCTGGAGATGAACATCTACAGCATACGCAGCACCGACCCCCAGCGGCTCGGAGCCATCGACACCCGGCCCCACTACGTACTCGTCAGCACACTCACCAACACACTCACCAACACACTCACCCACATACTCACCAACACACCAACACACTCACCAGCACACTCACCCACACACTCACCAACACACTCACCAACACACTCACCAACACACTCACCAGCACACTCACCAACACACTTACCAACACACTCACCAACACACTCACCCACACACTCACCAACACACTCACCCGCATACTCACCAGCACACTCACCAACACACTCACCAACACACTCACCCACACACTCACCAACACACTCACCAACACACTCACCCACACACTCACCAACACACTCACCCACACACTCACCAACACACTCACCCACACACTCACCAGCACACTCACCAACACACTTACCAACACACTCACCCACACACTCACCAGCACACTCACCCACACACTCACCAACACACTCACCCACACACTCACCAACACACTCACCAACACACTCACCCACACACTCACCAACACACTCACCAACACACTCACCAACACACTCGATAACACACTCACCCACACACTCACCAACACACTCACCAACACACTCACCCACACACACACCAACACACTCACCAACACACTCACCAACATACTCACCAGCACACTCACCAACACACTCACCAGCACACTCACCCACACACTCACCAACACACTCACCAACACACGCACCAACACACTCGATAACACACTCGATAACACACTCACCAACACACTCACCAACACACTCACCAACACACTCACCCACACACTCACCAACACACTCACCCACACACTCAAACACACTCGCCCACACACTCACCCACACACTCACCAACACACTCACCAACACACTCACCCACACACTCACCCACACACTCACCAACACACTCACCAACACACTCACCCACACATTCACCAACACACTCACCCACACACTCACCAGCACACTCGCCCGCACACTCACCAACACACTCACCCACACACTCACCAACACACTCACCCACACACTCACCAACACACTCACCAACACACTTACCCAAACACACTCACCCACACACTCACCAACACACTCACCAGCACACTCACCCACACAATCACCAACACACTCACCAAGACACTCACCAACACACTCACCCACACATTCACCAACACACTCACCCACACACTCACCAACACACTCACCCGCACACTCACCAACACACTCACCAACACACTCACCCACACACTCACCCACACACTCACAAACACACTCACCAACACACTCACCCACACATTCACCAACACACTCACCCACACACTCACCAGCACACTCACCCGCACACTCACCAACACACTCACCCACACACTCACCAACACACTCACCCACACACTCACCAACACACTCACCAACACACTTACCTAAACACACTCACCCACACACTCACCAACACACTCACCAGCACACTCACCCACACACTCACCAACACACTCACCAAGACACTCACCAACACACTCACCCACACATTCACCAACACACTCACCCACACACTCACCAACACACTCACCCGCACACTCACCAACACACTCACCAGCACACTCACCCACACACTCACCCACACACTCACCAACACACTCACCCACACACTCACCAACACACTCACCCACACACTCACCAACACACTCACCAACACACTCACCAACACACTCACCCACACACTCACCCACACACTCACCAACACACTCACCCACACACTCACCCAAACACTCACCAACATACTCACCAACACACTCACCCACACACTCACCAACACACTCACCCATTCTCTCACCAACACACTCACCAACACACTCACCAACACACTCACCAACACACTCACCAAAATACTCACCAACACACTCACCCACACACTCACCAACACACTCACCTACACACTCACCCATTCACTCACCAACACACTCACCAACACACTCACCCACACACTCACCCACACATTCACCAACACACTCACTCACACACTCACCAACACATTCGCCAACACACTCACCCATACACTCACCAACACACTCACCCACACACTCACCAACACACTCACCCATACACTCACCAACACACTCACCAACACACTCACTCGCACACTCACCAACACACTCACCAACACACTCACCAACACACTCACCCACACACTCACCTATACACTCACCAACACACTCACCCACACACTCACCCATACACTCACCCACACACTCACCCATACACTCACCAACACACTCTCCATCACACTCACCAACACACTCACCCACACACTCACCCACACACTCACCAACACACTCACCCACACACTCACTCACACACTCACCAACACACTCAACAACACACTCGCCAATACACTCACCCATACACTCACCAACACACTCACCAACACACTCACCAACATTATCACCCACACTATCACCCACACACTCACCAACACATTCACCAACACACTCACCAACACACTCACCACCACACTCACCCACACATTCGCCAAAACACTCACCCACACACTCACCCACACACTCACCCACACACTCACCCACACACTCACCCACACACTCACCCACACACTCACCCACACACTCACCCACACACTCACCCACACACTCACCCACACACTCACCAACACACTCACAGTGATGGCGATGATGGTGGTGGTGATGATGATAATGATGACGGTGGTGGTGATGGTGGTGATGACGACGATGGTGATAATGACGACGACAGTGGTGGTGGTGACGATGGTGGTGGTGGTGGTGATGATGATGATGATGACGACGGTGGTGGTGATGGTGGTGATGACGATAGTGGTGGTGGTGACGATGGTGGTGGTGGTGGTGGTGATGATGATGGTGACGATGACCATGATGATAGTGGTGGTGGTGGTAATGGTGGCGACGGTGGTGGTGCAGGTGACGAGGAGGTATGCGGAGTTCTCGTCGGCCATCGTCAGCATCAACCAGAGCTTCCCCAACGACAAAACCATCGCCCTGCTGGGACAGCTGCAGGTGAACGTGGGTGGTGAGCGTGGGTGGTGAGCGTGGGTGGTGAGCGTGGGTGGTGAGCGTGGGCGGTGAGCGTGGGTGGTGAGCCTGGGCGGTGAGCGTGGGTGGTGAGCATGGGGTGGTGAGCGTGGATGGTGAGCGCATGGATGGTGAGCGTGGGTGGTGAGCGTGGGCGGTGGGCGTGGGTGGTGAGCGTGGGGTGGTGAGCGTGGGTGGTGAGCGTGGGCGGTGAGCCTGGGCGGTGAGCCTGGGCGGTGAGCGTGGGCGGTGAACGTGGGTGGTGAGCGTGCGTGGTGTGCGTGGGTGGTGAGCGTGGGCGGTGAGCATGGGTGGTGAGCACGTGGGGTGAGCGTGGGTGGTGAGCACGTGGGTGGTGTGCGTGGGTGGTGAGCGTGGGCGGTGAGCGCATGGGGTGGTGAGCGTGAGTGGTGAGCGTGGGTGGTGTGCGTGGGTGGCGAGCGTGGGTGGTGAGCACGTGGGGTGGTGAGCGCGTGGGGTGGTGAGCGCGTGGGGTGGTGTGCGTGGGTGGTGAGCGTGGGCGGTGAGCGTGGGCGGTGAGCGTGGGCGGTGAGCACGTGGGGTGAGCGTGGGTGGTGAGCGTGGGTGGCGAGCGTGGGTGGTGAGCGTGGGTGGTGAGAGCACGTGGTGGGCGTGCGTGGTGAGTGTGAGTGCAGTGTATAGCGCGCGCGTGTGTGTGTGCTGTTGTGTTATCCTGCCCTGTTGTTGGGATGTGTTGTGTTCTTATTGTTGTTTTGATGTGTTATTGTTGTTGTGTTGTTATTGTTGTGTTGTTATTGTTGTGTTATTGTTGTGTTGTTATTGTTGTGTTATTGTTGTGTTGTTATTGTTGTGTTACTGTTGTTGTGTTGTTATTGTTGTGTTGTTATTGTTGTGTTGTTATTGTTGTGTTATTGTTGTTGTGTTGTTATTGTTATGTTGTGTTGTTATTGTGTTGTTATTGTTATGTTGTGTTGTTATTGTTGTGTTGTTATTGTTGTTTTGATGTGTTATTGTTGTGTTGTTATTGTTGTGTTGTTATTGTTGTGTTGTTATTGTTGTGTTGTTATTGTTGTGTTGTGTTGTTATTGTTGTGTTGTTATTGTTGTTGTGTTATTGTTGTTGTGTTGTTATTGTTGTTTTGATGTGTTATTGTTGTGTTGTTACTGTTATGTTGTTATTGTTGTGTTGTTATTGTTGTGTTGTTATTGTTGTGTTGTGTTGTGCCGTGACCAGGTGGAGGTGGAGAACTTCATTCTTCTCATGGCGGCCGAGTTCTCGTCGCGCAAGGAGCAGCTGGTGTTCCTCATCAACAACTACGACATGCTGCTGTCCGTGCTGCTGGTGAGCGGCTGCCTCGCTCACCACTCGCTCACCGCTCGCTCACTCGCTCGCCACACTCACTCACCGCTCGCTCACCACTCGCTCACCGCTCGCTCACTCGCTCGCCACACTCACTCGCCGCTCGCTCACCACTCGCTCACCGCTCGCTCACTCGCTCGCCACACTCACTCACCGCTCGCTTACCACTCGCTCACCACTCACTCACTCGCTCGCCACACTCACCACTCGCTCACCGCTCGCTCACTCGCTCGCCACACTCACTCACCACTCGCTTACCACTCGCTCACCACACTCACCACACTCACTCGCTCGCCACACTCACTCACCACTCGCTAACCACACTCACCGCTCACTCGCCACACTCGCTCACCGCTCACTCACCACACTCACTCACCACTCGCTAACCACGCTCACCGCTCACTCGCCACACTCACTCACCGATCAATCGCCACACTCACTCACCGCTCACTCGCCACACTCATCGCTCACTCGCCACACTCACTCACCACATTCACTAACCACACTCACCACATTCACTCACCACTCACCATACTCACCACTCACCACACTCACTCACCGCTCACTAACCCCTCCCACCCCCGTCAGGAGCGGGCGGCTGAGGACAGCAAGGAGGTGGAGAGCTTCCAGCAGCTGCTGAACGCACGCACGCAGGTCAGGGGTCAATCCCTCTCGCCTCTGGGGTCAGGGGTCAATCCCTCTCACTCTGGGGTCAGGGGTCAATCCCTCTTGCTCTGGGGTCAGGGGACAATCCCACTTACTCTGGGATCAGGGGTCAATCCCACTCGCTCTGGGGTCAAGGGTTAATCCCTCTCGCTCTGGGGTCAATCCCTTGCTCTGGGGTCAGGGGTCAATTCCTCAGTCAGGGGTCAATCCCACTCGCTCTGGGGTCAGCGGTCAATTCCACTCAGGGGTCAATCTCACTCGCTCTGGGGTCAAGGGTCAATCCCACTCGCTTTGGGGTCAGGGTTAAATCCCTCTTCCTCCCAGGTCAGGAGTCGCTCGTTCCTTGTCTCTCACTGTCTCTGTTTCTCTGTCTCTGCTGCTGTCTCCATCTGATCGTGTCCTCTCTCTCTCTCTGCCTCTGTCTCTATCTCTCACTTACTATCTATCTCTCTCTATCTCTCCCTGCCTCTCTCTTTCTCTGTCTCTCTGCCTCTCTGTCTCTCTGTCTCTCTCTCACCGTCTGTCTCTCTCTCTCTCTCCGTCTCTCTGCCTCTCTCTCACCGTCTCTCTCTCTCTCACCGTTTCTCTGTCTCTCTCACCGTCTCTCTGTCTCTCTATCACCGTGTCTCTGTCTCTCTCTATCTGTCTCTCTCACCGTCTCTCTGTCTCTCTCTCACTGTCTCTCTGCCTCTCTCTCACCGTCTCTCTGCCTCTCTCTGTCTCTCTCTGTCTCCCTGCCTCTCTCTGCCTCTGTCTCTCTCTCTCTGCCTCTCTGTCTCTCTCACCGTCTCTCTCTCTCTCACCGTCTTTCTGTCTCTCCCTGCCTCTGTCTCTCTCTCACCGTCTCTCTGTCTCTCCCTCTCACCGTTTCTCTGTCTCTCTGTCTCTCTCACCATCTCTCTGTGTCTCTGTCTCTCTCTGTCTCCCTGCCTCTCTCTGCCTCTGTCTCTCTCTCTCTGCCTCTCTGTCTCTCTCACCGTCTCTGTCTCTCTCACCGTCTCTCTGTCTCTCCCTGCCTCTGTCTCTCTCTCACCGTCTCTCTGTCTCTCTTTCTCTCTCTCACCGTCTCTCTGTCTCTCTCTCACCGTCTCTCTGTCTCTCTCTCTGTCTCTCTCACCGTCTCTCTGTGTCTCTGTCTCTCATTGTCTCTCTGCCTCTCTCTGTCTCTCTCTCTGTCTCCCTGCCTCTCTCTCTCTCTGCCTCTGTCTCTCTCTCTGCCTCTCTGTCTCTGTATCTCTCACCGTCTGTGTCTTTCTCACCGTCTCTCTGTCTCTCCCTGCCTCTGTCTCTCTCTCACCGTCTCTCTGTCTCTCTCACCGTCTCTCTGTCTCTCTCTGTCTCTCTCACCGTCTCTCTGTCTCTCCTTGCCTCTGTCTCTCTCTCACCGTCTCTCTGTCTCTCTCTCTCTGTCTCTCTCACCGCCTCTCTGTGTCTCTGTCTCTCTCTCTGCCTCCCTGCCTCTCTCTCTCTCACCGTCTCTGTCTCTCTCACCGTCTCTGTCTCTCTCACCGTCTCTCTGTCTCTCCCTGCCTCTGTCTCTCTCTCACCGTCTCTCTGTCTCTCCCTCCCTCTGTCTCTCTCACCATCTCTCTGTCTCTCTATCACCGTGTCTCTGTCTCTCTCTATCTGTCTCTCTCACCGTCTCTCTGTCTCTCTCTCACTGTCTCTCTGCCTCTCTCTCACCGTCTCTCTGCCTCTCTCTGTCTCTCTCTGTCTCCCTGCCTCTCTCTGCCTCTGTCTCTCTCTCTCTGCCTCTCTGTCTCTCTCACCGTCTCTGTCTCTCTCACCGTCTCTCTGTCTCTCCCTGCCTCTGTCTCTCTCTCACCGTCTCTCTGTCTCTCTTTCTCTCTCTCACCGTCTCTCTGTCTCTCTCTCACCGTCTCTCTGTCTCTCTCTCACCGTCTCTCTCTCTCTCTGTCTCTCTCACCGTCTCTCTGTGTCTCTGTCTCTCATTGTCTCTCTGCCTCTCTCTGTCTCTCTCTCTCTGTCTCCCTGCCTCTCTCTCTCTGCCTCTGTCTCTCTCTCTGCCTCTCTGTCTCTGTATCTCTCACCGTCTGTGTCTCTCTCACCGTCTCTCTGTCTCTCCCTGCCTCTGTCTCTCTCTCTCACCGTCTCTCTGTCTCTCTCACCGTCTCTCTGTCTCTCTTTGTCTCTCTGTCTCTCTCTGTCTCTCTCACCGTCTCTCTGTCTCTCCTTGCCTCTGTCTCTCTCTCACCGTCTCTCTGTCTCTCTCTCTCTGTCTCTCTCACCGCCTCTCTGTGTCTCTGTCTCTCTCTCTGCCTCCCTGCCTCTCTCTCTCTCTCTCACCGTCTCTGTCTCTCTCACCGTCTCTGTCTCTCTCACCGTCTCTCTGTCTCTCCCTGCCTCTGTCTCTCTCTCATCGTCTCTCTGCCTCTCTCTGTCTCCCTGCCTCTCTCTGCCTCTGTCTCTCTCTCTGCCTCTCTGTCTCTCTCACCGTCTCTGTCTCTCTCACCATCTCTTTCTGTCTATCCCTGCCTCTGTCTCTCTCTCACCGTCTCTCTGTCTCTCTCTCTGTCTCTCTGTCTCTCCCTGCCTCTGTCTCTCTCTCTCACCGTCTCTCTGTCTCTCTGTCTCTCTCTCTCTCTGTCTCTCTGTCTCTCTCTGTCTCTCCCTGCCTCTGTCTCTCTCACCGTCTCTCTGTTTCTCTCTCACCGTCTCTCTGTCTCTCCTTGCCTCTGTCTCTCTCTCACCGTCTCTCTGTCTCTCTCTCTCTGTCTCTCTCACCGCCTCTCTGTGTCTCTGTCTCTCTCTCTGCCTCCCTGCCTATCTCTCTCTCTCTCTCACCGTCTCTGTCTCTCTCACTGTCTCTCTGTCTCTCCCTGCCTCTGTCTCTCTCACCATCTCTCTGTGTCTCTGTCTCTCTCTCATCATCTCTCTGCCTCTCTCTGTCTCCCTGCCTCTCTCTGCCTCTGTCTCTCTCTCTGCCTCTCGGTCTCTCTCACCGTCTCTGTCTCTCTCACCATCTCTTTCTGTCTATCCCTGCCTCTGTCTCTCTCTCACCGTCTCTCACCGTCTCTCTGTCTCTCTCTCACCGTCTCTCTGTCTCTCCCTGCCTCTGTCTCTCTCTCTCACCGTCTCTCTGTCTCTCTGTCTCTCTCTCTGTCTCTCTGTCTCCCTCTGTCTCTCCCTGCCTCTGTCTCTCTCTGTCTCTCTGTCTCTCTCTGTCTCTCTCTCTCTGTCTCTCTCACCATCTCTCTGTCTCTCTCACCGTCTCTCTGTCTCCCCCTGCCTCTGTCTCTCTCTCTCTGTCTCTCTCACCGTCTCTATCTGTCTCACCGTCTCTCTGTCTCTCCCTGCCTCTGTCTCTCTCTCTCACCGTCTCTCTGTCTCTCTCTCACCGTTTCTCTGTCTCTCTCTCTGTCTCTCTCACCGTCTCTCTGTCTCTCTATCACCGTCTCTCTGTCTCTGTCTCTCTCTATCTGTCTCTCTCACCGTCTCTCTGTGTCTCTGTCTCTCTCTCACCGTCTCTCTCACCGTCTCTCCCTGCCTCTGTCTCTCTCACCGTCTCTGTCTGTCTCACCGTCTCTCTGTCTCTCCCTGCCTCTGTTTCTCTCTCACCGTCTCTCTGTCTCTCTCTCTCACCGTCTCTCTGTCTCTCTCTCTCACCGTCTCTCTGTCTCTCTGTCTCCCTCTGCGGCCGCCATCTCTGTCTCCTGCTCTCCGTCTGCCCGGAGGGAGCCCCCCCCCCCCCCTCCATCGTCACCCGGTGCGGCGCTCTCCCCTCCTCCCCCCCCTCCCCAGGAGTTTGTGGAGGAGATCCTGGCCCCGCCGTTTGGGGGGATGATCGCCTTCGTGAAGGAGGCCGAGGCTCTCACTGAGAAGGGGCAGCTCGAACGCATCCAGCTCCACGAGGGTGAGGGGGAGGGGTGCAGGGGGAGGGGGGCTACCGATGCTGGGGGGGCGGGGAGGGGGTGACCAGGTGGGGGGTGGGGGGGGGGGGGGGGCGGGGAGGGGGTGACCAGGTGGTGGGGGGGGGGAGCGAATGGCAGCCACGGGAGGAGTGAGATGTGTGGAGGCGTCTCGGCAACAATGGAGGGGTCCGGTGTCCCTGTGTCTCCCTGTGTCTCCCTGTGTCTCTGTGTCTCCCTGTGTCTCTGTGTCTCCCTGTGTCTCTGTGTCTCCCTTCACGTCCCCGTGTCTCTGTGTCTCCCTGTGTCTCTGTGTCTCCCTGTGTCTCTGTGTCTCCCTTCACGTCCCCGTGTCTCTGTGTCTCCCTGTGTCTCTGTGTCTCCCTGTGTCTCCGTGTCTCCCTTCACGTCCCCATGTATCTGTGTCTCCCTGTGTCTCTGTGTCTCCCTTCACGTCCCGGTGTCTCCCCAGGGCTCCTTGTCTTTGTGTCTCCCCGTGTCTCTCCACGTCTCCCCGTCACTCCTTGCCCGTGTCTCCCCGTATCTCCTTGTCTCTGTGTCTCCCTGCGTCACCTCGTGTCTCCCCGTGACTCCGTGTCTGTGTGTCCCCCATGTTCCCCGTGTCTCCCCCGTGTCTCCGTGTTGACGTCTCCCCCCGTGTCTCCCCGCGTGTCCCCGCGTCTCCCAGCGCACGTGGTGTCGCTGGTGCGTGGGTTCGGCTCAACGTGGAAGTCGGCGATCGAGGGCATAAACCAGGACGTGATGCGCTCCTTCACCAACTTCAAGAACGGCACCGGCATCATTCAGGTGACCACCGCCACTCACCGCCACTCACCACCCACCGTGAACACCACCTCACAGTAAGGCGGGGAGGGGGGCGGGGAGGGTGGAGCTCCAGCTCCTCGCCCTCCGACCCCACGTGCCGCTCTGCTCCGTCGCCCTCTGACCCCGTGGGGCCGCCCCCCCCCCCCTCCCACGCCCTCCGACCCCACATGCCGCGCCCATCCCCCGCACTCCGACCCCGCGTGCCCGCCCCTCTTCCCTCGCCCTCTGACCCCCAATGCCCCCTCCCTCCCCTTCCACTCCGCGCAGGGCGCCCTCACGCAGCTCATCCAGTACTACCACCGCTTCCAGAAGGTGCTGTCCCAGCCGCCGTTCAAGAACCTGGCAGTGCGCGGGGAGCTTATCAACATCCACCACCTCATGGTGGAGGTGAAAAAGCACAAGCCCAACTTCTGAGATGGGGAGCAGGGGGGAGAGGGGCCTTATGCTGGGCGGGAGGTCCCTTGGGATTTGGCTGTTGGGGGCGTGTTCGGACTCATGAAGTTGGTGGTCGCGTGTATATTAACATCAAGGGATAGCTTGCAGTTAGGAGGGCGGTCGTAAATGCAGGAAGTTCATTCCAGGGGAGGGGTGGGGGTGGGGTACTTAAATAAAGTTGGGTAGGTCACTTAAGCCTGCTGAGGGCAGCGGTGGCCAATCGGCCAAGTTCCATGATCGTCCACTGTTGTGGATCTCGCCCAGTAGGCGTGCGGGGTGGGGGGGAGAGGGGGTGCGACTTCTCTATCCACCTCCAGAAATCCACGACCCAACGACCACCGCCCCCTCCACCACCACCGCCACCACCACCACCGTCCTATCCTGCAAACGCGCCGAGCAACCGCCAGCGCCGGGCACCGTCTGTCGGTGGACGGCGCTCCGCCTCTTCACCAATGATTCCATCTCAAGCCGAGGTTTTTTTTTTTTTCTGCCTTTGCGGTCGGGCCGTGACGAGCGCCGCCCCCGCTCTCCGCTTGCGCCGTTCCCGCGGCGTTGCTTCTGATTTCTCCACCACAAAATCTCACGCGATCATCCACACCCCCCAGTGGCGGGGGGGCGGGGGGGCGGGGTGGGGGGCGGTGACGGGGGGGGTCCAATTGGAAGGGACCTCCCTTAGAATTAGGATCTTTATTTAGACTGCGGGAGGAATCCGATGAGCTATGAAGCGCTTTTTCACTGATGTACAGTGTGGGGCACGAGTTCAGCGAGTTACAACAGCAGCACGACATACAAAGTTTGACACGCAGGATGCTTCCGCGACCAATGTTATTCATATCGAAGGTTTTTTTGGGGGTATAAATGTTGTGTCGTAACCCTCCAACCACCCGGCACAGCCAGTTAGGTTAGTCACGTGAACAAAACGCGCCAATTTGTTTACTACTTCAGCCCGCCGGACGTGTTGGGCGAGTAAATCCGCAACATTTACAATTTGAGGAACGCCACGTTTCGCAGGTAATTACGTCCAGCGTCAACGGGCGACATGCCAGAATACCTTTGTTATGGACAATATACACGCACACGATTGGAGTGCAAGATAGAGAGAAAGTGGTAAGCGAGTCACTACGTATAAATACGTAACAAGTTCATTATTTATGTAAGTCTGATTTAACAGGCTCGGGGCAAAGGGCAGCACGTAGCAGCAGGACTCCCAGCCCCCACGCGAAGACAGAGCCGCAGCCGCAGTAGCAGTAGTCACTCAACACGATGGGACACATTAACGAGCTATCGGTCCTGCACAGGTGAGAATCAGTTAGAGTGGACGGGGAGGGGCGTGCCGTGTGTGGGGAGGAGGGTCCCTTGCAAATAATCATGGACTCGTCGGCTACTTCTTTCGAGAGGAGAGAGAGAGAGAGGCATTATAAACAGCAGGGTTGGTGGTGGCGGGTCACTTTGATTGGCTGTTGGGGGGGGGGGTCTCCTTTACACTGGTCACTGGTGTGGAAGTGCTCCGGCACCACGCTGGGGGGGGGGTGCCGCGGTGCGTGCGAACGCTGCGGTGTAAATGATTGTGAGCTCGCGCGTTGCCCCCTGCCCCCCTTCCCCAACCGCGCTCGGATTGTGGATTAAAGGCCGGCCGTTGTCGTTGCGATTTCGTTCTCCGCTTTCCGTTCATTTTGCCATCAATCGTGGGGGGTGGGGGGGGTAACCCTCGCCCTAGGTGACACGCGCGCACTTCCATTGGTCGATCCTCCGTTGTTTTGCGCGACGCGGAGAAGCGAGCGAGCCCTCCGATTGGTCGATCCTCCGTTGTTTTGCGCGACGCGGAGAAGCGAGCGAGCCCTCCGATTGGTCGGTCCTCCGTTGTTTTGCGCGACGCGGAGAAGCGAGCGAGCCCTCCGATTGGTCGATCCTCCGTTGTTTTGCGCGACGCGGAGAAGCGAGCGAGCCTTCCGATTGGTCGATCCTCCGTTGTTTTGCGCGACGCGGAGAAGCGAGCGAGCCCTCCGATTGGTCGATCCTCCGTTGTTTTGCGCGACGCGGAGAAGCGAGCGAGCCCTCCGATTGGTCGGCTGCTGGATCCGCATTCACGTCCGAAATGAGGAAGCCACAGGGAGCTATGCGCTTTCAAATCGTCTAGATCGACTAAACTCGTTTGTTTAGAACTGCTTTTAGTGTTTAGTTTGTTGTTCTTCCCCCTGCACCTCCGATTCGCGTGGTGCGAAAGAAGTTCAACATACATACACTACACAGTACACGATACACTACACAACTACACACCACTATACACTACAATATTGTACACTACACTTTTATACACTGTATTACGCCACTAGTACATTGGAAACGCTTTTCTTTAGAACCGCTCTTTTGTATTTAGTTTGCTGTCCTTCCCCCGCACCTACGAACTTATTTCGCAATGTACGTTGCGAAATAAGTTCAACATACATACTGCCCATAGGCTGACACTACCCATAGACTCAACACTGCACCGCCGATTCGTATGGTTGGCTACGTACGGCGCAGAAGAAGTTCACCATGCATCTGTGCGCCAGGTAGATACACTCGTCCGATTGGTGGCCGCTGTCACGTGGCGACCTCACCTCCCTTTTTTGCGATTGGCACAATTGGGAGTGGGCGTCGCCGCGAGGGCGGTACTGTGCAGCAGAGTGTGATTTAATCTCCATCTGTTCCAACATGCTTCCCGTGGGTGAGCGTCAAGGAGAAGGCGGCACAGCAAAGTGTGGACTCCACCTGTTCTGTCTGTACGGGATCGAGTGTTTCCCCTTCACACGCGGGTTTCCCCTTCACACGGGTAATCACTCATTGGTTGGCTAATAACACCTCAGTACACAGCGTGGCCCAAAATACATGATAGATATAGCGTTATTATATTTCAACAAATCACCTGTGGTTTAATTTATTTTTTAACAAATTATCTTGAAATAAATGTAGAGCTTTGTAATTATTACAGCTGCATTGTTTAGCATCCATTGAAAATAAAAACTAATTGAACTCGTTCGCCTTGAATCAAATTTCTTTCCATTTTTGAAATAGCTCCTTAATAATCGTTGATAAAACAAAATAATGTTAACTTAAAGCAAAAATATTGAAAATGGTTTAATTCCGATGTTAAAATAAATGAAATAAACCGGTCGTGTCCTGACTTTTGTGCCGACCTATACAGAGGACCACAGAGCTGGGGGCAATTGTTGCCGACTGCCAACTTGTAACACTGCGCCGCCCGACTATAGGAAGGGTCATTGCCCGAAACGTCTAGATTTTTCCCTTTTAAGGCCACACACACAGTGTATACCAATAAAACCAATACCCATTTCGCCACGACGTGACGGTGACGTCACCACGGCAGCTGTGCCAGGCTAGGTGCACCTTGTGCCGTGAGGCTCGCTGTGACGGGGAGGTCACGGGACAAGACGATCCTGCAGCAGGTGCTGTGGGTCGACTCGTATGGCTGACTAAAGTTGTTTGCGAGGCATCATCGGACACAGAATCAAAATCTTTGTACTCCAGGAGGAATCCGAAGAGCTATGAAGCACACGGTAGGAGTACAAAGGTAAGCAAATCACTAACGAAAAAAATAAATAAGGGGCCGTCCATAAATGACGTCACGCGATTTTTGACCCCCCTTCGTCACGCGACGTCACAAAAAGTCAGACCCCCGCCCCCTCAAATATGACGTCACAAAGCTGCCCCCCCCCCCCCTCAAAAATAAAACATGCTTCAAATCGCTTTAAACTATTGTCATTGTTGTGCGTATTTCATGTGGTGCTGACACTTTGATGTTGTAGGAGAAAACATTTAAAAGTCTAAGTAGAAAGTGTCTATTTAAAGTTGTGCTTTTTGATGTGACGTCACATTTCTCAAACCCCCCTCGTCACACATCGTCACAAATGTCTGACCCCCCCCCCCCCCCCACTAGGTGCGTGACGTCAAAATGCGCAACTTTAAATAAACATAGACAACACGTTCTACTTAATTAAATAGACTTTTTTTTATAAATGTTTTCTCCTACAACATCAGAGTTAGGCCTCGGCAAGGTAAGGTAATTTACCTTTTTTAACCGGGTAAAAGGTAAAGGTGTCGACATGCCAAGGGGTAAGGTAAAGGGTATGGTATAGGTAGCTCGGAAGAATTACCCGGTAGGGTAAAGGTAGCGCAAAGTATTAACCCGGTAAATACGGTGCCTTGTTTACTACTAAAAGCTCCATGGCGCAGTCCGTGGCCTCCATATATTTTATTATTATATTGTTTCCCTTCAACGTGACTTTACCGAAAGAACCAAGAATATGAATCACTGCAGTCACGAAAGCTTTAAATCAAAAGTAATATATTTTTTTTAAACTTTTTTTTTAAAAACACGCTGTTATGAAATGTGCGAGTAAATGGCAGAACTCCACGACTCCAGGAAGTGGCCCCGAAGCTTGCCACAACGTAAGGGGGCCGTGGGCAATTACAGCCAACGTCAGTTGACAGTGGACAATTAGACCCAAGCCAAAACATAACATATAAAAAATGATTTAAAGCTTTCGTGACCGCAGTGACAATATAGACAATTTCAACCGAGAAGATGGATTCTGGCTTAGCAATCATTGGAAGGATTTGATAAACCATTTCGGGTCTTAATTGATTGTTCACGCTTACGGTGGCTTTCAGACAGCATACATTAATTTTTCGTCTTCCCCCCTCCTCTTTTCAGAACATAGATGGACTCGTCCATCTAAACAAACTGTCAAATCGCTCTCCGTGGTGCTAACGTTTTAAAAATAAATACAAACCGCCACTTCTTTCAAATGTTTCTTGCCGTTGGTTTTTCACACCTGGTGATGACTGCTTGCGTTGCAGTCGAAACGTCGTGAGAATTTTATTGTTTTATATATATTATTATTTTATTGTTTCCCTTCAACGTGACTTTACCGAAAGAACCAAAAATATATATGTTTAAAAACATTTTTATTTTATTTTTAATGATAGAATATATTATTGTCATCAGTTTGACATAAGTATACCACGTTTGCAGTCGATACCAGATTGCGAAGTGGGTTAAAATTGAGTTACAAGACTTGATGATACAACGACAACAACAACAGAGTGAGTTAAAAGAAAGCGTGTAAAATTGGAATAATCGAGAGTATTCTAGATGAATAAAGCGCTCTACCTAGCATTTACCTGTTATAAACCTTGTTCATGTGTAGAAGTACTCCAGTAATTACCCTGTAATCGGGTAATTTGTATGGGGTAAGGGTAAAAGGTAGGGTAAAGGTAGGCTCGCTGCTTTTAACCTTTTACCTTACTTGCTGAAGGGTAAAAGGTAGGGTAGAGTGATTGTATTGTGGTAAGGTAAAGGTAGGTTCGTTGTTTTTACCCTTTTACCTTACCTGCTGAAGGGTAAAAGGTAGGGTAGAGTGATTGTATTGTGATTGTATTGTGATAAGGTAAAAGGTAGGGTAAAGGTAGGCTCGTTGTTTTTACCTTACCTTGCCGAGGCCTAATCAGAGTGGAGCGCCACATTAAATACGCACTACAATGACAATAGTTTAAAGCGATTTGAAGCATGTTTTATATTTTTTTTGGGGGGGGGGGCAGAGCTTTGTGACGTCATGTTTGTGGGGGGGGTCTGACTTTTTGTGACGTCGTGTGACGAAGGGGGGGGGGTCAAAAATCGTCCAAAATCGCGCGACGTCATTTATAGACGGCCCCATATACAGCAGCAGGCGTCAGGGTCGGGATCGAACCCACGACCTCCTGTACACCAGGCGAGGTAGTTAACATCTCATAGCCATCGCGTGTGTCTGACGATGTCACGTTTCTGCGCCGTCGAGATCCCCCCCCCCTCCATCTTAGGTGAGGATTGGCAGCCACCTTGAGTAGGGGGAGGGGTGGTAGGGAGCCGCTTGTTGATGACATCACGCCCGGTCCCCACCCCCGCTCACGCGCTCGCGCCACCCTGAGCAAGATGGCGTCGCGAGGGGGCCCGCGCGTTGCCTTGGAGACGGCGCGACGCGGTGGCGGCGCGGCGCGAATCTCGCGCGGCGGCGGCGGTGACTCCTCGCTGAGTCCACCCGAGGCAGAGTCGCTGAGTCCACCCCAGTCAGAGTTCCTGAGTCCACCCGAGTCTCCCTCGGTCGACCATAGTCAGGGTCCCTCAGTCGACCCCAGTCAGGGTCCCTCAGTCGACCCCAGTCAGGGTGCTTAAGTCAACCAGAGTGTCCCTCAGTCGACCCGAGTCAGGGTGCTTAAGTCAACCAGAGTGTCCCTCAGTCGACCCCAGTCAGGGTGCTTAAGTCAACCAGAGTGTCCCTCAGTCGACCCTAGTCAGGGTGCTTAAGTCAACCAGAGTGTCCCTCAGTCGACCCTAGTCAGGGTGCTTAAGTCAACCAGAGTGTCCCTCAGTCGACCCTAGTCAGGGTGCTCAAGTCAACCAGAGTGTCCCTCAGTCGGCCCTAGTCATGGTGCTTAAGTCAACCAGAGTGTCCCTCAGTCGACCCTAGTCAGGGTGCTTAAGTCAATCAGAGTGTCCCTCAGTCGACCCTAGTCAGGGTGCTTAAGTCAACCAGAGTGTCCCTCAGTCGACCCTAGTCAGGGTGCTTAAGTCAACCAGAGTGTCCCTCAGTCGACCCTAGTCATGGTGCTTAAGTCAACCAGAGTGTCCCTCAGTCGATCCTAGTCAGGGTCCCTAAGTCAACCAGAGTGTCCCTCAGTCGACCCTAGTCAGGGTCCTTAAGTCAACCAGAGTGTCCCTCAGTCGACCCCAGTCAGGGTCCTTAAGTCAACCAGAGTGTGCCTCAGTCGACCCTAGTCAGGGTGCTTAAGTCAACCAGAGTGTGCCTCAGTTGACCCTAGTCAGGGTGCTTAAGTCAACCAGAGTGTCCCTCAGTCGACCCTAGTCAGGGTGCTTAAGTCAACCAGAGTGTCCCTCAGTCCACCCGTGTCAGATGTATTGAGTCGACCCAAATCTCCCTCAGTCCACCCGTGTCAGAGTTCCTAAGTCGACCCGAATATCGCCGAGTCTACCTGAGTGAGTAAACCCGTGTCTACCTGAGTGAGTAAACCCGTGTCTACCTGAGTGAGTAAACCCGTGTCTACCTGAGTGAGTAAACTCGTGTCTACCTGAGTGAGTGAACCCGTGTCTACCTGAGTGAGTAAACCCGTGTCTACCTGAGTGAGTAAACGCGTGTCTACCTGAGTGAGTAAACCCGTGTCTACCTGAGTGAGTAAACCCGTGTCTACCTGAGTGAGTAAACCCGTGTCTACCTGAGTGAGTAAACCTGTGTCTACCTGAGTGAGTAAACCCGTGTCTACCTGAGTGAGTAAACCCGTGTCTACCTGAGTGAGTAAACCCGTGTCTACCTGAGTGAGTAAACCCGTGTCTACCTGAGTGAGTGAACCCGTGTCTACCTGAGTGAGTAAACCCGAGTCTACCTGAGTGAGTGAACCCGTGTCTACCTGAGTGAGTAAACCCGTGTCTACCTGAGTGAGTAAACCCGTGTCTACCTGAGTGAGTAAACCCGTGTCTACCTGAGTGAGTAAACCCGTGTCTACCTGAGTGAGTAAACCCGTGACTACCTGATTGAGTAAACCCGTGTCTACCTGAGTGAGTAAACCCGTGTCTACCTGAGTGAGTCCACCTGTGACTACCTGAGTGAGTAAACCCGTGTCTACCTGAGTGAGTCAACCCGTGTCTACCTGAGTGAGTAAACCCGTGTCTACCTGAGTGAGTAAACCCGTGTCTACCTGAGTGAGTAACCTGTGTCTACCTGAGTGAGTAAACCCGTGTCTACCTGAGTGAGTGAACCCGTGTCTACCTGAGTGAGTCCACCTGTGACTACCTGAGTGAGTAAACCCGTGTCTACCTGAGTGAGTAAACCCGTGTCTACCTGAGTGAGTAAACCCGTGTCTACCTGAGTGAGTAAACCTGTCTACCTGAGTAAGTAAACCTGTGTCTACCTGAGTGAGTAAACCCGTGTCTACCTGAGTGAGTAGACCCGTGTCTACCTGAGTAAGTAAACCTGTCTACCTGAGTGAGTAAACCTGTGTCTACCTGAGTGAGTAAACCCGTGTCTACCTGAGTGAGTAAACCCGTGTCTACCTGAGTGAGTAAACCCGTGTCTACCTGAGTGAGTAAACCCGTGTCTACCTGAGTGAGTAAATTCGTGTTTACCTGAGTGAGTAAATCTGTGTCTACCTGAGTGAGTAAACCCGTGTCTACCTGAGTGAGTAAACCCGAGTCTACCTGAGTGAGTAAACCTGTCTACCCGAGTCTCCCTGAGTCTGCCTATCCGCCTCCCCTGAAACTCTCCAACTCTCACTGACTCTCCCCGTCTCTCCCTCCCTCACAGTTGTCTGTATGTACTGTACTGTATGATGAGCTTCTTTCGCACCGTACGTAGCCAATCGTACTCCCCGCTCCTCCATCTCCCTCATCCTTGCTCTCCCTACGTCTCTCCCCTGTCTCCCCGTGTCTCTCTCCCCGTGTCTCTCTCCCCGCGTCTCTCTCCCCGTGTCTTTCTCCCCCGTATCTCTCTCCCCCGTCTCCCCTGTCTCTCTCCCCCACGTCTCTCTCCCCGTGTCTTTCTCCCCCGTGTCTCTCTCACCTGTCTCCCCGTGTCTCTCTCCCCGTGTCTTTCTCCCTCGTGTCTCTCTCCCCTGTCTCTATCCCCCGTGTCCCTCTCCCCGCGTCTCTCTCCCCTGTCTCCCCGTGTCTCTTTACCCCGTGTCTCTCTCCCCGTGTCTCTCTCCCCTGTCTCTCTCCCCTGTCTCTCTTCCCCGTGTCCCTCTCCCCGTGTCTTTCTCCCGTCTCCCCGTGTCTCTCTCCCCACGTCTCTCTCCCCCGTGTCTCTCTCCCCTGTCTCCCCGTGTCTCTCTCCCCCGTGTCTCTCTCCCCTGTCTCTCTCCCCGTGTCTCTCTCCCCTGTCTCCCCGTGTCTCTCTCCCCTGTCTCCCCGTGTCTCTCTCCCCCGTGTCTCTCTCCCCTGTCTCTCTCCCCGTGTCTCTCTCCCCTGTCTCTCTCCCCCATGTCTCTCTCCCCCGTGTCTCTCTCCCCGTGTCTCTCTCCCCCGTGTCCCTCTCCCCTGTCTCCCCGTGTCTCTCTCCCCTGTCTCCCCGTGTCTCTCTCCCCGTGTCTCTCTCCCCGTCTCTCTCCCCTGTTTCTCTCCCCCGTGTCCCTCTCCCCGCGTCTCTCTCCCCTGTCTCCCCGTGTCTCTCTCCCCCGTGTCCCTCTCCCCTCTCTCCCCTGTCTCCCCGTGTCTCACTCCCCCGTGTCTCTCTCCCCTGTCTCCCCATGTTTCTCTCCCCGTGTCTCTCTCCACGAACATGATCTCTCCTGCCCGGGTAGAGAGATCACAAGCGCCATCCTCTTTCTCTCTCCCCGCGTCTCTCCCCCGAGACCCTGAGTCTCCCTGCTCTACTCTTTGGTTCTATTGGGTAAAGTCACGTAGGTGAAAATAAAATAACAAAAAATCACGACGTTTCGGCCACAACACAAGCGGCCTTCATCAGGTGAAGGGACGAGACTGTCTGGAGGACAGCGCTGGAGTGGGAGAAGCCACGCTTAGATCACGACCTTTAAGCTTGTGATCGCGGCATCTTTTGAGGAAGGTCAGCGTCTCGATGAGTTGCGACTTCTTGTCCCGTTGTCTCTTAAAAGCTCTAACAGATAGGTGAAAGCCCTCCCCATAGAGGTTATCAATTCTAGATTTAAAGCTTTCGTGACTGCTAGGATCCATACTCTTTGGTTCTATTTTTTTGTTATTTTATTTTCACCTACGTGACTTTACCCAATAGAACCAAAGAGTATGGATCCTAGCAGTCACGAAAGCTTTAAATCTAGAATCTCCCTGCTCTCTTGACTAACGTGCGCCGTGCAGAAGGTCCATTGACCGAAACGTCGCCTATTATATATTATTCAATGCGTTTTAAAGCCGCGGTTTTATTCTGTTAAATCAGTTTAATAACGCGTATGCTTTCGCGACCAATATTATTCACAATAAAGGGGGAGGGGGTTTTTGGTGTTAAATCGCGTTAATATAATGTTCTGTTAAATACCAACGGGAGGACATTCTCTCTCTCTCTCCTCCTCGTCTACGACTCCTCCACCCCGGCTCTCGTTGACCTATTGACCTTCCTACAAGTGCCCCCCCCCCGGGGTTCGCGTCTCTGGGTGGTCTCGTTGACCTATTGACCTTCCTACCAGTGCCCCCCGGGGTTTGCGTCTCTGGGTAGTGTCGTTGACCTATTGACCTTCCTACAAGTGCCCCCCCTGGGATTTTCGTCTCTGGATGGTGTCGTTGACCTATTGACCTTCCTACAAGTGCCCCCCCCCTGGGGTTTGCGTCTCTGGGTGGTGTCGTTGACCTATTGACCTTCCTACAAGTGCCCCCCCCCCGGGGTTTGCATCTCTGGGTGATGTCGTTGACCTATTGACCTTCCTACCAGTGCCCCCCGGGGTTTGCGTCTCTGGGTAGTGTCGTTGACCTATTGACCTTCCTACAAGTGCCCCCCCTGGGATTTGCGTCTCTGGATGGTGTCGTTGACCTATTGACCTTCCTACAAGTGCCCCCCCCCCGGGGTTTGCATCTCTGGGTGATGTCGTTGACCTATTGACCTTCCTACAAGTGCCCCCCCCCCCTGGGGTTTGCGTCTCTGGGTAGTGTCGTTGACCTATTGACCTTCCTACAAGTGCCCCCCCTGGAGTTTGCGTCTCTGGGTGGTGTCGTTGACCTATTGACCTTCCTACAAGTGCCCCCACCCCCCTGGGGTTTGCGTCTCTGGGTGGTGAGAGTTTGGGGGGGGGTGAGCGGGGTTCAATCGGAGCCCCCCACTCACGGGCTTCTAACGCAGCAGCTCTTTGATGTATTTAGTGCCGGGTGTGGGTTTTACTCGGAACGGGGAGCGGGGCTGTTCAGGTATCCTCATACACGTGCAAACGCTCGTCCTTTATCGATAATACAGGTGTTTTTTTTGGGGGGGGGGGGGTTAGATCTCGTAAATATATCATTGTGTCGTTAAACCGGCCACCACCCGACACAGCCAATTAGTAAGGATTTGTCATCGTAAACATATCACCATTATGGATGATATTGGTCGCGAAAAGCCTACGCGGTAAACCCATCGTTTATTGGCCGATAACACCCCGTGTATATAGAGGACCGCAGAGCGTGGGGTAATTGTTGGCAGCGCCGGCTCATCACCATCGCGTGGATGCTGCTGCTGCTGCTTGCTTACTGCCTTCCCGCTCCTCGTCTGTGGCTCATTCCTCCTGGCGCCTCCTCTGAGTCGTCCTCCCGTCTCTCTTCTCTCTCGCCCTACGCGGTGTTACAAGTTCACGTTTTGTTTTACGGTATTTGTTGGAAAGAAGTTCCACGTAACATCGTGTCACGGTGTTTGTTCGAGAGAAGTTCCTCGTAACATCGTGTCACGGTGTTTGTTCGAGAGAAGTTCCACGTAACATCGTGTCACGGTGTTTGTTCGAGAGAAGTCCCACGTAACATCGTGTCACGGTGTTTGTTCAAGAGAAGTCCCACGTAACATCGTGTCACGGTGTTTGTTCGAGAGAAGTTCCACGTAACATCGTGTCACGGTGTTTGTTCGAAGGAAGTTCAACGTAACATCGTGTCACGGTGTTTGTTCGAAGGAAGTTCCACGTAACATCGTGTCACGGTGTTTGTTCCTGGGTGAGGCCAGCAGTCGGTAACCTGCGGCCCCTGAGCCGCATGCGGCTCAGTAAGGGCTTGCTTTGTGGCGGTATTTATTCAGGACCGCCGTCCTCGTGTTATTCACGTGCACTGCGGCTCTTGAAACGTTTGGGGGTTTTTTTACCGAATTCGAAAAAAATGCCCCTTGTTCTTTCTTTTAGTTGCTGACCCCTGGGTTAGGCCAAATGGTGGTTATGTGAATAAAATCATTGTCGTTAAGCCCCTCCACCACCCGACCGGATTGTCACGTTTACACAGTTATTATTGTTATTATAATACGTTCCGATGTATTGTTTAGATTCTGACCGTTAAAGTTCAAGCCCCTTCCTTGCCAGTACAATCAGAGGTAATCAAACTCTCTATAAATGTATTTTCCCCATGTTACCCTATGGGAATGACTTTTCCCCATGGGTTGACCGAGTCCATCATCATCCGTCCCTCCATGCGGGGTGGATAAAACAATCACCACTTTGTGTGGAAGTCACCAGCAGTTGTCATCTAGAGAGACTTCCCTACCCCCGTCATAGTAACGTGGAGTTTCCCACTAACTGGCTCTGGAGGCGCTGTAAACAGCTCAGTGTTGGTTCATTTGAGCCAGGAACTCACAATTTGGCTTTTAATCTGACGTCACTCGCCACTGATCTTGGCCGTGGCCAGGAATCAAACTCGGACAGCCGGGTTCAGAGTGTTGCATGCTAACCGCTGTGCCACCATTCCCCCCCCCCCCACCCCCCCAACACCGTCTTGTGTAATGCTCAACAAGGAGTGGAGCGAGAGTCGTGGAGCGAGAGTCAAGGAGCGAGAGTCAAGGAGCGAGAGTCAAGGAGCGAGAGTCAAGGAACTTTTGAGACGGAGTCCTCGTCGCCGCTCGCACCACCAGCCGCGACTCGGCTGCCAAGGAGGAAGTGCGACCAACGTGTGGCGAGACCGCACACGCGGTGCACGCACACGCACGCGGTACACACACACGCACGCGGTACACACGCACGCGGTACACACGCACGCGGTGCACACACACACGGTACACACACACGCACGCGGTACACACACACGCACGCGGTACACACGCACGCGGCACACACGCACGCGGTACACACGCACGCGGTACACACACACGCGGTGCACACACACACGGTACACACACACGCACGCGGTACACACGCACGCGGTACACACGCACGCGGTGCACACACACACGGTACACACACACGCACGCGGTACACACGCACGCGGTACACACGCACGCGGTACACACACACACGGTACACACACACGCACGCGGTACACACGCACGTGGTACACACGCACGCGGTGCACACACACACGGTACACACACACGCACGCGGTACACACGCACGCGGTACACACGCACGCGGTGCACACACACGGTGCACGCACACGCGGTGCACGCACACGCACGCGGTACACACGCACGCGGTGCACACGCACGCGGTGCACACACACGGTGCACACACACGGTGCACACACACGGTGCACACACACGCACGCGGTACACACACAAGCGGTGCACACACACACGCGGTGCACGCACACGCGGTGCACACACACGCACGCGGTACACACGCACGCGGTACACACGCACGCGGTGCACACATACGGTGCACACACACGGTGCACACACACGCACGTGGTACACACGCACGCGGTACACACGCACGCGGTACACACGCACGCACGCGGTACACACACACGCACATGGTACACACACACGCACATGGTACACACGCACGCGGTACACACGCACGCGGTACACACACACGCGGTACACACACACACACGGTGCACACACACGCACGCGGTACACACACACGCGGTGCACACACGGGACACACTCGCAAGCGGAACACGCTGACGTGCTGACACGCGGAACACACACACGCAGTACGCACACACCCGGAACACACTGACACACGGAACACACTGACACACGGAACACACTGACACGGGGAACACACTGACACGTGGAACACACTGACACACGGAACACACTGACACGTGGAACACACTGACACGTGGAACGCACTGACACGTGGAACGCACTGACACGTGGAACACACTGACACACGGAACACACTGACACTTGGAACACACTGACACGTGGAACACACTGACACTCAGAACACACTGACACGTGGAACGCACTGACACGTGGAACACACTGACACTCGGAACACACTGACACGTGGAACACACTGACACACGGAACACACTGTCACGTGGAACACACTGACACGTGGAACGCACTGACACGTGGAACGCACTGACACGTGGAACACACTGACACACGGAACACACTGACACTTGGAACACACTGACACGTGGAACACACTGACACGTGGAACGCACTGACACGTGGAACACACTGACACACGGAACGCACTGACACTTGGAACACACTGACACGTGGAACACACTGACACGTGGAACACACTGACACGTGGGAACACACTGACACGTGGAACGCACTGACACGTGGAACACACTGACACGTGGAACACACTGACACGTGGAACGCACTGACACTCAGAACGCACTGACACGTGGAACACACTGACACACGGAACACACTGACACGTGGAACACACTGACACGTGGAACGCACTGACACACGGAACGCACTGACACACGGAACGCACTGACACACGGAACGCACTGACACGTGGAACGCACTGACACACGGAACGCACTGACACGTGGAACGCACTGACACTCAGAACACACTGACACACGGAACGCACTGACACTCAGAACACACTGACACACGGAACGCACTGACACACGGAACACACTGACACACGGAACGCACTGACACGTGGAACACACTGACACACGGAACGCACTGACACACGGAACGCACTGACACACGGAACACACTGACACACGGAACACACTGACACACGGAACGCACACACTCAGAACACACCGACACACGGAACGCACTGACACACGGAACACACTGACACACGGAACGCACTGACACGTGGAACACACTGACACACGGAACGCACTGACACACGGAACACACTGACACACGGAACGCACTGACACGTGGAACACACTGACACACGGAACGCACACACTCAGAACACACTGACACACGGAACGCACTGACACACGGAACGCACTGACACACGGAACACACTGACACACGGAACACACTGACACACGGAACACACTGACACACGGAACGCACTGACACGTGGAACACACTGACACACGGAACGCACTGACACTCAGAACACACTGACACACGGAACACACTGACACACGGAACACACTGACACACGGAACACACTGACACACGGAACGCACTGACACGTGGAACACACTGACACACGGAACGCACTGACACTCAGAACACACTGACACGTGGAACACACTGACACTCAGAACGCACTGACACGTGGAACGCACTGACACGCGGAACGCACTGACACGTGGAACACACTGACACACGGAACCCACTGACACGTGGAACACACTGACACGTGGAACGCACTGACACGTGGAACACACTGACACGTGGAACACACTGACACGTGGAACGCACTGACACACGGAACACACTGACACACGGAACGCACTGACACGCGCTACGCACACACTCGCAATTCACTGACACACAGAACACCGCAGTACACTGATGCATGGAGCACACTGACGCGCTGATACACGGTGCGCACACACGCGGAACACATTCACACAGAACACCGCAGTACACACGCGAAACAATGATGCGTGGAACACACTTACGCGCTGACACATGGTACGCACACACGCGGCACATACTAACACACTAACACACGGACAGCACTAACACACTGACACACAGCACACACACACACGCAGAACATACTGACACGCGGTACACACATACACGAGGAACACACTCTGAGGCGCTGACGCACAGTACACACTGACACGCTTACACACGCGGAACACGCAGACAATCTTCCCATTATCGCTGCGTGTCACATGACCGGGACGTTGTGAGATTCGCAGTGAAGCAGCTTCTGCTGTATGTGTGCCGTTTAGTTTTTAGTTTAGTTTAATAGTATGGGGTGCCGTTGCATGGCCAATCCACTCTATCGACTTCCTACAGACGGTGCAGCTGTGCCAGTGATGATGACACTCATCAGTGTTTCCTCGTGCTGCTGTGACGGTGGGAGTCGGGCAGCGCTGTGAGCGAGCGGTGCTGTGAGTACACGGTGCGTTATTGCAGTGTCTCCGAGTGGTGAGCGACAGTGGGAGTCTAGGGCAGCGCTGCGAGTGAGCGGTGCTGTGAGTACACGGTGCGTTATTGCAGTGTCTCCGAGTGGTGAGTGACAGTGGGAGTCTAGGGCGGTGCTGCGAGTGAGCGGTGCTGTGAGTACACGGTGCGTTATTGCAGTGTCTCCGAGTGGTGAGTGACAGTGGGAGTCTAGGGCGGTGCTGTGAGTACACGGTGCTTCATTGCAGTGTCTCCGAGTGGTGAGTGACAGTGGGAGTCTAGGGCAGCGCTGCGAGTGAGCGGTGCTCTGAGTACACGGTGCTTTGTTGCAGTGTCTCCGAGTGGTGAGTGACAGTGGGAGTCTTGGGCGGTGCTGTGAGTGTGCGGTGCGTTATCACAGTGTATCCTAATAGTGAATCAGTGGTAGTCTCGGTCGGTGCCGTCAATGTGCGGTGCGCTGGGACTGCTGGTGAGATAGGGAAGTGAATGCGGTGTTGGTAACGCGGCGAGTGTGACACAAGCACCGGTATTGATCCGCGACACGGGCCACTGCCCGCGTCCCCGTGTGTCCCCACGCGTCCTCTGACGTGTCTCCGTGAGACTCCGCGCGTCGCCGTGAGTCTCTGTGTGTCTCTGTGTCCACTTGTGCCTTCCTTCGTGTGCCCTCCCATGTCACAATATGTCATCCTGTGTCTCTCTATGTTTCGTAGATTCTCCCCGTGTCCCTTTGTATGTCTCCGTGTTCCCCTGTGCCTCCCTCTATCCCCGTGTCTCTCTGTGTCCCCTTGTCCCCCTGCTGTCCCCCGCCGTATCTCAACTGTGCGCTTGAGTCTCATTCTGTCAGTTCTCTCGATATGAAAACGCTCCGCAAGGAAAAACGTCCAAACATCCCAGTGCAGGACTCTCCTTGGGAAGCGTCTTGAGACTCGATGACTCTTTGCTCGATAAACAACTCTCTTGATCAATCTTGCTTTTGAAATGCATTCTTGTGTCTCCGTGTGTCTCTGGTTTCAGCAGCACCACCAGCAGCAGCATCAGTAGCATCAGCAACAGCAGCAAAAACAACAACAGCACCAGCAGTAGGATCAGCAGAAGAAGAAGCAAAAGGAGCACTCGCAGCAGAAGCAGCAGCAACATCAGCACCATCGTCATCATCATCATCATCAGCCGGGAGGAGGATGAGGAGGAGAGGGAGGGGCCGCACGCCCAGCCCGGGCCCTGCCGGGTCCCCCGCGCGCAGTCCGTCCCCGGGGACTCGGCCCCAGCGAGGGTCCTCGCGCACCGGTGGCGGGGGGCCTGGCGGAGGTTCAGTGACCCCCGTGGCACCGGCGGCAGCCGCGGGGCAACCTCAAAGCGCGAGCGACAACAGCGATGGTGAGGGGGGCTGGGGAAACGGAGGGACCGGGGGGGGAGGGGCCGCCCTCTCCCACGTGGGTTCGGGCCGCGTTGCTGTTACGCGCGACAATAACGATAAATCATAGTTTTAGTTTCACATCGCGTCATTCATGCTAATTGCATCTCACAACGCTGTACAATAATTACATGCATAATCACATTAAGGGATGAATGCTATATTCGGAGGGTTTCATATTAAGTCAATTTAACCCTGATAAAACATTTTTTTTTATATATATAAAGCAAAAGGGAAAACACCAACAAAAAATTATCGCGTTTCACTCCGCATGCTGGGAGCTTCTTCGCGAATTGGGTTTTCAGTTCCCAGCTGCATGTGTGTGTGCACCTGTGTATGTGCGTGCCTGTGTGTGGGGAGCAATGCACCTAGCCTGGCACAAGCGCCGTGGTGACAAATAGCGGTGGTTGTTTTTGGAGAGCGGTAGGTGCAGTGGTTCATGCAATCCACTTCGAACCCGGCGGGCCGACTTCGATTCCCGCTCGTGGCCAATTTCAGTGACAGCGAATATTTGAACCGGTCCTGGGTCTCTCCTATGTCGACTCAGCCTTAAGTTAGTACCTGGTGCAGTATCTAAACATCTCCACTCAGGAGACACAAGTGGCCGGGCGCATGGTGCTGCTGGCCACCCACCCCCTTCGTGTGCCGTGCCGGCCTTCGTAGGTGCTACTCGCTAACGGCACTTGCCCCAAATAGTCTGTTAAGGCTACACGGGGGATCTTGGTGTTACCCCGTGTGCACGTGCGGTGCCAGCAGAGGAGGAGGGAGAGGAGCTGTCGGCGTCGGCACGTGGTGACGGCGCCCCCGTGGAGGGCGTGCGCTACATCACCGAGGCGCTGTTGCGCCGCGTGAGCCGGCAGGAGGACCTGGCGCTCGTGCGCTCCCTCAACCTGGCGCTGGCCCGCGACAGCGGCAAGAAGTTCCGCGTACGCTCACGGCACAGATGCGGGGCGGACACGGCGCGCAGACACTGCACAGACACGGAATAGACGCGGCATAGACACGGAACGTACTTGCTGCCGACACGGACTAGACATGGCACAGGCACGGAACGTACTCGCTGCAGACACGGAATAGACATGGCACAGACACGGAACGTACTCGCTGCAGACACGGAATAGACATGGCACTGACACGGAACATACTCGCTGCAGACACGGAATATACATGGTACAGACACGGAATGTACTTGGCGAAGACACGGAATAGACACGGCACAGGCACGGAACGTACTCGCTGCAGACACGGAATATACACGGCACAGACACGGAACGTACTTGGCGCAGACACGGACTAGACATGGCACAGACACGGAACGTACTCGCTGCAGACACGGAATAGACACGGCACAGACACGGAACGTACTTGCACAGACACGGAATAGACGCGGCACTGACACGGAACATACTCGCTGCAGACACGGAATATACATGGTACAGACACGGAATGTACTTGGCGCAGACACGGAATAGACATGGCACTGACACGTAACGTACTTGCTGCCGACACGGACTAGACATGGCACAGACACGGAACGTACTCGCTGCAGACACGGAATATACACGGTACAGATACAGAATAGACATGGCACTGACACGGAACAGTAGACATGGCACAGACACAAAACGTATTTGGCACACACACGCGGACAGGAGCGGCCCTTCCATATCGGTGAACAAGGCGGTCACCTAGGGCGCCAACTTCAGTGGGGTGCCAAATTCTAGGAATGAAATACAAATACAAAATATATACAAATAACATAACGAAAACGTCATTGTTTCAATTCCCGTGCGCGTTCAGAGGGAATTTGAATTACATTTAATTTCTCAACATTTCTGGGAATGTATTGGTCGGACAGACGGACAGACGGACAAACCAAATAATTATGCCTCTGTTTAAAACAATACGCTTAAAAAAACATGAAATGGAAAAGAGGGGCAAAATGTTTACCGGTTTACCAAATACCTCAGCCTTGATCTGCCCTTAGGGTTTGGGGGTGGGAGTGCCAATTGCATGGTTCGCCTAGGGCGCCAGTTGCTGGCAGCTAGTCTAGGGCCGCCCCTGCACACGGAATAGATACGTGGTGTCCTACACACACGCTCACCTCCCCGTGTGTACTGCACACACACCCTCACCCCCTGTTGCGCGTGCTCCACAGTACATAGAGAACCTGGAGCGGTGTGAGCGACTGGAGGTACTCACGTTGAGTCACAACGTCATCGAGAAGATGGAGCACATGGAGCGACTGGGGTCGCTACGTGAGCTCCACCTGTCCCACAACCTCATCACGTACGGCCTGTCACACACCTCGTCGCAACTACGTCACAAACCCGCCACAACCTCAATACTTACAGCATCTCTCTCTCACTCACACATTGTCATCACTACCTCACCACAACCTCACCGCAACCTCGTCAGGTACGGCCGTGTCACACTCACGCACCTGAACCCAGCACCCTGCACTCAGCACCCTGCACCAAGCACTACGAACCCTGCACTCAGCACCCTGCACCTGCACCCTGCGCATGCACCCTGCAGCCCTCTCTGTCAAAGTGTCTCACACAGTCGTGGAATACCCTCACTGACACCTGGGTAGGGAGCACAGTGACAGTCACAGTGACTGCCACTGCGACTGCCACTGTAACTGTCACAGTGACTGACACAATGACTGACACTGTGGCCACTGGCAAGGAAGAGGAGGGGAGGAGTGACGTGTATGGAGGACACCCCGCGAGAGTGTTATTGTTGTTGTTGTTGTTGCTGCTGTTGTTGTTGTGTCTGCACCACCTCCGCTAGGAAGATCGAGGGCCTGGAGCACATGGCGCAGTTGCAGACGCTGGCGCTCGCCTCCAACCACGTGGAAGCCATCCCCGCGTGGCTGCCGCGCCGCCTGCGCTGCCTTCGCTCGCTGGACCTGCGAGACAACAACATCACCTCGGTGAGGAGCATGGGGAGTGTGGTGAGGAGGAGGGGCGCTAGGATATCACCACGCCGAAGAGCTTAGTCAGGAGGTGGGGGGCTAGGATATCGCCATAGTGAGGATCGTGGTGAGGAGGAGGGGCGCTAGGGCATCGCCTCGGTGGGGAGCGTGGGGAGAGTGGTGAGGAGAGGCACTAGGGCACCGCCATGGTGAGGAGCTTGGTGAGGAGGAGGGGCGCTAGGACATCGCCATGGTGAAGAGGGTGGGGAGTGGTGAGGGTGTGTAAACATCACCACCGTGGAGATAAAGGTGGCCGCACGTGGTGCTGGCCACCCACCACCCCTTCATGTGCTGTGCCGACCTTCATCGGTGCTCGCTAACAGCCGCCACAGTCCGTGATAGCTATACGGACAGGGCACCTTTGTCTTTTGTGCGTGTGCGCGTGCGCGTACAGCTGCAGGACGTGAGCCGGCTGAAGGCACTGCAGGGGTTGGTGTCGCTGGCGCTGGCGGGGAATCCCGTGGCGGCGCTGCCGCACTACCGCGCGCACACGGTGTTCCACCTCCGCTCGCTCCAGCGGCTCGACGCGCAGCCCGTGAGCGACGCGGAGCGCCGCCTCGCCCACCAGCGCTTCCACCTGGGTGAGCGCCGCCACCACCCGCCGCTCACCACCTGCCACCCACAGCGTACTGCCCAAAGAGCCCACCGCCGCCAAAACCACTGCCCGCTGGCAAAACCACTGCCCAAAGAGCCCACCACCGCGAAAACGATCGGCCACAGCCCACCGCCGCCAACACCACACCCGCCGCCACTGCCCAACGACGCCAAAACCACAACCCGCCGCCCACAGTCCACCACCACCACCACCAAAACGACCGCAGCCATCATCATCATCAATACCATCATTAATCACCACCACCACCATCATAATTATCATCACGACCACTACCGTCATCATTATCAGAATCAGAATATTTATTTATACTGGAGGAGGAATCCAATGAGCTATAAAGCTCTTTTTCACAGATGTCCGGTCGCAGCAGGTCAGAACGTTACAACAACAAACACAATACAAAAACACGATAGAAGTGCAAAGTATAGGAAAGGTAAGCAAAATCACTTTTTAAAAAATATATATATATACAAATAAAACTAAACAATTGTTATCTTTACTCTTGGTTCTTTCGGTAAAGTGACGTAGGTAGAAAAATAAAACCAAAAATAATATATCACGAATTTTTATCTTACCAGGTAAGGAGGCCCACTGAGCTATTAACTTATTTTTAATAAGTGATCTGGCCACAAATGATACATCAGCGACGTGGCTTATGTATAAACGCGCGTTTCTAAATGTGGAGGGAAAAAATCAGAGGACCCGGAGAAAAAATCCACACGACCAGAGGGAGAGAGACATGCAAACCCCAAATATACAGGCGTCAGGTGTCACGATCGCAAACCCCCGACCTGCTGCATACCAGGCGAGGGAGATCACATCACACCGTGGTGCGTTGCTGGCCACCCACACCCTCGTGTGCCGTGCCGGCCTGCATAGGCGCTCGCTAACAGAACTTGCCCCAAAAGCCTGTTTAGGCTATACGGGGGGGGTCTCTGTCTTTGTGTTTGTGTATGCGTACGTGTGCGTGAGCATGTGTACACGTGCATTCGTGTGTGTGTGCATGTGTACAAGTGCATTCGTGTGTGTGTGTGTGTACGCGTGTCTGTGCATGTGGCCTCAAGGTGCACATGGCCTGGCGCAAGCGTCGTGGTGACGTCACCGCCACTTGGCGGTTGTTGTTGTTGTCAACCCATGGCACCTGGGTCTATCCCGTAACCTCCTGCCAGCGGGCGTTCGACACTTCACGTGGCCTTAAAGCGCGCGCACAGCCTGGCACAAGTGCCGTAGTGGCGAATGGCGATTGTTGTTGTTGTTGCTGTGTGTGCACGCGTGCGAGTAGAGGAGGTGGAGCGGCTGGAGGCGGCGCTGGCCGAGCGGCAGGCCCAGCTGGAGTCGGCGTCGCGTCATCAGGAGGAGTCGTCCGCGGCGCTGCTGCAGCGTGAGCAGCAGCTGCTCGCGATGCAGCAGGAGAAGAGCGAGCGCGACGGCTCCGTGCAGGAGCTGCAGCGCGAGCTGCACACCAAGAACCAGCTGGTGCGGCGCCACGCACACGCCAGCGGGCGCGTGCTGTGTGTGTGTGCGCGCGTGTGTGCGGGGGGGGCCTTCATAGGTGCTATTCGCTCACAGCACTTGCCTCAACTGTCTGTTAATGCTATATAGGGGACCTTTGTATTTGTATGCGGCCTTCATAGGTGCCACTCGCTAACAGCACTTGCCCCAACAGTCTATCAAGGCTATATGGGGGATCTTTGTAAATGTAAGTGTGTGTGTCAATGTGTTGTGGGGAGCGGTAGTGTATCAGTTAGCGTGCTGCGCTATGAACCCGGTGACCCAAGTTCAATTCTCGCTCACGGCCAACGCCAGTGACGATTATCTGAACCTGTCGGGGGCCTCCCCTAGATTGACTCAGACTCAAATGAGTACCTGGTGCGGTGTGTAAACATCTCCACTGGGGAGTCAAAGGCGGCCGGACGTGGTGTTGCTGGCCTTTCGTAGGCGCTGCTCGCTAACAGCACTTGCCCCAGCAGCCTGTTAAAGCCTACACGGGGGATCTTTGTCTTTGCTTTGCTTCATGGGTCTCTATCTCGCCGTGCTCGGCTCTTGATTCGCAAGTCTCTCTCCGCTCTCTCTCTCTCTCTCTCCGCGTCTCTCCTCTGCGCTTCCCATGCGGTCGCGCGTCTGCTCTGGGTCCTCTGCTCCCGGCGCCAGTGCCAGCGGCACCGGTCCAGGTGCGTGGACGCGGCGCCAGCCCCACCGCTGAGCACAATCCTCCCTGCCGCAGTCAGGCGGGGGGGGGGGGGGGGGGTGGTGCTCACAGCCAGCGCGGGGGGTGCCGGTGTCAGGGCTCACACACCCTAACCCCTCACTATTCGCTCTCGAACCCCAGGCATAGCGAACCCTCGAACCTCAGCCTAACCTCACCCTGACCTCATCGTAACTTCACCGTAACCTCATCCTCACAGCATTCTTACCTTACCCTAACCCTCATCTCATCCCAACATCCTCCTAACCTCAGCCTAATATTAACATCACCGTAAACCCCTAACCTCACCCGAACTCCTCGCCTCACCCAAACCCTAAGCCGAGCCAACCTTCTAACCTCAGCTTCAACCTTATGCTCACGCTGACCCTACCCTGACCTCACCATCAAAGTCTTGATCCTAATCTCACCATCAAAGTCTTGATCCTAATCTCACCCTGACCTCATCGTAACTTTACCCCATCCTTCATCTAACCTCATGCTAACCTTACCCTAACCCTAATCTAATTGAAAATCCTTATCTTAGCCTAATATTAACATACCGTAACCTCGTCCTCACCCCTAGCCTCACCCTCATATCACGCTAACACCTCACCCTGACCTCACCTTAACCATTATCGTAACCTAATCCTAACTTTAACTTTGGCCTAACCCTAATTGTCACCTAATCCTACCTATATCCCTAACCCTGCCTCTAACCCTGATCTACCCAAACCTACACTAACCTACACTAACCTGTAACCCAACCCTCACCTACCTTAACCCTACCCTACCTGTAACCCTAACCCTGACAGGGAGCAGGTGAGCGTCACACCGCACGGGGTGCTCTGCATCATTTGGCTGTAGTTGTGATTCCTTCGTTGGCGTTTGGGTCGTTCTGTTCTTACTTCCTTCATTCAGTGCCCATTCCCTCTCCTTTCCGGTCGACTCCTGCAGATGCCCTGGCCTCAACCATAGACTTAGCCTGACAATGTGACATTTAACCCAGAACCGCTGACCTCAAACCCATAAACCCCTAGCCTTCAACCCCCAACCCCAAACACCGTAACCCTCCACTCCTAACTAATTTCAGCTTTCCATTAACCCCGTAACCCCGAACTCTTCGAAACCCCTCACCTCGACCCCTCACTCCGAACTCCTTACCCCTTCCCATTAACCCCTAACCCATAACCCTCTCTTGCCAACTCCTGAACCCACATTCCTGGCTCTTAACGGCTAACATCTGACCGCTGAGCCTCTAACATGTGACTCGTGACCCCTTCCCATTATCCCTTGCCCGTTACCCGCGCCCGGATGTGACCCCACGACCTGTGACCCGTGCATGTCTAACCCGTGACCTGTGACCCGTGACCCGCGTGCGGCTGCAGCTGAAGCAGAAGATGTTGGAGCTGACGCGTGCGTGCCAGAAGCAGTACGAGCTGGAGCAGGAGCTGGCCTTCTACAAGATAGATGCCAAGTTCGACTCCCTGGGACACGCGCCGCCCCACGTAAGACCCCCACGCACACTCTCACTCACTCACTCGGTCACTCTCACTCGCTTACTCTCACTCACTCACTCACATTCACTCAGGCTCACTCTCGCTCACTCTCAATCACTCACTCTCACTCTGCTCACACTCACTCACACAGCCTTGGACACATGCCACCCCACGTCGTCCCCACTCATGTGCACGTGTGCACGCACGTATGCTAGTGCGCAAAACTTGTGCGTGCACGTGTGCATGCGTGCACACGTTAATCCGCATGCTCACGTGCATGTCCACGTGCGTGCGCGTGTGACCGGTCGTGCGTGCGTGTGCGTGCGTGATGGCGTGTGCGTGCGTCCGCGTATCCGCGTGCGCTCTTGCCCGCAGGCCGGCGGGGACGACGACGACGACGACGACGACGAGCCGCGGCAGCTGGCGCCCGGCGAGAGCCCGTACATAGGCAAGGCGCGCTACAAGCGGAACGAGTTCGCGGGCGAGAGCCGCGTGCGGCTGTCCCCTGCGCGCCACGCGGCACTCGGCTCCGTGCAGAGCGACGGCGCCGCCGTGTCCCCGGCGCCGGGCGCCGGCGCCGGGGACATCGCGGACGCCGTCGATGAGCAGCTCGCGCTCAAGCAGCTCGCGCTGGCCGAAGGTATGGCGGTGGGCACGGGGGAGAGAGAGAGAGAGAGCGCGGTGCGGCGGGGGGGGCGGGGGGCCCAGGGGAGGGGGGGGGGCAGGAGCTGGGGAAACAAAGGCGCCGGGCGTGGTGCTGACCATCCACCCCCTTGTGTGCCACGCCGGCCTTCATAGGTGCTACTCGCTACTAACAGCACTTGTCCCTGCATTCTGATAAGGCTACACGGGAGACCTTTGTCTTTGTGCCGTGCGCAGCTGAGCGCCGTCTGGCCGAGCTGCTGCAGGAGGTGGAGGCTGCGGAGCGGAGGAACTTGGCTGCTGCGCAGGAGCTGCAGCGCCTGGAGGACGCGGCCGCCCAGGGCAAGGTGAGAGGCACAGCCCAGACCCTACCCCTAACCCAGACTCTATCTCTAACCCAGACTCTATCTCTAACCCAGACTCTGCCTCTAACCCTGTGTCTCTATGTATCGCTATGAGTCTCTGAGCATTGGGCAATAGAGAAGAGGCGAGGCTTTAAGAGAGGAATGGAAGGGGGTTAAGGAGGGCGGACTCCTTCACGTATGGGTTGCAGTGCTGAATCTATGGTTGCAGTGCTGAATCTATGGTTGCAGTGCTGAGTCTGTGGGCAGTGTTGAGTCTATCGACAGTGCTCAATGTAGAGGGGGAGTTGATTCCAGTGGAGAGGTGCAAGGAGGGAGGTGAAGCACCGGAAACGGGATTGGGCACAGGGAGAAGCAGGGACAGAGAGACAGAATATTTGGAACGCCGACGGTCCATCGTGTAGCACTCGCCGGTTGCGTACACACAAAGACAAAGATCCCCCGTATAGCCTTAACAGACTGTAGGGGCAAGTGCTGTTAGCGAGCACCTATGAAGGCCGGAACGGTACACAAGGGGGTGGGTGGCCAGCACCACGCCCGACCGCCTTTGTCTCCCTAGTGGCGATATTTACACACCGCACCAGGTACTCATTTGAGGCTGAGTCGACCTAGGGGAGGCCCGGGACCGGTTCAGATAATCGTCACTGGTGTTGACCGTGAGCTGGAATCGAACCCGGGTCGCCAGGTTCATAGCGCAGCGCGCTAACCGCTACACTACCGCTCCCCACATATACACACACACACGCATGGGTATACACACGCTCACTGTCGTACACGCGCTCACTGTCGTACACGCGCTCACTGTCGTACACGCGCTCACTGTCGTACACGCACGTGCGGTGCGCTGCGGCGGTGGCGAAGATGCTGGAACAGCGCCGCGAGGCCCTGCGCCGTGCGCTCGCGCGCAAGCTGGAGCTGCTGGGGCGACTGCGCGTGGAGGCCGAGGAGCTGGAGCGACGCCTGGAGGCGCAGCGCACGGAGCTGGGGCGGCGGGGAGCGCAGGCGGCGCAGCTGCGGAGGGAGGTCGCGGAGGAGCGCGGGGAGGACGGGCGTGGGCACGTGAGTGGCACGCACGTGGCACGCACATACAAGGACGTGCGTGGAGGACAAAGGCGTGGGCACGTGAGTGGCACGCACGTGGCACGCACACGCAGAAACGCAGGGGGAGGATTGGCACATGAGTGGCACGCACATGGCACGCACAGGGCACGCACATGGCACGCACAGGGCACGCACAGGGCACATGCATACGCAGAGACGTGTGGGGAGGATGGGCACGGGCACGTGGGCGGCACGCACATGGCACACGCACACGCAGAGACGTGTGGGGAGGATGGGCGCGGGCATGAGAGTACCACGCTTGTGGCATGCACACGCAAAGACGTGCTCGGAGGACGGGTGCGTGCACGTGAGTGGCACACACATGGCACACATGTAGAGACTCGCGGCGCTAACGGGCACTCGTACGCTAGTAGCACACGCGGCGTGCATGTGCGTACGGCCCAGTGTGTTGTGAGTTCTTCTCGGGTCACCGTTGTTGTTGTTGTTGTTATTCTGAGTTGACACTCACTGAGATACTCGTTGGGCTCAACGAGTATCTCAGTGGCGGTGACTGAACATGGCTCAACTGCGGTAATGAATCGCTTCGTTCGCATCAGACGATTGCAATACAACGAGGATCTGTGCAGCGGCTTCTGCATGTGACCGCGTCTAATGTGACGCTGCACAGGAACAAGGCGCAGTCATAGGGCTCTGTGTTAGCCTGTGGGTGTTTATGTGAGTCAAAGGGTCTCCGTATGGAAGTGAGAAAGAGCCGGTCAGTAATCTCTCTCTCTCTCTCTGAGTCGGTGTCTATGGGAGAGGGAGAAAGAGGCAGGCGCAAAAGAGTTGTCTATCGAGACACACAGGCCTATGTGTAGTGTGGTGTGTGTAGTGTGTTTAGTGTGGTGTGTGTTTAGTGTGGTGTATGTGTAGTGGTGCGTAGTGTGTTTAGTGTGGTGTGTGTGTAGTGTAGTGTGGTGTGTGTTTAGTGTGGTGTGTGTGTAGTGTAGTGTGGTGTATGTGTAGTGTGGTGTATGTGTAGTGTAGTGTGGTGTATGTGTAGTGCGGTGTGTGTTTAGTGTGGTGTATGTGTAGTGTGGTGTATGTGTAGTGTGTAGTGTGGTGTGTGTTTAGTGTGGTGTATGTGTAGTGTGGTGTATGTGTAGTGTGTAGTGTGGTGTGTGTTTAGTGTGGTGTATGTGTAGTGTAGTGGTGCGTGTTTAGTGTGGTGTATGTGTAGTGTGGTGTGTAGTACAGTGTGGTGTGTGTTTAGTGTAGTGTGGTGTGTGTTTAGTGTGGTGTATGTGTAGTGTAGTGGTGCGTGTTTAGTGTGTAGTGTGGTGTGTGTTTAGTGTGTAGTGTGGTGTGTGTTTAGTGTGGTGTATGTGTAGTGTAGTGTGGTGTGTGTTTAGTGTGGTGTATGTGTAGTGTGGTGTATGTGTAGTGTAGTGGTGCGTGTTTAGTATGTAGTGTGGTGTGTGTTTAGTGTGGTGTATGTGTAGTGCGGTGTGTGTTTAGTGTGGTGTATGTGTAGTGTAGTGTGGTGTATGTGTAGTGTAGTGGTGCGTGTTTAGTGTGGTGTATGTATAGTGTAGTGTGGTGTGTGTTTAGTGTGGTGTATGTGTAGTGTGGTGTATGTGTAGTGTAGTGGTGCGTGTTTAGTGTGTAGTGTGGTGTGTGTTTAGTGTGGTGTATGTGTAGTGTGTAGTACAGTGTGGTGTGTGTTTAGTGTGGTGTATGTATCGTGTAGTGTGGTGTGTGTTTAGTGTGGTGTATGTGTAGTGTGGTGTGTGTGTAGTGTAGTGGTGCGTGTTTAGTGTGTAGTGTGGTGTGTGTTTAGTGTGGTGTATGTGTAGTGCGGTGTGTTAGTGTGTAGTGTGGTGTGTAGTACAGTCTGGTGTGTTTATTGTGGTGTATGTGTAGTGTGGTGCGTGTGTAGTGTGGTGTGTAGTACAGTGTGGTGTGTGTTTAGTGTGGTGTATGTCGTGTAGTGGTGCGTGTTTAGTATGTAGTGTGGTGTATAGTAAAGTGTGGTGTGTAGTGTGGTGTGTGTTTAGTGTGGTGTATGTGTAGTGTGGTGTGTGTTTAGTGTGGTGTATGTGTAGTGTGGTGTGTGTTTAGTGTGGTGTATGTGTAGTGTGGTGTGTGTTTAGTGTGGTGTATGTATAGTGTAGTGGTGCGTGTTTAGTGTGGTGTGTAGTACAGTGTGGTGTGTAGTGCGGTGTATGTGTAGTGCGGTGTGTGTTTAGTGTGTAGTGTGGTGTGTAGTACAGTGTGGTGTGTGTTTATTGTGGTGTATGTGTAGTGTGGTGCGTGTTTAGTGTGTAGTGTGGTGTATGTGTAGTGCGGTGTGTGTTTAGTGTGTAGTGTGGTGTGTAGTACAGTGTGGTGTGTGTTTATTGTGGTGTATGTGTAGAGTAGTGTGGTGTAGTGTAGTGTGTGTTTAGTGTGTAGTGTGGTGTGTAGTACAGTGTGGTGTGTGTTTATTGTGGTGTATGTGTAGTGTGGTGTAGTGTAGTGTGGTGCGTGTTTAGTGTGTAGTGTGGTGTGTAGTACAGTGTGGTGTGTAGTGTGGTTCGTGTTTAGTGTGTAGTGTGGTGTTTAGTACAGTGTGGTGTGTAGTGTGGTGTATGTGTAGTGTGGTGCGTGTTTAGTGTGTAGTGTGGTGTATGTGTAGTGTAGTGCGTAGTACAGTGTGGTGCGTGTTTAGTGTGGTGTATGTGTAGTGTAGTGGTGCGTGTTTAGTGTGTAGTGTGGTGTGTAGTACAGTGTGGTGTGTAGTGTGGTGCGTGTTTAGGGTGTAGTGTGGTGTGTAGTACTGTGTCGTGTCTAGTAGTGTGGTGCGTGTTTAGCACGTGGTGTATGGGTAGTGTGGGGTACATGTATTGTGGTGCGTGTTTAGTGTCGAGTGTGGTGTATGTGTAGTGTGGTGAGTGTGGTGTGAGAGTGGCTGGGGGATGTGAGTGACAGGGATGAGGAAGTCTCCCTGTCCGCTTGCGAGCTCTACTAGCCAGGCGGAGGGCCGTGGATCTTCCTGTCAGCTGACAGGAAGGCGCCTCTAACGGGTGGGGCGCGAGCAGATTTGAGCGGAGAGGGCGCGGAGAAGAGGGAGGCAGTGGGCGTGGGGAGGGGGAGATGAGCGGGCTTGGGGTGAGGCAGTGGCGAGCGTGGCGTCAGTGTCAGGAGGAGCAGCAGCAGCAGCAGCGAGTGGAGCAGGGAGCAGCAGCAGCAGAGTGGGGGCGAGCATGCCACCCACAGGACTAGGGTACGCACGCACACACGGTACGGTCGCACACACGCGCGGTCTCACGCGTCCCCACACCCTCACCCATAACGGTACCGCTTCCAGTGGCCGAGACCCCCCTTGGGGCCGTTTCCACTCCACGCGCTCCAACGGGGGGCCCCGCCTGCTGTTTTGCCCCGGGGGAGAGCAGCTTTATCCAGTGCACACGTGTGTGGCACGTGTGTGTGCGTGTCACGTGTGTGTGTCACCGTTGCGTGTCACCTGTGCGTGTAACCTGTGCGTGTCACCTGTGTGTGTCACCTGTGCGTCTCACCTGTGCGTATGGAACGTGATTTGTATGGTACGCGTGTGTCTTTGTGTGCGCGAACGACTTGTGTGATGGGGGGGGGGTGGAACCTGTGTTTGACATCTGTGTGTGGGGCACGCCTATGTCATCTGTGTGTGAAGCATCCACGTGTATGTTACCTGTGTGTGCGTGCGTGCATTGGTTTGGCATCTGTGTGTGTGTGTGTGGCACACATGTGTGTGTGTCACATCTCAGTAGGCGACAAAGATAAATGTTAACCACACGCGAGCCGGCGGGTGAGTGAGTGAGCGAGCGAGCGAGTGAGCCGGCTAGCGAGCTTACGAATGGGTGAGCGAGTTATTTTGTGAGCGAGTGAGCCTGCGAGTGACTGGGGCAGTGGCTGAGTGAGTAGCGAGTGAGTTGGGAGTGGGTGGGTGAGTGAGTGAGCAATCGCGCTGTGTGCCGGTGCTCACACCGCTGACCCCCCTCACACTCACCCGAGAGAGGCCACGTTATGCCATCCGCACCCCGCCTCCCACGGCCCAATTAGCGGCGCTGCAACAGAGACAGCTCTCTATTCAAACCCTGGCCACGCGGCCGTCCGTTCTTCTGTGTATTGCGTCCGTCTATGTGTCCGCCCACCCGTGTATCCGTCCGTCAGCGCATGCTTTTATCTGTCCGTGTAACTATGACGTCTGTGGCGATGCCTGCGTCTCCACCATCGGGAGTCTCCACCACTACGGCGGCTGTGAGCGCACGCAGGAAGCAACCGCCGCTCGGCATGGGGATTCCCTCCTGGCGACGTGCTGGTTTCATAACAACAACAATATTGATACAGTACTCGTGATAAAAAAAAAAAACTATCTGAACTACGAAGCCGTTCATAACCATGCGCCACGTCGTCCACGAGACGATGCCTGGTGAATGTGTGAGCGGGTGAGTGACAGTGCGAGTGAGTGGAGTTTGCGCGTGTGAATGAGCGAGTGAGTGAATGTTTTCAGCCTTGAGGCCCCCTTTCAGGAGACCGCTGTGCCAAGCGGAGTGGCGCTGTGGTAGCGGCCGCTCCGATGAGAGATGCAGGGACCCTGCGGTTCCCTGGCTGATGACGCCACGGTGCCTTGAGCCGCGTCGTGTGTGCGCGCGTTGGAGGGAGCGTCCCGAGTTCGATTCCCACTCACGACCCGAGTTCGATTCCCACTCACGACCCGAGTTCGATTCCCACTCACGACCAACACCGGTGGCTATTATCTGAACGAGGTCCTGGGCCTGCCCTAGGTTGACTCGGCCTCAAATAATTACCTGGTGCGGTGTGTAAAATCATTGCCGCTGGGGAGACAAAGGCGGTCGTGCGTGGTGTTGGCCACCCGTGCCGGCCTTTCACAGGTGCTCGCTAACAGCGCTTGCCCCAACAGTCTTACGGCTATACGGGGGTTCTTTGCGTGTGTACCGCCTGGGTGCAGGCGCGGGAGCTGAGCGCCGCCGCTGAGCTAGCGCTGGAGGAGATGGCGCGACAGCAGCGCGAGCTGGAGGAGCGCCTCGATCAGATGCTGACGCGCATCGCAAAGGAGACGGAGGACATCCGGGACCTGGAGCAGCAGCTCACGGAGGGTGCGCGGCAGGGGGCGGTGCTGGCAGTGGTGGTGATGGTGGTAGTGGGGGTGGTGGTGGCAGCAATGATGGCGGAGATGGTAGTGATGGTGGCAATGATCGTGATAGTGATGCTCATGGTGATGGTGGTGGTGATGATGGTCGTGATAACTATAGTGGCAGTGGTGGTGATGATGTCATTGGTGGCGGCCGTGGTGGTGGTGATGATGGAGGTCGTGGTGATTATAACGATGATGTTGGTGCCATTGGTAGTGTCAGTGGTGGGGTGATGTTGGTGGGGGGAGAATGGTATTGGTGGTGGTGGGTCTGTCCCGTGACCTCCTGCCAGTGAGCCTTGCCTAGCAGTGGTGACGTCACCACCACTTAGTGGCGAATGGCGGTTGTTGTTAATGGCGGCAATGATAGTGGTGGTAATGTTAGTGGTGGTGGTGGTGATGACGAAGTTGACGATGACGCCGATGACGATCGCGACGTTGTGAGTGATGCCCCCACTCTCCGTGCCTCCCCCCCTACCAGGCCAGATTGCCGCGAACGACGCGCTAAAGCGTGACCTGGAGGGCATCATCGCGGGGCTGCAGCAGTACCTGTCGGGCGTGCAGGACCGGGCGCGCCAGGCCGGCGAGGCATGCGGGCGGCTGCAGCAGGAGAACGAGGAGCTGCAGCGCCGTCTGGCTCGGCTGCACCAGGACAAGCAGGAGCTGGAGGTGGTGGCCGAAGATGCGGACGCCATGCGTAAGGTGCGCGTCGCAACCGCAGCTGTGCCGCACCACCGCACTGCCGTACCGCGCCGCTTCACCTCCACGATCCACCGCGCAGATGTACTGCACCGCTTTGCCGCACCGCTCCACTGCACCGATTCATCGCATCCTCGCTCCACCCCGCCACTCCACCTCACTGCTGCACCACACCGCTACACCGCACCACCGCACCGTTCCACCGCACTGCTGCATCACACTGCTCCACCACGCCACTCCACCGCGCCGATCCACCGTACCGATCCACCGCATCACCGGATCACCACACCAATCCACTTCACCGTCGCACCACACCACCGCACCGATTTACCACACCATTGCATGATGATGATGGAGATGATGGTTATCATGGTGATGTTTATTTTGTACATAGCAGCGTCATCATTCACGCACGCTGCTGCATTTCGCCACGCTGTAGAATTTGTGACACCGCGTGCCTTGCGAAAACCTCGAGGGGAAGGGAGTCAGAACCAGCGCGACTACCAACGATCACGCAATCTCTGTGGTCCTAAACTAAATTTTTTTTTATTTTACTAGGTAATGCCCACTGAGCTATGAAGCTCTTTATCAGAAGCACCCTGGCCGCAAATGATAGCCCAATGAAGTGGCTTATCATGTGGAAATGTATAGCAGCCAAATCCACACAACCACAGGGAGAACATGAAAACTCTAAATATGCAATGCTTCACGGTTGGGGTCGAACCCACGACCTCCTGCATACCAGGAAAGGTAATTAACATCTCGCCACCGCGGCACCCCCTACATTGGCATGTTTGTCAAACTCCTATTTCACGAGCGCTCACACGACGCGGGAGGAAACGGCGGAGCGCCCGGGGAAAGAAAAAATAAAACAACAACGTGGGGGACGACGATGACGACGACGCTCCCCTTGCAGACAGGAGTCTTAACCCACTTGCTATACTGCCCCGGACGTGCGCAAACAGGAGGTGCTGGAGCTGGAGCGGCTGCTGCAGGAGCAGCAGGACGCCAACGCGTCGCTGCAGGGGGAGCAGGGCGAGCGCGATGCCCAGCTGCAGGCCCAGCTCGACGAGATGGAGGCCGAGCAGCAGCAGCTCCAGGACCAGCTGCGGGCCCAGCACCAGCGCAGCAAGGTAAAACGAAACTATTCAACTATTTTGTATTTTACCACGTAAGGGGACCCCCTTCTGCACTATGTAGCTATTTTTCAGAGGCGACCCGGCTCTCACAAACCATAGCTCAACCAAGTGGCTTGTCACCATCGTGCGGAAATTTATTGCAGCCAGATGTTCTGAACGCATGATGTGGATTCTCAACGTGGAAGGGAAAAAACCGGAGGACCTGGAGAAAAATCCGCACGACCAAGGGGAGAGAGACAAGCAAACTCCAAATATACAGCAGGCGTCAGGGTCGGGATTGAACTCAAGCCCTCCTGTATACCGGGCGAGGTAGTTAACATCTCCTAGCCACCGTGGTGCCCTCCTCCCTTCCTCCCTCCCTTACCCCCATCACCATCTGGCCTTCACACAAGACAGATGGTGCCAATGATCAGCAGTACAATCAAGACGTGAGCTGCGAGTGTACGAAGCCTGCTGTTGTCTGGAGGAGGCCACCGAGCCCCCTTCTCGTTTGGCCCGGCCCTTCCGAGTGGCTCCAGGACGTCTGTTCTGGTGCCCCCGCTCTCCCCCACGCTCTTAACCCCATCCATGCCGTAGTAGTTTTTGAAAGTCGGGGCTATTTTGCCTAATTTTCATCAACTCGTTTCAACTCGTTTCACGGTGGCGAGATGTTAACTACCTCGCCTGGTATGCAGGAGGTCGTGGGTTCTGATCCCGACCCTGATGCCTGTTGTACGTTTGGAGTTTTCGTGTTCTCCCCGGGGTCGCGTGGATTTTTCTCCGGCTCCCTCGGTTTTTCCCTCTACATTCAGAATCAACATCACGTGTTTCGTGTTTTTGGCTACTTCAAAACATGTCCACATGGTACGCCACTTCATCGAGCTATAATTTGTGTCCAGGTCGCTTCTGAAAAAGAGCTATATAGGTCAGTGCAATCTTACCTGGTAAAATAAAAATAAAAACATTTAAATAGTTTTTAGTTTCGCACGGTTGGCTAGGTACGGTGCTAAAGAAGTTCAGGTATTCTGGCCTCAAGCTCGACTCGAGATGGGTGGGAAATGGGCGGGGGTACCTGAGCGGTGGGCGGGGTTGCCTGAGCGGTGGGGCGGAGCTACCTGAGCGGTGGGCGGAGCTACCTGAGCAGTAGGAGGAGCTAATTGAGCAGTGAGCGCCATTTTCCTGAGCAGTGGGCAGAGGTAGCAGCGAGGAGCAGGCGGAAGTGGGAGGGGGGCCGCTCACTGTGGATGGAGCTAGTGGCTGTGTGGGCGTGGCTATGTAAAAGTGGGCGGGGCTTCCAGCTCAACAGGCACGGAACCGCTGGCACCGTGCCCCCTCCTCTCGCGCGCCCGCAGGGGGAGCAGGCGGCGCTGCTCGCGGAGCTGCAGCGGGAGAAGGAGGCGCTGGAGGCCGCCATCGAGCAGGCGGGTCAGGCGCGGGCCCACGAGCAGGAGAACCAGCGGCTGCTGCAGCAGCTGCGTGCGCAGCAGGTGGCGCTTCCTCGCTCACCTCCTCACTCGCTTGCTCGCTCGCTCCCTCGCTCACCCCCGCGCTCACCTCCTCGCTCGCCCCCTCGCTCGCCTCCTCGCTCACCTCCTCGCTCGCCCCCTCGCTCGCCTCCTCGCTCACCTCCTCGCTCACCCCCTCGCTCACCTCCTCGCTCGCCCCCTCGCTCGCCTCCTCGCTCACCTCCTCGCTCGCCCCCTCGCTCGCCTCCTCGCTTGCCTCCTCGCTCACCTTCTCGCTCGCCCCCTCGCTCACCTCCTCGCTCGGCCCCTCGCTCGCCTCCTCGCTCGCCTCCTCGCTCACCTCCTTGCTCGCCTCCTCGCTCACCTCCTCACTTGCTTCCTCACCCGCCTCGTCGCTCACCTCCTTGCTCACCTCACTTACGTCCTCGCTCGCATCCTCGCTCACTTTCTCGCTCACCTCCTCGCTCGCCCTCTCGCTCACCTCCTCGCTCGCCCCCTCGCTCGCCTCCTCGCTCGCCTCCTCGCTCGACCCCTCGCTCGCCTCCTCGCTCGCCTCCTCGCTCGCCTCCTCGCTCACCTCTTCGCTCACCTCCTCGCTCGCCTCCTCACTCGCCTCCTTGCTCGCCTCCTCGCTCACCTCCTCACTCGCTTCCTCACCCGCCTCGTCGCTCATCTCCTTGCTCACCTCACTTACCTCCTCGCTCGCATCCTCGCTCACTTTCTCGCTCACCTCCTCGCTCGTCTCCTCGCTCACCTCCTCACTCGCTTCTTCACCCACCTCGTCGCTCACCTCCTTGCTCAGCTCCTCGCTCACCTCCTCGCTCGTCTCCTCGCTCACCTCCTCACTCGCTTCCTCGCTTCACCCCCCCAGGCGAGCTCGGCGATGCTGAGCAGGCGCCTCCAGGACGCGGAGGCGCAGGCGGAGAGGATGGCGCGGGAGACGGTGCGGCGCGAAGAGGTGGCGGCGCACCTCACGCAGCTCCGCGAGGAGGTCGAGGGGCCGCGCGGCCCCCACGGCGAGGAGGAGGGGCACGACGAGGAACGGGGCGAGGAGGAGGAGAGGCGGAGGAACGGGCAGCACGAGGAGGAAGACGATGAGGAGGAGGAGGAGGAGGAGGGGACGAGGTGAGATGAAGGGTTAGTTTGATGGTGAGGGTTGGGTGGGTGTGATGGTGTGAGTAGGGTTATTGTTGTGATGGTGAGAGTAGGAGTAGTGGTGTGATGGTGAGAGTAGGGGTAGTGGTATGAGAGTGAGGGTAGGGTTAGTGGTGTGATAGTGAGGGTAGGATTAGTGTTGTGATAGTGAGGGTAGGGTTAGTGTTATGATGGTGAGAGTAGGGTAGTGGTGTGATAGGGAGGGTAGAGTTAGTCTTGTGACGGTGAGAGTAGGGGTAGTGGTGTGATAGGGAGGGTAGAGTTAGTCTTGTGATGGTGAGAGTAGGGGTAGTGGTGTGATAGTGAGGGTAGGGTTAGTGTTGTGATAGTGAGGGTAGGGTTAGTGTTGTGATAGTGATGGTAGGATTAGTGTTGTAATGGTGAGGGTAGGGTTAGTGTTGTGATGATGAGAGTAGGATTAGTGTTGTGATGGTGTGAGTAGGATTCGTTTTTTATTTAAAGCTTTCATGACTGCAGGATTAATATTCTTGGTTCTTTCGGTAAAGTCACGTAGAAGGGAAACAATTTTATATTGTTATTATTTTATTGTTCCCTTCTACGTGACTTTACCGAAAGAACCAAGAATATAGTAGGATTAGTGTTGTGATGGTGATGGTAGGGCTAGTGTTCTGATGGTTAGATGGAGGGTTAGTGTGATTGTAAGGGTGAGTGTGATGGTGACGGTATGATTAGGGTTTTGATGGTAGGGTGAGTGTGATGGTGAGGGTAGGGTTAGTGTTATGATGGTGAGATTGGGTGAGTGTGATGATGAGGTCAGGTGTTGGCAATATTAAGGCTAGTAGTGTGATGGTGAGGGTAGGGTGAGTGTCGTGATTGTCATTGGTAGGAGAGGGGTAATGCTGGGTTTAGCTTTTGCTATCGCTGTTGCTCTGTGTTGCTCTGTGTTGCTCTGCGTTGCTCTGTGTCACTCTGTGTTGCTCTGTGTTGCTCTCTGTTGCTCTCTGTTGCTCTGTGTTGCTCTGTGTTGCTCTCTGTTGCTCTGTGTTGCTCTGTGTTGCTCTGTGTTGCTCTGTGTTGCTCTGTGTTGCTCTGTGTCGCTCTGTGTTGCTCTGTGTCGCTCTGTGTTGCTCTGTGTCACTCTGTGTTGCTCTGCGTTGCTCTGTGTTGCTCTGTGTCGCTCTGTGTTGCTCTGTGTTGCTCTGTGTTGCTCTGTGTTGCTGTGCATTGCTCTGTGTCACTCTCTGTTGCTCTGTGTTGCTCTGTGTTGCTCTGTGTTGCTCTGCGTTGCTCTGTGTCACTCTCTGTTGCTCTGTGTCACTCTCTGTTGCTCTGTGTTGCTCTGTGTTGCTCTGTGTCACTCTGTGTTGCTCTGTGTTGCTCTGTGTTGCTCTGTGTCACTCTGTGTCGCTCTGTGTCGCTCTGTGTTGCTCTGTGTTGGTCTGTGTTGCTGTGCATTGCTCTGTGTCACTCTCTGTTGCTCTGTGTTGCTCTGTGTTGCTCTGTGTTGCTCTGTGTTGCTCTGTTGCTCTGTGTTGCTCTCTGTTGCTGTGCATTGCTCTGTGTCACTCTCTGTTGCTCTGTGTTGCTCTGTGTTGCTCTGTGTTGCTCTGTGTCACTCTGTGTCACTCTGTGTTGCTCTGCGTTGCTCTGTGTCACTCTGTGTTGCTCTGTGTTGCTCTGTGTTGCTCTGTGTTGCTCTGTGTCACTCTGTGTCGCTCTGTGTTACTCTGTGTTGCTCTGTGTTACTCTGCGTTGCTCTCTGTTGCTGTGCATTGCTCTGTGTCACTCTCTGTTGCTCTGTGTTGCTCTGTGTTGCTCTGCGTTGCTCTACGTCACTGTTGCTCTGTGTTGCTCTGTGTTGCTCTGTGTTGCTCTGCGTCACTCTGCCTCGCTCTGCGTCACTCTGCGTCAATCTGTGTCACTCTGTGTTGCTCTGCGTCACTCTGTGTTGCTCTGCGTCGCTCTGTGTTGCTCTGTGTTGCTCTGCGTCACTCTGTGTTGCTCTGCGTCGCTCTGTGTTGCTCTGTGTTGCTCTGTGTCGCTCTGTGTTGCTCTGTGTTGCTCTGTGTCGCTCTGTGTTGCTCTGTGTTGCTCTGTGTTGCTCTCTGTTGGTCTGTGTTGCTCTGTGTCACTCTGTGTCGCTCTGTGTTGCTCTGTGTTGCTCTGTGTCGCTCTCTGTTGCTCTGCGTCACTCTGCGTCACTCTGTGTCACTCTGTGTTGCTCTGTGTTCCTCTGTGTTGCTCTGTGTCACTCTGTGTTGCTCTGTGTTGCTCTGTGTTGCTCTGTGTTGCTCTCTGTTGCTCTGTGTTGCTCTGTGTCACTCTGCGTCACTCTGTGTTGCTCTGTGTCACTCTGCGTCACTCTGTGTTGCTCTGTGTCACTCTGTGTTGCTCTGTGTCACTCTGTGTTGCTCTGTGTCACTCTGCGTCACTCTGTGTTGCTCTGTGTCACTCTGTGTTGCTCTGTGTTGCTCTGTGTTGCTCTGTGTCACTCTGCGTCACTCTGTGTTGCTCTGTGTCACTCTGTGTTGCTCTGTGTTGCTCTGTGTTGCTCTCTGTTGCTCTGCGTTGCTCTGTGTCACTCTGTGTCGCTCTGTGTTGCTGTGTGTTGCTCTGTGTCACTCTGCGTCACTCTGCGTCACTCTGCGTCACTCTGTGTTGCTCTGTGTTGCTCTGTGTCACTCTGTGTTGCTCTGTGTTGCTCTGTGTTGCTCTACGTCACTCTGTGTTGCTCTGTGTTACTCTGCGTTGCTCTGTGTTGCTCTGTGTTGCTCTGCTCTTCTCTCGCGCCTCCGAGTGACGAGCTGTCACTTCTGTTCAGCCTTCGTGTGGACGTCGTGCAGGTGAGGCCCTGCATGAGTGGGGACGTGGTGTCACGTGGTTTGACGTGGTGTTGTGTGTGCTGAGTGTGGTATGATGTGGCGTGTGGTGAGTGTGGCGTGACGTGGAGTCGCGTGTGATGAGTGTGGTGTGACGTGGAGTCGCGTGTGGTGAGTGTGGTGTGACGTGGAGTCGCGTGTGGTGCTGTGACCAGGGGTGTGGTGAGACGTCTAGCGGATTGCAGTGGAGTGCAGTGACTGTCCTTTCCGGCCCCCACCCCCGACCTCCACGAGAACACGCACGCCTCTGTCACCTCCGATTAGCGGGGTTGGCTATGTACGGCGCGAAAGAAGCTCAACATGCATACCCCTCTGCGTCTGAGCCGAGCCACGGCCGGGATCTTCGTGGCACCGGTGGTTTTTCTTTACATCGCAGAGCCAGAGCGAATGCGTGAAACTCTGACTTCAAGAATCACTGGAATCTTTGCTCGGGGCCCAGCAGGCCCAAGCATGGCAGGATCGAACACTTCCGTCGTGCGTCGCGTCGCGTCGCTCGCTCGCTCGCTCTACTTGAGGGCCCCACTCGTCCGTTGGGGCGTCACGTCCACGGCACGGCTCTGTTTCAGCAGTGGGGAGGGAAAAAAAACAACAACCCGGAGCATCCTTGAGCGGTGCCGGGGCTGGCTTGGCGCAGCCCTGCCGTGGCTCGTGTACGCCAGTGGGTGGGTTCGTGACAGCCGCGCGGTTAAGAAGGGAGGAGGCGGCGCCGTGTGACGCTGGCCCCGTGCTTGTGCCGCAGCATCCCGGGCCCCGAGGGCCGGGGGGCCGACGCGCTAGGCCGCAGCCTGTTGGATCTGCGCCGCGGCGTGGGGCGCGCGTTGAGACGGGCGGAGCGCGAGCGCGACGACGCTGGGCGGGCGGCGCGGCGCGCCCAGCGGGAGTCGCAGCAGATGAGGGAGCAGCTGGCGGCCGCTCGCGAGGAAGCGGACAACGCCGGCGTCCAGGCAGAGCAAGCGCAGGTGAGGCTCGTGCCCCCCTTCTCCTCAGTCATACCAACCCCCCCCCCCCCCAGACAGACTCCCTGCGGTGGCTATAGTCTATATTAATAGCAGTGATGTTGGTGCGTCGCTATGGCAGCGTAGTAACGAGGGACCCTAATGGGCATGGTGGCCATAGCGGCAGGTCCAGACACGCACCTGTGCGTGTGTTTGTCTTTTGTGTGTATACCAGTGTGTGTGTGTGTGTGTCTACCCGCGTGTGTAAGTGGGGAGCGCTAGCGAAGAGATTAGCGCGCTGCACTACGAACCCGGCGGCCCAAGTTTGATTCCCGCTCACAGCCAACACCAGTGATGATTTATATGCACTGATCCTGAGCCTCCCCTAGGTCGACTCTGCCTCAAATAAATATCTGGTGTGGTGTGCAGACACCGCCACTGGGGAGACGAAAGCGGTCGGGCATGGTGCTGACCACTCACCCCCTTGTGTGCCGTACCGGCCTTCATAGGTGCTCACTAAAAGCACTTGCCCCAACAATCTGTTAAGGCTATACAGGAAATCTTTGTATACCTTTGTGTGTATACCCTTGCGTCGCATGTGTGTGTGTGTAGGTATACCCCTGTGTATACCCATGCGTGTGTGTGTGTATATGTGGGGAGCGGTAGTGTAGCGGTTAGCGCGCTGCGCTATGAACCTGGCGACACGGGTTCGATTCCCGCTCACGGCCAACACCCAGTGACGAATATCTGAACTGGTCCCGGGCCTCCCCTAGGTCGATTCAACCTCAAATGAGTACCTGGTGCGGTGTGTAAACATCGCCACTGGGGAGACAAAGGCGGTCGGGCGTGGCGCTGGCCACCCACCCCCTCGTGTACCGTTCCGGCCTTTATAGCCGCTCGCTAACAGCACTTGCCCCTACAGTCTGTTAAGGCTATACGGGGGATGTTTACCCATGCGTGTGTATGCGTGTACGTATACGCTTGTGTGTGTGTGTGTGTGTATATGCTTTAGGCGGAGTGGGAGCAGCAGCTGGCGTCGGCGCGGCACCGCCTCGCCCAGGCACTGCAGGAGCGCGAGCAGCTGGCAGCCGAGCTGGAGCAGCGCGACGTGCAGGTACGAGACTCCACCCATGTCCACACGAAGGAAAAGTTCCCCCGCGTAGCCTTCAACAGGCTGTCGGGGCAAGTGCTGTTTGCGGGCAGCGACACCTACGAGATGCCGGCACGGCGCACGAAGGGGTGGGTGGCCAGCAGTGCGCCCAGCCGCCTTTGTCTCTCCAGCGCTGATGTTTAATGCACACCGCACGGAGTACTCGTTTGAGGTTGAGTCGACCTAAGGGAGGCACAGGGCTGGTTAATACGTTCGCTCTCACTGTTATTGGCTGTCGGCGTCTGTACATACGCACACACGCAGACAAATATAGGGGGAGTGGCGGCGCCGCAATTGGCGCACTGCGCTACAAACCCGGCTTCATGAATTGGATTCCCAGCCATGGGTTAGTTGCGAATTATATCAAAACCCGTCCCGAGTTTCCCCAAGGTCGACTCAGCCCTTAAAATTACTACCTAGTGAGTGCGGTGCCTATAAACATCAGCACTGGGGAGACAAAGGCGGCCGGGAGGGAGCGCGGCACATGCCACCCGCTAACATCACTTACCCCAACAGTCTGTTAAGGCCAGTATCAAGTTTATTTTGTTTAACAAGGAGAGGACTCAAGGATAGGAGCCATCATCGTCCTTGTATAAGTGACTGAATTGGAGAGTGAGTGGATGAGTGAGTGGGTGAGCGAGTGGGCGGGTGGTTTGAGTGACCGAGTGACTGAGTGGAAAACTGAGTGAGTGGGTGAGTGAGTGGGTGAGTGGACGCGTAAGCGAGCAAGTGGACGATGGAGGCAATTTGCGGGTGGGTGGGAGTTGAATCTGCAGCCCCTGCTTGCTCCCCCCACCTCGCTCCCACACCCTCCCCCCCCCCCCCCACCAGGGTGAACAAGAGGAGGAGGAGTCACGAGCGCGACTGCGGGAGCTGGAGACGGAGCTGGCGCGGCTGCAGGCGGACGTGGCTCAGGCGGACCGCGAGGCGGAGCGCCGGCTCGGGGACGCCCAGGGGCAGGTGTCCACCCTGCGCGGTGCCCTGCAAAGGCTGCAGCGAGAGCGCGACCAGGTGGGGACACGATCGGAAACGACGGGACACGCGGGGAACCTGTAGAGACACGTAGGTAAAAAAATAAAACGGCAAAAATCACGACGTTTCGGCCACAACACAAGCGGCCTTCATCAGGCGAAGGGATCGTCAGGTGAAGGGATCAGCCTGATCCCTTCACCTGATGAAGGCCGCTTGTGTTGTGGCCGAAACGTCGTGATTTTTGTTGTTTTATTTTTTTTCACCTACGTGACTTTACCGAATAGAACCAAAGAGTGTGGATCCTCGCAGTCACGAAAGCTTCAAATCTAGAGCCTGTAGAGACCCGGCTGACTCCCCTCCCCTCACCCACCGCTTCCCCGTGGCTACTGCTACGCTCTTGCCTCCGGCACTGCTGCTGCTGGCACTGCTGCAGGGGAGCGAGGCGGCTGAGCGGTTGCGGGCGCAGGCGGTGCAGGCGGAGCGGGAGCTGCAGAAGGCGGAGGCGGAGATTGCGCTGCTGCAGGGGCTGCTCGCTGAGCGCCAGCGCCAGGTACCGCCCCCCCGTCTCCCCCCCCTCCCCCCTCCTTAAGGGTGAATGTGATGTGACACGAGAGAACACGTGGAGCGAGGGGTTGGGAGGGACTGTGTGTGTGTGTGTGTCTGGCAAAGTGGCACAGCCTGGAGAACTGATGGGCTCTCTGTGTACGAGTGTCTCTTGTGTGTCTATATGTGTGTGTCTCACGGCCGACACCAGTGACGATTATCTGAACCGGTCCCGGGCCTCCCCTAGGTCGACTCAGCCTCAAATGAGTACCTGGTGCGGTGTGTAAACATTGCCACTAGGGAGACAAAGGCGGTCGGGCGTGGTGCTGGCCACCCTCCCCTTCGTGTACCGTTCCGGGCTTCATAGGTGCTCGCTAACAGCACTTGCCCCTACAGTCTGTTAAGGCTATATGGGGGATCTTTATCTTTGTCTGAACCCGGCGACCCGAGTTCGAATCCCGCTCACGCAACATCGGTAAAGGTTATCTGAACCGGTCCTGGGCCTCCACTAGGTCGACTCAGCCTCAAACGTGTATCTTGTGTAGTGTGTAACCATCACCACCGGGGAGAAGGAAGGCGGCCGTGGGCGTGTTTATTGGCCACCCACCCCCTCGTGTGCCGTCGACAGCCTCCACAGGTGCTGCTCGCTAACAGCACTTGCCCCGACAGTCTGTTAAGGCTACACGGTGGGCTCTTTGTCTTTGCCTGTGTGTAGCTGGAGGAGGTGCTGCTCCGGGGAGGGGGGGAGGGCGACTCTCCCCGGGGGGAGGTGGAGCGACTCCGCCACTCGCTCGACGCACAGAAAGCCGAGGCTGCGCGACTCCGCGGCCTGCTGCAGCGCGCACGCACCGGTCGCTCACCGCACGCTCACCCACTCGCTCACCGCACGCTCACCCA